TGGGGAGCTTTGTGGGTTTCCAGAGTCAACACAGAGAAGGAGGGGCTGGCGGCCTGGAGGACCCACTGCAGGAGAGAAACCTTGTCATCGGCTCCTGCTCTTCTCTCTGCCTGCAGACACTGCCCTGCTCACAGCGGGACCCTGTCCTCCAGGAAGAGAATGCGGACTTGCCTACTGAGGGAGGTGGTAATTGAGGAGAGATGCTGAGAAAGCGATAATTGGGGTGGGCAAGAGAGAGCCCAGTACACTTAGTAACCTCTCCTGCTAAAAAAAGAAAAGGAAAACATTTATGTTACAAAATGTTTATGTCAAAAGTCTTACAGTTAGCATGTTCATGGTAGAACTTTGGGGGGAAAAAACGGAAATGAAGAAAGAGGAAACTTGAAATCACTGATAATTCTACCCTCAGATTTAGGTTTCATGGGGATAGATAGAGCCCAAAGGACAGCGCTTTAAACAAGAGGAAAGTTGTTTTCTTTCTTATTGAGTTATAGGCAGGTCTGGGCAGATATGTTGGCGCTGCTGTCATGAGAGACCCAAACTCCTTCTGAGTTGCTTCTTCATTCTGGTCTACCCAAGGCGGTCCCTTCGTGGTACAGGACGGTCACTCCAGGCATTGCATTTGCTGTCTAATCAGTAGGAAGGAGGAACAGTAGAAGAGACCCCTTTCCTATTTCTCTCCTCACCCCTAAGATACTTCCAAGTCGTTGTGCCTAATACATCTACGGCTGCTAGCTCAAACGTAGTCACATGGCCACACCTAGCGACATGGGAAGTTGGGAAATAGCACCTTTATGATAAAATCTGGGGTTCTGTTTCTGAAGGAAAAGGAGAGACCAGATATTAGGGGACAGCTAGTAATCTTGGCCATTGTCTCACACAAGTTTAGGGTATTCTGCACTTGCTTTTTCTATGTTTGTGTAGAGATTATTTATTTAACCCCAAGTGAGATGACATTTTATGTATTCTTCTGTGACTTGGGTTATTTTTAGAGTGAGAGATACACCAACAGCCTTTTCCCCCCCATATCATTAAATATTAATGACTTCTGCAAACCAGTTCTAACATGATTTTCTTTTGTCAAGATAAACAATTTGCCCGGCCAGTGTGGCTGAGTGGTTGAGCGTAGACCTATGAACCAGGAGGTCAGGTCCAATCCCAGTCAGGGCACATGCCCTAGGTTGTGGGCTCAATCCCCAAGTATGGAGCGTGCAGGAGGCAGTCCATCCACGATTCTCTCTCACCACTGATGTTTCAGTCTCTCCCTCTTCCTTTCTCTCTGGAATCAATAAAAATATTTCTAAAAAGATGGACAGTTTACTTAACTAAACTTCAAGTGATAGAATTATACCTCAGATATTGAAGCTCAATCTTGTTGCCATGTGTGAGATTTATTTTTTCCCTGTGGGATGAATGCCCACAACATGAGTGGATGGAGCAGAGCACCTGGGCGTTGGAGGAGTCAGTGGGTATTTTGTGGGGGTGCTTAGAGCAGGCTGTGCAGATCCTTCATGTGCTATTGTTACAACAAGTTTGTTATTACTACTCGGACGCAGATCCCTGCTATTCAGTGACACTGCTTCCTTAGACCTCTCGCCACCCAGTCCAGATGGGAGGATGGAGTCCTCAGCACCCCTTTCCTCTGTCCTCACTATCGTGGGGGGCTGGCTGCCCTGCCTCCCGCCTCGCCTCCCCTCTTTTCTGACGGGTCCCCTGGCCTCTCAGATTTCACCATATGTCTGGTGAGGTCACCCTCGTCAAGAGGGGACGTCCTTGGGGGCCTCGAGGCCCTCCCTCCGCGATCAGGTTGCCCGTTAGTCTCTGAGAGTGACTGCCAGGCTTCTTTCTGTTCCTGTCATCTCCAGGGAGGGATTTATCCTCCCAGCGCTGTGGCCCACAGGTTCCAGACAGATGGCAGCTCCCCGGGGGCACCCCAGAGGGCAGCTGCTACCTGTTTTATGCTTATTCCGTGCGCTGTCTGTAGAGTTTGGGAGGAACAAAACAGAAATGAAGAAAGAAGAAACTTGAAATCACTGATCATGCATGTGGGGGACTAATTACCGGGCCAAACTGCCTGGCTTTGAGGCCCACCTCTGCCCCTCTGGCTGTGTGGCTCTGGGTAAGCCGAGAGATGTGGCTGCTGGCGGCTGGAAGTGGTACTGGCGTAAGGGATGTGGTTGGGGTCTGGGAGGTACCAGGCTAAGGGGTGTGGCTGGGGTCTGGATGGCAGGTACTGCCAAGTGTGTTTATTGATGTGGATAAACGTGGAAGATGTCATGAGTGAGAAAAGCAAGTGTGTCACCCGATACGTAGAGGAGCATTCTTCCTTGCCTCCCGATTCACAGGTGCGTGGGAAACGAGCGAAGGCGCCGCCTCCAGGGCCAGAGGGGCCTTGTGGGGCGGGCAGGTGCCCAGGTGGCCCGCCCCTCTCTGTAACCATGAGCGTCTTCCTGTTTGTCCTGGGAGGGGGATTCAGTGGCGCCTGGGGAAAGTGAACCCCATCTCGGTGCTTGCCGAGGAGGCTTTGCGTGTGCATTCGCCTGAGTACCCCCCCTGCGGTCAAGAAGAACATTGCCCGTCCCTCGGAGGGCTCCCGTAGGGCCCCTTTCCCGGCCACACCCCCCAGATCTGATAACGTTCTTTTTGGAAATAGTTTACAGCAGATTTGGCTCCATGCTAAGATTTGCCCAGTGATGCCTCTGAGGGTGGGTGTTCAATTTTTCTCTGTCTTTTTCTGGGTCCTTGGTACTCCACGCTCATCATCACAGAAAGGGGGACCTGGGCAGACGCAGGGCGGTGGCCCAGGCAGAGGTGTGGCGCGGACAGAGAGTCCCAGGCGGCCCGGGAGATCCTGAGAACAGTCCCCTCTATGGGAGGTTTCCGGGCTGAGAGCTGCTTTTGGCCGAGCGTGCCAGAGCTGTCAGGGCCGGGACAAGGAGCGGCCCCAGCAGGTCCCTTCCATCCCCGCCTGCACCGAGGGCATTGGCGCCGCCTGGCAAAGCCGGTCGTGTCCTGGGGAGCACGAGGCTGGGCCCGCAGCCCATGCCTGCCCATTCTTTCCAGGTCACGAGCTGCCCATGGAGCCCATCACACTGGCCTGTTTGCGGCTCCTCTGTGGGTGGCCGGAGCCTCTCATTGTCCCGGCACAATAGCGGTGGCCCTGCTCGTGTGAAGAAACCGGGACAGGAAGCCCCGATCTAGGTCAGCCTCACTGCACGCCCAGCTTCCTGCTCTCCCGGGCTGCGCTTTGTGTCCCTGCAGGCTGAGGAGGCTGGAGGCTGGATTTCCCAGCAGCATCACAGGCCCTGTGGAGACATCCTCTAGGGACTTCTGTGCCCTGACCCCTCCACGCATGGTCCTTTAAGAAGAAAAATCGGCAGGTTACCAAGTGGCCCCGGTTTGAGGCTCCTGCCATGTGCCAGGCATGGTGCCAGGCATTCTATCCTTTCTTCTGATTTCTGAGTGCCAGGCACGAGACTAGGCCTTGGGGTGACAGTTGGGAATAAGGGAGGCAAGGTCCCTGCCCTCATGGAGCTTCCACTTACTTTATCCTGATGCAGTCTTGAGGGTAAGACAGTGTTCTAAGTTCTCCACATTTGGGGGAAATAAACTGAGGCTCAGAGAAGCGAATGCACTTCCCTTAGGTCACACACACAGCAGGCAGGAGAAGGACTGCAGTTCACATCCAGCCATCAGCTTCCAAACCCGGCCTCTGCTGCTGGATTAGGTAAAAGTTCCATTCCAGCCACGCTCCCTCTGGTCTCAGCCTCGCCCTTAGGAGCTGGTGTAGATCGCTCAAACTGAGTCCTTTTATTTGTTAAGTCTGCTTTTAATGCCAGTCGGGAAGGTGATAAGAGCATGAAGACAGAGGGCCTCTGGGAGGTGACATCTGAGCTCAGGCTTTGATGAATGAGAAGAAGCTGGCCCAGAGGGGAGCTGGGGGAGAATATCCTGCTAGAAGGAAGAGCATGTGCAAAGGTCCTGAGGCAGAAAAGTGCCTGGCAGGTGGAAGAAATAGAGAGCAGGAAGGTATGGCTGAAGATTATGGAGATGTGTGTGTGTGTGTGTGTGTGTGTGTGTGTGTGGAATGGAATGCTGGAAGGTGAGTTTAGAGAGATTAATGAGGACCTTACGGGCTGTGGAAAGATTTAGACTGTTTAAAGTATAGTGTAGAGAGTGTTAAGCTATGGATTGACAGGATCTGATTTACATATTTACATATTTAAAAGGACCCCTCTGGCTGTCTGTGTGGAGAAGGCTTTTCGTGGTGTGGGGGACAGGGGCAATGGGAGGAGGTGACTGCATGGGTCCAGGCAGGAAGATGATGGCTTTGGATCAGGGGATGGCTGCGGAGGTGGGGATAAGTGGTCGGATTTTCAATACATGCGGAGGGTGAAGTGGGTAGCATTTACGAACAGATGGAAATGGCGTGTCAGAGAAAGGAGGTCAGGGATCAAGGACCCCTGGGATGGGCGATGGGTTGGCTGGAGCACCAGTGGAGGTGCTGTTCACCAGGCTGGGAGGAGCTTGGTGGTGTGGGTTGCAGGGAGGGTCAGGACCTCGGCTTTGGAAGGGTTACCTTTGAGCTGCCCCTTGGCCATCCAGGTGGGGGTGTCGGGTCGGCAGAAATCCGGGTGGGAGTCTGGAAGTCGGGGAGAAGTCCAGGCAGGGGATATAAGCCTAGGCGGAGAGGCTGGTGGAGACAGCCCCGCAGAGAGTGGGACAGAGAGTCTGTGTCCCTGACTCTCCTGTCTGAGACCTGCAGGTGGCCAGCTCCTCATCCCAGCCACAGCCGCCTCTCTGGGTGATGGGCAAGGATCTGACAGCCATCTTGGAGGGCCAGCCTCCTTCCTGCCTTCTTCCCCTGCTTCCCTCCCATGTCCCTGGACGTGGTACTTCCCAGGTCCAAATACTTGGTATTTGAACTTGAGACCTTCCTTTCGGACCAGCCTGGGAGATCAAGGCGTGGACACTCATCTCTTCCTGCTTCTCTCCTCCAGGCCTTTCTGCATCGCATCCGGCAGAACGTGATGGACTCGGCGGAGAAGGGCCTCACGGAGGAGAATGTCAAGGTGCGGACACTCGGGTTGGCCCCTTTGCAGACTGTCCCAGCAGCTGTGTGCCTTGCTTCCTCCCCGAGCGATGCTTAGAGGGTGCTCGGGGGTCTGGGATGTCTCCACCTCGCCAGCAGCTGCTTTCGTCTTCCTGCAGCAGGCTCCCTGCAGCCCCCAGGGCCTCTCCGTCCTGCGAGCAAACCGTGCCTGGTGGGTCAGGAGGACTCAGCCTCAGGCTTCCACTCCCCAACGCAGGGCTTTCTCCTTGCTCACCATGACCATCTTGTCTTCCAGCCTCCTTGCGCCCAGTCCCCTGGCTTCCAGCCAGCGGAAAATCCCTTCCCAGGCTCCCCGGGAGTCTGACACCCCCAGCCCCTGCCGTGTCCTGGGCATTGAGTGTGCGGGCAGGGAGATGAATGATTGGGCCCCGGCTTCATCTTGGCAGTGGCTCCGGGGAGTTTCGGGAGGACGTCAATAGGCCCTCTGTGTGCTCGGTGGAGGCCCCCGTGCTCCCCGGGCCTGGCTTTCTCGTGTGACCTCACTCCCTGGGAAGCTGCCTTCAGTCCTTGGGGCTCCAGGGTCCTGGCCCCAGGGGAGAAGGGAAGACAGGGCCGGGAGGGGGTCAGGCTGCCAGCCTGTATAACACACAAAGGACCTGGTCAAGCAGGACTCGCCCAATCTCCCCGCCCGCCCGCCTGCCCACTTGTCTTGATTAATCTGGACAGTGACCTGCATGTTGACAATTCTGAGCTCAGTGTTTTGGGAAGAAAGCTGAGGCTTAGAGATGGAAAGAGACCTGTTCTGGGTCACTGCACGGCCAGTCCCTGGAAGCGCGGGGATCGGAACTTTTCATTCATTCATTCATTCATTCACTCATTCGTTCAGCAAGTATTCACTGAGCACCTACTGTTTATGACATCTCTTTATTACAACATGTTACAACTTCAAAGTTATTAAAATTTCAGATTGCAATTTGTTATAGTGTATTTTTTTAAAAAATTAAAATATATTTCTTTATTGATTTCAGAGAGGAAGGGAGAAGGAGAGAGAGAGACAGAAACATCAATGATGAGAGGGAATCATTGATCGGCTGCCTCCTGCACACCACCCTATGGGAATGGAGCCCGCAACCCCAACATGTGCCCTTGGCTGGAATCGAACCTGAGACCCTTCAGTTCGCAGGCTGATGCTCTATCCACTGAACCAATCCGGCTACGGCTAGTGTTTTTTTTTTTTTTTTTTAATTACCTCTTGCCCTGGCTGGTGTGATTCAGTTGGTTGGACGTTGTCTTGTGTACCAGGAGGTTGCTGATTCAGTTCTCCGTCATGATTGGTTAGCATTAATTGATTCTGCCCATCCTTAAATTTTATATAAAAATGGGCTCTTTCATTATGTCTGGAGCCTTTTGCTCAAGTTATATCTGTGAGATTTACCCATGTTGTTGATCCACTCTTTTTATTGCTGTGTAGTAGCGTGGTATGAGTGTACCATGATTTACTCATCCATTCTCCTGAGGTGGATACTTGAGTTATTTCCAGGTTTGGCTATTATGACCATTCGTGTTACACTTTTTAGTGGACACAGGTTCTCGGTTCTTTTGGGTGTAAATTCAGGAGTCAGGTATTTATTTTGAAGTTTTACAGCCATTCTTTGAAGCAAGGGTAACAGTAAGGCTGGGGGGTACATCAGGGAACAGACAAGCATATGAGTCTTTGACATAAGCAGAGAGATTCAACCATGTGATCTTGACAGATGAGAGAAAGGAAACTAACCACAAACCATGCAGTGATTCTTTAGCCACTTCTTGGGAGAGCATCCCCCAGGGTGAGGCCCTGGTTCTCTCAGACTTGCAGCACCTCAGCCTTCCATTACCCCCCCCCCCCCCCTCAGGCCGTCTCCCTCTGCAGACTCCCTGGTACATTCCCAGTCTGGGGGATCCCCAGGGCTGATCTTCATTCTTTCAGGTCTTGACTTAAATGTCACCTTCTCAGAGCGGCTGTCCCTGGCTCCTGTATTTAAATTTGCAAACTTCTTCTGCCCTGTCCTGGGACTTCCTGCTTTATTTGTTTCTTGTTGCGCCTAGCAAACTGTAGTTACTTATTTGTTGTCTGTCCCCTTTCACTAGAATGTCACTTCCATGGGGTAGGCACTTGTCTGTTCCCTGATGTACCCCCAGCCTGTAACAGTGCCTGGCACACAGTAGGTGCTCAGCCAGTACTCGCTGAATGAATGAATGAATAGGAAACCCTAGAGGGAACCGTAAACCAGTAGTAACACTGGTTACCTCCAGCCATGGTGGGTGGGAAGTGGGGAAATGGTGGGAAAGGGACTCCTCCCTGAATTTATATTACTGTGTTTTTGATTTTTGAATCATGTGAGTGCCTTCTTCAAAATTACATTGAAAACAGTTTTAAAAGCGTTGACTTTGGGTGGTGGCCATACAATGCAACATACAGATGATGTATCATAGACTTGTATACCTAAAACCTATGTAATTTTATTAACCAATATCATCCCAATAATTTTAATTAAAAGTGCTTTAAACCCCCCCCCCCCCACACACACACAGAAAAAGCCATGTATGCCATTCAAAAAGACCTAAAGTAGATGAAAAGTCTCCCCTGAGTCTCCTTCCCAGAGGCCCTTACAGTCACCAGCTTGTGTCCCTGTCAGGCTGTCCCCGCTGCTGCCAGCGCGGAGAGGAGTGACCTTTTTGTGTGTTATTTCACACAAATGGGCCAATACTGAGATTCTGTGTGGTACCCTGATCCCCCCCACTCAACAGTGTATGTCAAGGGTCATTCCGTGGTCCATATACATAGATCCAGGTCTGCAGGTTCTTTTTAGAGGCCACCTGGTATTTTAGTATGTGGGATGTAGTTCATTGTAACGAGTCCAGTTTATTTAACTGTTGGATGAGTCCTCATTAATGAACGTTTGGCCTTTCCCCAGTCTTTTGCTGCTGCACATAAGGCTGCAGTATACATTCGTGGCCATCCACCCGGCTCTCATCCTCGGCACAGTTAACACTCTGGGCTGGATGATTCTTTGCTGGGGGCTGAGGGGTGGGGCTGTCCTGTGTATTATAGGATGGTTAGCAGCATCACCTAGGAGATGCCAGTAGCATCTTCCCCCACAAAGTGTGACAAACAGAAATGCCTCCAGGCATTGGCAAATGTCCCTCGGGAGGCAACACTGTTCCTAATTGGGAATGACTGATTGAAAGGTCAGATTCTGAAATGTAGAAATGTTGGGTGAGAGTGTATGTGCATGTCAAGCTTTATAGGCTCTTCAGGGGACATGGGCACGCTCACATATTGGTGGTGAGAGTTGAAAGAGCATATGTCGAACGTGCTTCCCCATTGTATTTTCTTCTACATCATCTTAATGGTGCGTTGAAGTACCTTGATTGTTTTAAAAAGCAGTCCGATGGTTGGCCATTCCGTTTGTGGCCACGATGAAGACTGAGACTAATGTCTAATAAATTCTCTGCACGCTGGGTGTGCAGATCAGTTCTGCTGCTTACTGAATGTGTGACCTTGGCAATGTTAATTACTTTCTCTGAGCCTCCGCTCTTCATCTACAAATTGGGGATAATAATGGTTTCTCCCTCGTGGAGTCAGAGTGAGGATTAGCTGCCATAAATGCATATAAAGTTCTTAGCACAGGATCAGGCATTAATCCTGTTTAGTTAATGTTGGCAGTATTTTTTTTTTTTTTTTATCATTATCCTTGTTTTTATTAGTGTAATCTGGCTCACTCCGTGTGTGAGTGCCCACTTCATCACCCCCTCACTCATTCCGGAGGTTATGTGGTTATTCTATGCTTGATTTAGCTCGCCCTCTGTGCCTTGATTGACACTGTCCTTGGGCCTCGCTTTCCCCCACAGATCCTGTTCTCGAACATCGAAGACATTCTGGAAGTTCATAAGGATTTCTTGGCTGCCTTGGAGTACTGTTTACATCCGGAGCCTCAGTCTCAGCATGAACTTGGGAACGTTTTCTTAAGATTCGTGAGTACCATGCCCCAGCCCCTGTAGGAGCCTACAGCTTTTGGGAAACGGGCTTCTCCCCTGATTGAGAAGTAGCGATAATCAGGCCTATATCCTTGGGTTGATGGAAAGACTCAAAGAGATAAAGCAGTGAAGTGTGTATGTAGCAGAGAGTAGTGGTTCTCAGTCATGGGTGATTTTGCCTCTGGAGATGCTAGGTTGTGTCTAGAGACATTTCTTACTATTACAGCTTTGGGGTGGGGGTGGGAGGGCAGGTGGCTACTGGCTTCTAGTGGGTGGAGGCCACCAAACACCCTGTCATGCACAGGACAGCCCCCATGGCAGCATTATTCCCCCTCAAATGTAAGCAGTGCCGTGAGTGAGAAACCCTGGTGTAGGATAAGCTCTGGGTCCACATTGACGCTGCCGCAGTCATTGTCGTCCTTATCACTCACTCCCTTCTCTAGAGCAGCGGCCGCCAGCCGGTGCTCCGCGGACCACTGGTGCTCCGTGAGGTCCGAAAGGTCGGCGACCGCTGGTCTGAAGGGTCACGTCTTGGTGGTCAGAGTCTGGGATGACACAGCCTAGTGCAGCTCTGCCCTCAGAGTTGTAGCTCAGGGGAAGCCACTGGCTCATGCTGTGTTGGGAGGGCAGTGCTCCCAGCCAGGCTGCTGAGTGCTTGTAAGCGACTTGTTTTAACCTCAGTGCCCTCATTTGCAAAGTGGGTAAAAAGCTAGACTTGCCCATGATGTTATTGAGCCTTGAGCGAGCTAATGTAAGGAGAGTGTTCAGAACAGCTCCTGGCTCAGAGTAAATGCTCAATAAATGTTGGATGCTATTGCCCTGGCTGGAGTTGCCAAGTGGTTAGGGTGTTGGCCCATGCACTGAAGGGTCTCATTTCCAGTTAAGGGCATATACCTGGGTTGCAGGCTCAATCTCTGGTTCCGGTTGGGGCACGTGCAGGAGGCAACCAATCACTGTGTCTCTTGAACATTGATGTTTCTCTCCCCCCCCTTCCTTCTTTCCTTCCCTTTCTTCCCTCTCACCTCCCTCTCTCCTTTCTACTCTCTCTCTCTCTCTCTCTCAAAAAAAAAAAAAAAAAAAAGGGAATAATATCCTCAGTTGAGGATTAACAAAAAACATGTTGGATGATATCTTTCTCTTCATTTAACCACCATCCCTTAGTGTTTGGAGCAGAATGAACATGAGGACCAGATAGGGCACAGGGGAGGTGGGCACTCATGGGGGTGCTGAGCAGAGGTGTGATGTGCTAGGGGTTTAGGGGGCCCTTGGGCTGCTGCGCAGGGAGGAGGGGAGGGGACTGTGGAGGTGCAGGGAGACCAGGAAGAGGTCCCTGTGCTGTCTGAGAAGATGGGGTCTGGAGCAGGGGGTAGCTTGGAGATGGTGAGAAGCGGTGAGTAGGAGTGGGGAATGAGTTCATGTGAGTGACACACTTAGATCCAGGCCAGCACTGGGCTGATGCTGCGTGAGGGACACTCACGGGGCATCATTCCAGCAGGGCACCGGGAAGGCTTTCAGGAGGAGGTGGGTTATTGGGGCTGGCCAGGAAGTGATGACATCAAGGATGGAATAGCCCATACTTTAGCCAGCGTGGGGGAAGAGGTCCTCAAGGTGCATTATCTGTTTGCCCATAATCCCCGCCCCCCGGGTCCCCTGACTTTGGTGCTGGAGCCTCAGAGGTGTGGTGAGCAAGTTTCACTGTTGATCGCTGAGGGTCTCTGGATCCCGAGTGTCCACCTGAGCTCTCCCCACTCTCTCTGCAGGATTCCTAACTTGTTCAGAGATGCCGGGGGCCAGAAAGCTGGAGGAAAGAGGGTGGGGAATTTACTGCCCAGGAGGCAACCCCTTCTCCATACCTTCTCTGACTGCCCCGATCCCGCTCGGGTAGTCTCATCAATTGGGCATTGACAGGGACAGTGCTTCCCATCAGAATCCTGATGCACCGACGGTTGAAGTTCAAGTCTGTGTGGGAAGTCACTGTGGGCCAGGACCTTCCCCGAATCTTGAGAACCCATCTTGCCTGGTCCCTCGAGAGCAAGTTTCTTTAGAGCTTGGTGCCTGACCTTGCCTCCTGGCTCCGCTGCTTCCTGTGATGCTGGGAGAATGACCTCACCTGGCCAGGCCTCAGTTTCCTCATCTGTAAAGTGAAGGCAGTGAAACCCACCTTCCAGGGTGGTTGAGAGGATAAATAAAAGTAGCAGCACCTGGCCTATTAATAAGTCCTCAGGGTATGTTTGCTCATTTGCACTATGCACATATTTGCTCATGGGACCTGGCACTCTCTGGCATCTCCCAGCGATGTCTGGGGCACTTGGTGACTCATTAGACTCTGCCAGGCCCTGCCAGCTCCTGGGACCTCATGCTGGCCACCGCAGTCACACCGGCTTCCTCGCTGTTCTGGAACACAGGGAGCTCATTCCTGTGGAGTGTGCTGTTCCCTCTGCCTGGGCTGGTTCCCTCGGGCGTCTCTGTGACTCTGTCCCTTCCTGCCTTGAAATCTCTATAGAAATGTCCCCTCCTCTGTGTGCTCTCTCATGCCCACTCTGTCCAGGATGGTCATGTTCCCTGCCCTTCCAGACCCCCACCCTTATTGCTGTCAGTGATCCTTACCACCCTCTGATACATTGGATATTTTGCTGCTTTTTGTTCCCTGTCTGTCCCCCCCCTGGAATAGCCACAGCATGAGGGTAGGGGCTTTGTCATGTCCACTGCTCCTTGCATCCAGAATAGCAGGGGACAGACAGCTTTCTCAACAGGCAAGGAACCTAAAGGTTAAGTCCAAGGTCATGCCTCTATAGGTGGAAGAAGTGGGATCTGGACCCTCCTAATGGCAAAGCCAGACTTCATTGATTCATACACTTTGTAATTTCTGCTATATCTGGTCACCCTTCATAATATTATTTATTCTATCGTTTAAGATATAGATCTACTTGAAAAAAATTCACCCCACCTTAAATAGACATTTAAAAAGGGAAATTTGCATCATCATTGGAAATGGAAAATGGTTGCTAAAAATAGAAGGTAACCTTAAAAAGGAATGCAAATAGAAACCAAGCTGAGTTACCGCATTCTGTCTAGAAACTCCCCCCACCTGGGGTTCTGAGCCTGAGGCCTGCCCGATTAGATCGGAGGGAAGATAAACCCGGTGCGATGGTGTTTGAGTCATATCACACCGAGCTGCTGCGATAGCGGGAACAATTGAAAAAGGAGTCAGCTTTCTCCAGTGTGATTCAGTGTTTTAAGTTAGAGCATCATTTTAATTGGAAATGTCACCCCCGCTTTCCCCTGCCCGGGAAGGAGCTCCCTGCCTCCTCTCTATCTGCAGCCGCGGCTGTGGGCTGGGCTTCTGGAAGCTGGGATCTGAGCACAGGTGGCTGGGAGCAGCTGAAAGGAGGTTGTGCACTCCCCACGGGAGGGACTCCGCTTCAGGCCTCCTGGAGCCGCAGCCATGCGGCTGGGCCTTCGCAGCCCGCAGTGCCCAGTCCCCGGACACGGGCTGTCCCAGGGGAGTGTGTACAGCCCCAGGCCCAGGGCCGTTCCCGGGGAGGGACACCCTGGGGGCTTTGGGTGCCTCTGTCCTGACGGGGTGCACGTGGCCCTCCACAGTGTCCACCACAACCCCAGGGTGGTGTCTCCAGGCCAGCCTCCTCGCCAGGCTTGTTCGCTCCCTGCTGAGGCGGTGTCCGGTGCTGAGGTTGTTTGTGTCCAGTGCTGAGGTTGTAGCTGGGCCCAGAGCTCTGTGGACAGGCTCCAGCAGAGGGAGGGCAGCACAAGACCCAGCAAGGGCCCTGGCTGACACACCAGCCCCCTGGTGGGCGCCACCCCCTCTGTTGATAGTGGGAGAATCCCTCACCCCCTCACCCTCGATCCAACCACTACTAGCCCTGATCACAGACTAGCCCTGAGTGAACGTTCTATTGGTGCGGGGGCCCTGTTCTCAGTGCTTTGTGTTTATGAATTCCTGAAAACTCCCTAACAAGTTTAAACAGTGGATACTGTTTTATACCCACTCTACAGATGAGGAAACTGAGGCGCAGAGAGGTTAACTCATCGTGCACCTTGACACAGCCAGGACGTGTTGGAGCCAGGATTTGAGTCCATGTAGTTTGGCTCCAGGGATTGTGTATTTTCACCATCTTACATGACAAAGTCTCCTGAATACATACTATGCACCTGTTGTGAGCCAGGCATGGTGCTAGGCCCTGAGGATGGTGCCCTGAATAAGACAGCTCTTGCTCCCTGCTGCCATGATGCTCACGGACCCGAGAAACAGAGGGCGAGGGAGTTAACAGAGGTGTCATTTCAAATGGTGACGTGGGCTGTGACGATGATGAATGCAGGTGTGAGAAGGAGTGACTGGACTCAAGGTCGTCTGACCTTGGGAAGTCAGGAACAGGTGGGTGGATTTAGCAAGTTGAAGCACCCAGGGCTGCTGAGTAAATTTGGATCTCAGGTGAATGACAAATCAATTTTTAGTATGTCTCATGCAGCATTTGTGACATACTTATAAAAGGTTAGTTACTCATCTGAAATACTGAAATGAGCACACAGCTGGGTGCCTTGACCTGTCTGGGAACCTGGTCAGGGTGGGCCTCTGTGAGATGGGGAGATGGGATGGTCTGGGGAAGGGCAGGGTCCGTGGGATGGGAGCAGGGAGACAGTGGTGGCCGGAGCAGAGGAGCGATGGAGGGAGAGTGGGATGTGATGGGGGCCAGCGCCTGTGGGAATTTTATTCTGAGTTTTTACAGGGAAGTGGTGTGGTATGAGGGACACGTGAGCCTCCTCTCCCTGCAGCTGTGTGGATAGGTTGGGGAGTCCCTGGCAAAAGTGAGACTGGGATCTCGGGCTCCCCTCTGCACTGCGGGAGATGTCCCATAGCTAGCTCCTTCCTTGTGCTGAGTCCCAGTCACTCAGGGTGTGAAGTGAGTGGCTCAGAGCATGGGGTCTCCGTGGAGCCAGTGTCGTCCCTCCCCCCAGGTACTGTGGACAGCAGCCACCATCTATGACATTCCTTGAGTTCTCTTTGGGGGCCCAGACACTCTCCCCAAGTTGTCCCCAGCTGACAGCTGGCCCCTCCTCCTCCTCCACAGCCCAGATCCACAGCCATGTGTTCCCTACCCACCACATCTGTGTGTGCACAACTGTTTGTTTCTTCCTGGAAAAACAATCAACGCCTGTGTGGGGGCCCTCGGAGGAAATTGAACACTGGGGTTCTTCGCTGTCAAAGGCAGCATTTCCAGACTTGCAGGGTCTGGGGCCTGAGACACAGCTGGGTTCGGGCTCCATGAAAGGGCCCCGGAGTGATGGAAGTGGGCTTGGCTCTCTGAAGAGGGGTGTTGTCATCTCCTAAATTTAACTTCTCCGAGCCTCAAGCCCTGGTCCCTTCAGCCCTTTGCACAGGCTGAAGGAGAGGATGACATTGCAGAGTGTCTGAGAAGGGGCTCAGGGGATCCGGAACGACGTAGCTGTGGCGGTCTTATCACTTACTCTCTCTCCTGCATCTGCGGCAGACATCGCTAACCCATCAGAACCCTCTGCCTCTGTGCTCCCTGGGGGCTCCAGAATTCTCCTCACCGGAGTTCCAGCCAGCAGTCCCTATTCACTGGTGTTGGCATGCGACAGGAAACAGATTTGTCTCTGCTTCCTGGATGGAGATGGACAGGGAGACCCTGTCACTTCACTAGGCTTGGGCCCCATTTTGCCATTTTCTTGCCCCTTTTCAGAGCGTGCCTGTATCAGGACTGTATTTACTGCAAATGACCAAAACAACTACTCAGCCGGGCTTACACACAAAAAGATGGTATGGCTCATATAAACAGAATGTTCAGGAGTGTGCTGGCTTCAGGCGTAGCTGGATCCAGGACCCCCCTCTGATGTTTGCAGGAGTTGGTCTGTCTCTAGACTCTGCTTTCCTGTGTATTGGCTTCATTCTTGAGGAGTTTGGGGGAGGGGAGCGGGTGCCTCTCCTGGTGGCAGAGGTGCCTTCGGTGTTTCAGGCTGGCGCTGACAGCTCGGCAGTCACAGTTCACAGACAGCCTCTCTTCACGTTGGTGTTAGCTCAGGGCCTTGAGGACTGGCACTGGCCCAGCTTGGACCACTGCTGCCGGGACAGGGCTATTTTTGCTTGGCGTGGCCTGAGTGACATGCTCGCCTGTGGTGCCTGGGAGTGGAGTGGGGTCAGTTGGCTCCGAGTGTAGAGGAGGTCCCTCAGGGGAAGAATTGGGGGCTGTGACCAGAACAGAACGGATGCTGGGTCAGTGAAACAAGATGTTCCAACGAAGAGCCGGGGCTGTGGTTGTGGTGGACCAAGGTCTTCTGGAAGGAGCATGGGGCTGGTGTGAGGGCTGTCAGGCCGCTCTCAGTTCCTCCTTCTGCTTTCTTGCTTTTGTTCATAAATAGTCAGATGCCTGCACTCTGCTGGGGACTTCAGTCCCCACTGGCCCCACAGCTCAACAAGCCCCGCCCCCATAAGGCTCACAGTGCAGGGAGTGGGTGGGGGAGATGGACAGTGCACGGATGAGGACTAAGACACCGGGGCTTGAGGGCCACCATAATTCTTAAAGTCTGCCTGGTGCCGTCCCCAGACCTACGAGTTGACTCAGCTCCCTCTGTCGTCACTCTGCTTGTGTCTTTTTTTTTTTTTTTTTTGCCATCAAGCCTACCTATCTGCTGCTCCACTCTGCCACAGACCGACTCACCAACGCGATAATGAATTTGCTGAAATCATAACGATGGTCATAGCAGCCACAGCAATAAAAACAGCAGCAACAATGGCTAACACTTAACGAGCACTTACTATGCACAGTTTTAAGCACTTGCTATGAACTCACCTGGTAGTTCTTACAGCCACCTTATGGCGGGAGGTCATTGTGGTCTATAGTTTATTGACAGGAATACAGAGGCTCTGAAACATGACGTGCCTTGCCCAAGCTCACAGAGTCAGGCTACGAACCTGGGTGGTCTGCCTGCAAAGCCTGCACTTAGCAACGTACAAGGTTGATGTTGGTAGTGATCCTGGGGCCTTCGGGTGTCTTACCTCTGAACCATACGAAAGGCAGGGTCTGCAGACCCAGGAAGGCCCAGTTCTTGGCTACAGAGCAGTTTTTTTCCTAAAGCTCCTTAACATCTGGTTGGGATCTCCTGCTGTCATTCAGGTAAAGCCCTGCAGGCCTTCTCTGCAAGAGCAGGCCCCAGACCCAGGCCGGGTCCTGTCATCTAACAACAAGACAAGTCCTCTCCTCTTCTCCGCAGCCCGCCTCACTGTGGTCTGCAGCCGAGGCCCCGGCTCCCGATGTGTCTGGCAGCCTGCCTCACGTCCTTTCATTTGTGCCTGACTTTTTTACCCATCCCCATTGTCCTTGACTGGGACAGTGTGGGTGGTGCTGGGGTCTCCGCTTCTCCCTCCCTGCCCTTGTGTGTATGAGTGCGTCAGGGTCCCCGTGGGTTGCAGACACAGGGTGAGGTGCTGGAGTTGATGACTCAGTGCGTGATTCTCCGTGCTCACCCTATTGGTGGAGGTGCTTGGGGACGTAGCTTGTGTATTATAATGCTTCAAAGTCCGGTGGTTCTTTGGAGTCTGGGTTTAGGGTAGTTTGTCCCTGACGTGTGTACCCTTTGGATAATGGTGGCATTTCTTCCTATAATTCACTTTTATGGATTGAGTTTGTGTTTGTGGCTAGTACTTTTAGAGCGTTTTGAAATGTTCTAAGTGTTCATTATATACCAGGCTCTGTTCTCCTTGTTTTACATACACTGTTTAAGTTTCCAATAGCCCAAGAAGTGTGTGTGTGTGTGTGTGTGTGTGTGTGTGTGTGTGGAAACGGGGTGTCTGTTATTATGTTCATTTTATAGATGAGGGAATTGAGACATAAGTAGGTAAAGCAGCTCCTCCAAGGTCACCCACTACTTAGGAAGCTTGGAGCTGGGTTTCTAGCCCAGGTAGTCTGGTTCTAGAGTGACATTATGCTGCAGTGACTTTGTCCGTGGATCTGTGGCTTGAGATTTGTACCCATAGTTTTCACCTCCCATCTCTGTCCCCGTCCCCATCCCAGACTGTGTGACCGTGAACTGGAAGTTGGCATGGATGTTAAGAGAGACTGAATCCTGATTCTGCCCCTTCAGTAGGTGTGAGACCCTGGGCTCATGACTTTTCCTTGTTTTCTCATGTATGTGGGTGAGTATAGTCCAAGAATTGTCATGCCAGGTTATTGTGAGGGTTTAATGAATTTGCCCTCATTCATGTACGACATGCTCAGCCACACTCTGTGCTGTGAGCACTTGGCTGCTCAGGCCGTCTGCTCAGATGGTGCACACAGAGCACCCGCAGTGCACTGGGTGTGTTGGGGCAGCTGATTGATTCTGAAACCCATTCTCCCTCCTCTTTGGTTTCCTCTTTCCTGTAGGCACCCATCAGCAGGATGGCTGGGGGCTTGTTTAGAGACAAGATGAGCTGCTTGTTTTGCAGACCCACCTCTTCCTTCCTTCCATGCTTGGGGTCGTCTACCTATACCCCAGCCCAAGGTGGAGGCCCTTCAGCCCTCCCTGCCCAGTGGCCTTACCCAGGACATCCTTGTTTGGGTGGCAGTGTTCTGTGAGATTTTTGGAACCGAGAATGCTTGGTGAAGAGCTTCGTGCTAAGAAGGCTCTTGTCCCTTTGATTTCCGGAAACCTTGACTGATGGTTACAGATCTGATGACCCACGCATGACCTCTAGGCCGGAAAGACTCCAACTTTGGACTTAGGAGCATCTGGAGGTCAATAGAATTATCCCCCTGCCTCAGGAATGCCACTGCTGTGTGGCAGGGACCAGAGATCTACTTGTTCCCTCTAATTCTGGAGCCAGTTTTGACTCTTCTAGTTCATACATACAGGGCGTAGCACATAGTAGGTGTGCAGAGTTTATTCGATTAGCAAGTATTCATTGAGGGTCTACTGAGTGCCAGGATCTGGGAATATTTCGTTGAACAAGACAGACATATTCACTGCCTTCAGGAAACTGACTGCCAAGTGGGAAGACAACTGAGAAACAAATACTCTGGATAGTCCAGATTGTGAGGGGCCCATCACAAAAATGACAGGTGCATGGGTGATAGAAAACACCTGAGTGGCTTCTTTAGCTAGGGTGGCCCAGGTGTCATTTGAGGAGGTGGGAGTCCTGAATGGTGGGAAGTAGCAAGGCCTCCAGGTAGAGTGTTCCCGGTAGAGAGGATGGCAGGTGCAAAGGCCCTGACGTAGACAGGCATGGCAGACTTAAGGAGTGGATAGAAGGCCAGGAGGTGAGGTCAGAGGAAGGCAGGAGAGGGCAGATAACTTGGCTCAAGTTCACAGCTGGAACTGCAGAACCAGATTCAAGCCCAGCCCATCTGGCTTGAGTTGTACACTTGACCCTGGGCCATGCTGCTGCCGGAAAGGTTACCCAGGCTATGGGTGCAGAACTATAGATGCAAAAGTAGTGGGAGCCTCTGTACCTGTAGGTGCTAGTGGGAGCCTCTGTACCTGAAATCCTGCCTGCTCTGTAGGCCCACAGGCCTAGTCGGCAGCACACTTCAGAGCATCTCTGCCTGCCATGACCTGTCTCAGGCTCTGTCCTTGTCTTGCAGAAGGACAAGTTCTGCGTGTATGAGGAATATTGCAGCAACCACGAGAAGGCCCTGCGGCTGCTTGTGGAACTGAACAAGATCCCCACCGTGCGTGCCTTCCTCTTGGTAAGTGACCCGTCTCCCCTACCCCTCTCTTCTGTGTACTTCAGCCTTGTGCATTGTAGGCAAAAGAGAGCTTCGTGCTGCCACCTCCATGCTGCCAGTGCTGCCTGATTTCTTCCTCAGCCAGAGTAATCTGTCTAAACAGGGATTGCCAAACACTTTCTGTAAAGGGCCAGAGCGTGCATACTTTTGCCTTTGTGTGTCATACCCCATATAGCACAAAAGCAGCCATAAATAAAATGTAAAGAAATGGGAATGACTATGTTCCAATAAAACTTTATTTACAAAAACAAACAGAGGGCTGGATTTGGCCATAGGGCCAAGATTGCCCATTCCTAGTCTAAAGCAGTGATTCTAATGAGAGGGGTTCCAGTGGTAGAGATGACTATTATTTAGGTTATTTAATTATAAGTGAAAGAAACCCAGTTAAAATCGGCTTAAGCAAAAAACAAACAAAACAAAAACCAAACAAACAAACAAACAAACAAAAAAAAACTCAAAAAGAATTTACTGGTTCATTTTCCTGGGAAGATTAAGACCTGAGAGGGCTTTAGGCTCAGCAGCATCTGGGTGTTCAGATGATGTCATTAGGCATGTGTCTCTTGACTCTGCTTTTCTCTGCCTTGGCTCCATTCCCAGGCAGCTCTCCTCAAGTGGTGTCGGCGTGGCCTTCAGCAACTCCACACTTACACTGGCTCAGAGCAGAGCAACTCCGGGATAAAGATAATTGGTCTTGCCCAATAGTAAGGCCAAAATCCTGGGTCTGGTGCTCACTGGCTTCTCTTGGCTCCAGAGGTTAGATCAGTTGCTGTAGATCAAGCACGTCAAACTCAAAGGCTAACCCCCAGCCAAATAAACAAGGTGTAAGTGCATGTGGGCCGCAAAAAAACAAAAGCTTCAATTTTCATAGAAACGTAGGTTTATTTCAATAGAAACATGCTGAATACAAAGGGATGAAATAAATGAGTAAACATTAACATAAAAGTAATAGAACATTTTAATAAACATGAATATTGTTTTCTTGAACATGAACCTATTAGACACTGAACAACTGCACAAATTAATAAGCATAACGCAAATAAACCTATTTTTCTCGTTCTCCGAAAGCAAAATATTTCCTGTTGCACATACCAAACAAGTCAGTACAAGATTAATGACAATCGGCTGTTATTATATTTAGCAATTGGCTGCTAAAATATTCGCTGCTAGTATTAGTGGAGAGAAATGGTGTGTCTGCACGTAAGGCGTGTAAGGGAAATGAATGCAAATAGAGTAATCAGTCATTAGCGAATGTTGTCATTCGTTATTCATAATTATGTATAACAGGATATTGTAAAAATTAAGTTACCAAATTTTTATTAAAATGTTTCTTACATATCGTTATATTGGCTTGGCCACAAAAATATTCATTGTGGGCAGCATTTGGCCCTCGGTGTGAATTTGCCAAGCTTGCTGTAGATGGAGGGATAGGTGGGGGCTCTGATTGGTGCTTTCTGGAGCTGGAGGGTGGGGTCAGCTCCCATATATCACAGGCCCTAAGGGTGTGGTGGATCCATAAAGGACGGTTTGTACTTGTGGGGAATGGATGTTGATAAGGCAAAGCACTAGACATCCGTGCTGGTCTTCCCTACCACTGCAGAGAACTTCACTGGTGTGTAAAGTGGGTTCTCATGTGTGATCTCCTTGGAGCTTTACCAGCCGCTGTTGTGGATGAGTTAAGATATGTGTGCGTGGTGACATTTCCAGACAGCCCAACTAACCGTGGTTTAAACAACGTAAGCATTTATTTCTCTCCCATGTTAACGTGATGTAGACAGTCTGGGGTTTCCGTATCAGGGGCCAAGGCTGTAGGGTGTGCCCTCATTAACGTGGTCTAAAAAGACCTCTTCCCACTTCCACATTCAGGTGCGGGATGCAGGATGGGTGGGAAGGAAGGACTGCCTTTCTCCTAGTAAGGATACAACAGGTAGCAGCATACATCTCTTCCACTCACATTCCATTGGCCAATACTTGGTCACATGCCCACACCTCGCTGCAAGGGAGGCTGGGAAATGGAGGCTTTATTCTGGGCAGTTATGTGCCTAGTTGAAAATCCTGTTGCTGTGGAAGATTATGTTAGGGGACACCTCAAGCCTTTGCCAAAGTGATTTTGATGACGTCAAAATATTAAGTGACTTTTTAAGAGTGCAGATGATTGGAAAATGATTGAGCTTCTCAGAGGTTTGAATCCTGGTCTTTTACCTCTAAATCTCCTATTAATTCAGTCCCAGCCCCCAGCTGACACGCATACAGAGTCCAGCAAATAAAAGAACAACAGATAACTGACATGGCATAAGGAGTGTTAACCAGGTGTCCAGAGAGCTAAACTATATCGTAAAATTCTTGCATGCACTTTTCCGTAATGCAGAGTCTCCAACAAAGTATTTCTAGAATTTTGATTCAAAATGTATGTGTCCTTCACGTGTAAGTTCCCATTGCTTGGCCCGTGTCCAGTGAGCATCTGAAGAAGGGCAGGCTGGTTGACTCACTGCCACTTTTGTCACAAGTGCCTCATGCATTCGGACTGATGCTTTTCATCCTTTTTGGTAGCTGTATCTTTACGTTTCCGGTTCTGCACTCACATTCATAAAAGAGTCTGGCAAAAAGCAAAAACAAAGTCATATCTCATAAGACCACATGTATGACCATGTTTCTGTGATTGACCTTTTGAGTTTCAGGCAGCACCGCTTAGCATGCTTGTACCGAGCCCCACCTTCCAGGGACGTCCCCTTGGGCTCAGCTGTATGTTGGGAAGCACGAAGGTGTTTCTGGGGATGTGGAGAGGGAAGGGCCTCAGTTTTCCTGTCCTTCCTTCCCCTCTGCCTTGCCGTCTTCCTAGTGGCCAAACTGCCCCTTTCCAGGCAGCAGCTGGGCTAGGCCAGCTTGGGAGGGGGGAGGACGTGTGGGTGCCAGCACACATGCCATCTGTCTCCCCCCTTCCTGGCATCTCCCAGCGTTTGGCCACCTGCAGAAGTGCCATTTCATGTCTATCATGGGCTATTCGGGCGTTAGGAACACACAGACTCTGGCTTTCCATTCATGATGTGATGTGCTGTGCACTAGTTGAAAGATGGGGTGAGAACTTTGTCTTTCTGTGCCTCAGTTTCTTGTTGATAAAGTGGAGCTCATTCATTCATTCATTCATTCATTCAACAGCTTTTATCGAGCCCCTACCATGCGATAGGGATCATGCTAAGTATGGGGATAAAACAATGACCAAGGCAAGAGAAGCCCCTACTGACATGAAGTGACCGTTCAAGCAGGGGAGACCTAAGTGTCATGTGGCTTTGTTCTCTGCAGGAAATAAAGTAAGTTAAGGACAACAGGATGTTTTGAGGGGTTTGGGTGGTGCCTGCTATTTTAGATTGGTTTTTGAAAAACAGCATCGTAGGTGACACTTCAGCAGAGACCTGGTTAAAGAATGGGAGAAGCAAAGGGGTATCTGGGAGAAAAGCTTTCCAGGTAGAGGAACTGCAAATGCAAAGGTCCTGAGGTAGAAGAGTGTTTGAAGAAGAGCAAGAAGGTCAGGGTTGCTGGAATGGAGAGTGTAAGAGGAAGCGTGGAAGGAAGTAAGGCCAGAGAATGAAGGAGCATTTAGGCAATGGAGAGGATCTGAGATTTTTACTTAGCTTTTTTTTTTTTTTTTACTGTATATACATGCAGTGAATATACTCACAGCATGATGAATATTTACATATGTGTACTCCCATGAAACCACCACAGAGGTAAAGATTTATTTATTTATTGTTATTTTTTAAATTCTTTATTGTTTAAAGTATTACACGAGTCTCCTTTCCCCCCCATTTGACCTCTCCCCAGTCCTCCCCACCCCCCAGCACATGCCCTCACCCCGCTACTGTCTGTGTCCATGGGTTTTGCTCATATGCATGCATAAAAGTCCTTTGGTTGATCTTCTTCCCCCTCACCCTCTCCTTCCCTCATAGGTTGGACAGTCTGTTCATTGCTTCTATGAGTCTGGTTCTATTTTTGTTCATCAGTTTATGTTGTTCATTATATTCCACAAACGAGGGAGATCATGTGATATTTCGAGGTAAAGATGTAGAAGATTCCTTGTGTCCTGCCCCCGCCATGCCCCTCTCTGCATCCGGAGGTAACCACTATGCTCTTTTCTCTCACGAAACGTTAGTCTTGCCTGTTCTGGAATGTTTCACGAATGGAATCATGCAGGATGCTTTTGTGTCTGGCTTCCTGTGCTCAGCATAACGCCTGCGCGATCTGTCCATGTTGGAACATGTGGCAGTTTAGAATATTCGGTTTTAGTCTGAGTGGGATGGGAAGCCTTTGGTGGTTATGAGCAAAGCAATGACTTGAACTAATTTGCATTTTGAAAGGTCTGCCACCTGGCAGTGTGAGACTGAAAGCAAAAGGCACAGGGGAGCTGGTGCGAGTGTCCCGGGCTGCCGTTAACAGTGACCACAGACCTAACAGTGACCACAGACCGGGTGGTTTAAAGGACCCAACTTATCTTTCAGAGCTCCCGAGGCCAGAGGCTGAGACGGGGGCGCCGGCAGGTCTTTGCTCCCTTAGAGGCTCCAGGGGAGGGGCCTTCCTTTCTTCTGCCAGCTTCTGGGGCCTCAGGGGGTCCTTGGCTTGTGGACATGTGACTCCAGCCTCTGCCTTTGTCTCCACGTGGCCTTGTTCCCTGGCCCTCTCCTCTTCGTGTAAGGACATGGGTCAGATGAGGGCCCGCTCCAATCTAGAATAACCTCATCTTAATTTAACTGGCCATATCCCCAATGACCCTTAGGACACATTCTGAGATTCCGGGTGGTATGGCATTTTCAGGGACACAATTCACCCCACCGCAGGGCTGCGGCAACAGTCCAGGCAGATGATGGTGGCAGGACAGGGCAGTGGTGGTGCTGCAAGGGGGGGTTGGAATCATAGGGAGTTTGAGGGTTCCGCTGACTGGTCTGAAGGGTGGTCGGTTTCGGGGAGTAAATGAACGAGAGCAGTTAAAGATGGCTTCAGGGTATTGGGCCCAAACTACTGGGACAATAGGGTTGAAGTTTCCTGAGGTGGTAAATTAGGCTGGGTTAGGAACAGGTAAAAGAGGGAACTGTAAAAAGGCCATTTGGAGGCATTCAGGTGGGGGTTTAGGGAGGAAGGGGCCAGTCTGGAGATGTAAATCTGAACGTCAGTAGGTGGGATGGTGTTAGGGTGATGGGCCTGGGAGAGGTCAGCCAGGGTGGCAGCATGGACAGAAAGGAGGACCCGGGCCGGCACCGGTTTGGCTCAGTGGATAGAGCGTCGGACTGCAGACTGAAAGGTCCCGGATTCGATTCCGGTCAAGGGCATGTACGTTGGTTGCGGGCACATCCCCAGTAAGGGGTGTGCAAGAGGCAGCTGGTCGATGATTCTCTCTCATCGACGTTTATAACTCTCTATCCCTCTCTCTTCCTCTCTGTGAAAAATCAATAAAATATATTTATTAAAAAAAAAAGAAAAAAAGAAAAAAAAGAAAGGAGGACCCGGGACCACGCAGGGCATGCTGCCAAGGGAGGTGTGGAAGCTGAGGAAGTCAACACCACCTGAATCCGTTCTGTGAATTAGGAGGAGTTTTAAAGGGATAGTTTTCAAAAGCTCTTCCCATAGTGCCTGGAGTGTATTCTTCGTAGAATAGTGAATGGTAGCTCTGTGCATGTTTGCTTTTATTCTTAGGGAAAAAAAGAAAAGAAAAGAAAATCAAGTGAAACAACAATCTAGGAGTTTGGGAGAAGTCTGGTTGGTAGCCGTGACAGCCCTGTGAAAACTCTGGACAAAGAGACACGGGCCTTTCTCTGGCCAAGCCCTGGGGGCTTCTGGAAAGCCCTTCCCCACCACCCCAGGCGCCCCTCTCTCTGCCCAGAGCTGACATCACCAGGGCAGCCTGTGGGGAGTTCTGGCTCCGAGGACAAAGGCCTGAGTGTGAGCAGTGTGGGGCCTGGCATCCCCCAGCTGCCACCTCCCCGATCTCCCGTCTGTGCCAGGGTTAGACGTGGGGGCGGGAGCCATGCAGCTCCCGCCACAGGAGGGCCCCGGGGTCCCTGGGATTCTGCGTCTCCGAGGAGGGGGCCTTTCAGATTCCTGGAAGGCGGTGGTCTTGGACCAGTCATTTGGGCTCTCTGTGCCAGTTTCCCCATCTGTGGCTAAGCATGAACGGTCCAGGCTTATCCTAGGGCCGTGAGGATGAGTTTGACCGGTAGGTGAAGCATGAGGCACAGTGCCTCGTGTGTGGTGAGCACACGGGAAAGGTTCTCGGATCACATTTTCACCTGACCTGGTGGGAAGCTCCCCCAGTCCTTGCAATGGCGCCCGCACACAGTAAGCACACATCGTGAATTCGCAGGATGAATGAGTGATAGGGTGGGAATCCCTTTTCCAAGAGTCTGTTTCATTGCCAGTGTGCTAGTGCGGTGTTGAGGAGGAAGGCTGAGACCCGTTCACGGCTGCGTGTGCTGGCAGTTCGCACCTACATCAGTTCATCTGCCCATTTATTCATTCATGCTTCTATTGGGCACGTAGTCAGCCCTTGTAACTCAGGACAGTGAGGGGCATGGTGGAGGGACCACAGACACGAAACTCATGATTCCTGGCAGCCAAGACACGGATGCTGAGGTTGGAGTCCCCTTGGCTCCAAGAGGAACCTCTCCAGAGGAAAGGACGATAAATTCCTGCATGTGGTTTGTAGCCACATGGAACAGACGACCTACTGTGGAGGTGCCAGGAGGAAAGGGTCTTGGGAATTGGGAGCAGATGGGGAAGGCGGAGGTGTGTGTGTGTGTGGGGGGGGTGGGGGGGTGGGGGAGGGGAGAGGGCACTGGCCTGGCCTCGAAGAATGCCGGGCTTGGGGTAAGGGTAGCCAAGCCCAGGCTCTTCTTCTGCCCGCCTGCATGGAGATCCCACCTCCTACTCACTTTGAGGAGAAACACTTACCCTTGCCAGCCCCAGTTGCCCGAGCTGGCAAATGGGAATAATACTAGTGGTTAGCTCGAAGGGAAGTTGGCGGCAGGATGAGAACTGTTAAGAACCTTCTGGGCACATCCTAAGCTATCAGTCAGCGTTAGCTGTGGATGATGGTAATAATGGGTTTATTGTTATTATTGGGAGGAGTAACACATTGTAGGCAGGGGGTTAGAATGAACACAGGAAAGGGGCTGGCATGAAGGCAATACTGATGTGGGTGGTGAGGTGGCCAGGAAGGTGGCAGGGAGCTGAGGGGTGAGTTGCAGTCTTTACGCTGCAAACCAGACCCCAGGTATCCCTGCGGCAGCACGCAGGTCCTCACCTGCCGGGTGAAGGTAGAAAGCCTTTTCAGGGACAGACAGTTGAAGGTTGCAGGTTCATTTTCCAAATCCCATGGTAACCTTCCCTCCACAGACATAACTCTTTCTAGATCTTGGAATGTTATCTCTTTCTTGTACATGTCTTTATATAGGCTTTTATTATATAGGCTTATTGAATTATTTTCCAGACCTGTTCTCTGTAAGCAGTGCCTACTTTGGGTTTGTGTGTCTTTAAAAGTTTTAAATTGGTTCATACCATGCATATTCTTTATTTGTGTGTGTGTGTGTGTGTGTGTGTGTGTGTGTGTGTGTGTGCTTTGCTCAAAAGTATGTTTTTGAGGTTCATCCACATAGCTCTGTAGCTTTAGTTCCCCATTGTCACTGTGGTGCATAAGTGTCCTGCAGACATGTTTTTCTATTCTAATTAGGTTGCTTCTCATGTTTTGCTGCTCCACACAAGGCCGTTTTGAAGTTCATGTTCCTGTCTCCTGGTGTGTAGGTGTGAAAGCTTCCTTAGACCAGGGACCGGCACACATGGCTGTGAAAGGCCAGTTAGTAAATATTTTAGGTTTGTGACTCTGGTCTCTGTTAGTGACTCGGTTCTGCCATGATTGCTTGAAAGCAGCCATGGACAATGTGTAAATAGATGGATGTGTTCCAATAAAATTTTAATCACCACAATAGGGACTGGGCAGGATTTAGTTCATGTCTGATGGAGGCCTTGTGCTGGGTTATAGAATTCAGGGGTGAGGGTAAGGGGGTGGGGGTGAGGGGAATAGGTTTACAGTTGTGAGTATGCAAAACACAGTTTATTCTTGTATTATTATTTATTAACTAGAGGCCTGGTGCACAAAATTCTTGCTCTCGGGGCGCGGGGGGTTCCCTCAGCCTAGCCTGTACCCTCTCGCAGTCCAGGAGCCCCCAGGGATGTCCCCACAGGGAGCAGGCCTAAGCCAGCAGTCGGACATCCTTAATGCTGCTGTGGAGGTGAGGGAGGCTCCTGCCACTGTCACTGTGCTCGCCAGCCATGGGCTCAGCTTCTGGCCAAGTGGCGCTCCCCCTGTGGGAGTGCGCTGACCACCATGGGGCAGCTCCTGCATTGAGCATATGCCCCTGGTGGTCAGTGCGTGTCATAGGGACTCGTTTGGTCTATTTGCATATTAGCCTTTTATTATATAGGCTTATTGAATTATTTTCCACACGAACGACTGTAAACCTACTTTTGCCCCACCCTATATGCACATTTCCATCTCTCCTAGGTGTTGCTAAATTGCTTCCAGAGCATGTAGCTGTGTTTTGAGAGTGCGACCCCATGGCCGTTTGAGGGTGGCCCGATCCTTCTGTTGTCCTTGGCGAGTTTTAATGACGGTGTGCTGTCCCTTTGCAGAGCTGCATGCTGCTGGGCGGCCGGAAGACCACGGACATCCCTCTGGAGGGCTACCTGCTGTCTCCGATTCAGAGGATCTGCAAGTACCCTCTCCTCCTCAAGGTGAGAGCGGCACCCCTCTCCTTTCACCGTGTTCCAGCTGACAGATTGGCTCTGCTTGGCTTAATCACAAAATAAAATTTGCTAGTTCAAGCAGCTGAGAAGTCTGGGGCAGGCTGGATCCCACCAGGACCCTGCCTCTTTCTCCCTTGCTCAGTTCTGCTTTTGACTGTTCAGCTTTATTTTCAGTGTGGTCGCAGAGGGCTATAGTTACTCTGGCCTTTTACCCTCTCTTCTGGTAGCTCTGGCAAAAGTCCTGAGGGTGATTCTGGCTTTGGCCATCTGAGGCCAGGAGAATGTGATATTCTGAATGATTTGGGCCTGAGTCACGTGCTTTTACTTGAATAAATATTTTATAATATTTACATTGAATCAGTGACATGAAGCCTTTGCTTGTGCTATTTCTCCTCCTCCTGTGTGCTTGGGTTTGGGCTTCACCCCAATCGTTATCAGATGGGCAGAGTTAGGCTCTGATTGGCTAAGACATGGTCCAGTGGCAGTGAGCAAGGCGATAATTGTGTTCTGATTAGCTCAGATTTGGGGTCAGATGCTTCATACCTGAACCAATCAATCACCCTGAGCAAGGGATCTCTAATTGGCTTAGATTTTTGTCATGTGCTCCAGCCTCTCACCAATCACTGTACCACAGGCTAAAAGCCCAGTGATGGGGATAGACTGGACCCTCCTCACCAAAATCTAGGCTCTTTGTGGAAGAGGGTGGGCAAACAGATCCACAAACTGCTATTTCCTGTGCTGTCCAGCCGCCTTTGGCTTCGTCTTGGTCCAGGAGACCAGGGAAGATTTGCTGCTTGTGTGGAGACCCAAGGAGTCTTCATTCTCAACATTAGAGCCGGCTTCTGGGTAGGTCTCCAGCTGGGTGGATAGCTCTGTCACCATCTGCTGCTCTCAGCTCAGGGTTTTCAGCCCTTGGAAGTGGGGCCTATTGACCTGAGCTTGCCTTGGTGCCATCCTCAAGGCCTTGGGTCTGACAGCTGTTCCTGGAGTCTTTGCTGGTGGACTAATTTGGCTGGCGGTGCCTCATGCACATGCCTGGGGCCATGTGCATCCTTGCTCCATGAACTGGAAGAGAGAGGGGAGGGGAGAAGTACTAGGGAATTCTTGGACTTGACTTCCTGCTGGATACAGTGGGTGACACCTGAGCCTCGGAGCCTGAGCAGACCCTGGGGCCATCATCTCTGCCTGTGCTGTGTGCAGCTGGGGGAGGTGGGCCATGGCTGTCCCTTTACCTCCTCTGGCCTGCTGCTGTGTATCCCTTCCCTGGATCTCCACAGGACTTTCTGCAGTGGCTCTTGTAGCTGCCGGGACCCCCTGGGGGGTGTTGGCGATGTCATACGTAGCTCAGCTCTCCAGCTTGGTGCAGGAGGAGCCAATTGGTAGCCTGTGGACCGAATTGGACTTTTGCCAACACTCTTTATTTGGTCTGTGTGGTGTGTCTTCCATAGGTGAGCGAATTGCCAGCATTTAGTTCTGTACCAGCTTAAGTCGGGGGCTAGCAAAACTGTGGCTGCCGGGTCACATCTAGCCCGTGGCCTGTTTGTGTACAACCCATGAGCTGCGAGTGGTGCTTACGTTTTTTAAAGGGTTGTCAAAACAAAACAAAACAAAACCCTAAGACAAAGAAGACTGTGTGACAGAGACCGGATGTGGCCAGCAAAGCCTAAAATATTTACTATCTGGGCCTTCACAGGAGAGGCTTGCTAACCCCTGGGTTAGGGCCACACTTGGCAGCCACAGGTTGCCTGGGTTTGAACCCCGGCTCTGCCCTTTACGAGCTGTGTGATCTTGGGCCAGTCACTTCTCCTTGCCTCAGCTTCTCATCTGTAATACATAGTTTGTATTAATAAGGTTGTTTTGATGATGAGACCCTTATTTACTTATTTACTTATTTCTTAGAGCAACTCGATGAGGTAGCCACTTTAATCAGCCCCATTTTAGAGACAAGGCAACTGAGGCACAGAGAAAGGAAGGGGCCTGCTCAAGGCCACATGGTGGGTAAGGAGGCAGAACTATGATTTGTGGATTCTAGAATTCCCCTATCCACTCCACAGCCTGTTGGGAAACACTTGGAGGTGCTAAGGCTGCCAAAGGGCTGGGTGTTGGGCATGCTGACCTCAGTTCCCTAAGTGGGGAGTCTGGGAAGGTCGGTGACCTTGTGTGTCATAGATCAGGGACTGGTCTGCTCCTCCTTTCCTGGTTTTCAAAACCTTACGCATTTGACCTGTTAGGAGAACCACCAGCTGAGGTTCCCTAGGTGTTAATTAACCCCCCGATTTCTGGATCTTGGGGAAGTCTGGGATCCCAGCGTGCCTTTGGAATGGCAGTTCCTATAACGCATTCCAATAGCCCGTGGGGCTGGGCCTGTGTGTATGGGTGGACTCCAGCCCTCTCTGCGAGGCCCATGTGTTTCCGAGGCCTGCTCAGCCCCAGGGGCCACAGTTCGGTCTGGCAGGGCTTCTGGGTTCTGGGTTCCCAGAAGAGCGGAGAGGGACAGAGCCGGCCGGCCGGCAGCTGATGGAGGAATAACTGCCCACAGGAAATGGTTGAAGCCGGGCTGTGGGTTTGCTCTCCTGACCAAATGGCTGTTTACAGGCTCAGTTTCCTCTGTCTCCAGCTGTGTTTATCCGAGGCTCAGAGAGCACTGGGGGACCGGCCAGCGGGACCTCAGATTCCTGTGGGCCCATGCCGCCCGCCTGCCCGAATTGCTCTGTGTGTCCGGCCTTTGGCACCCACAGCTGAAATGTTCGCATCAGAAAACAGCTGGGACTGAGGGGAATTCTTCATACCCCCCTCCCCCCGAGTTCCTCCTTTCTGTCACATTTTCCAGTGGGTTATAAAAGACAATCCCTTGTGCAGGGAGGGGGTAGGGTCAGGCCTCCCTCCGGCCCCTGGTTCTGACGCCCTCGCAGATGTCCCTGTGGCCCTCTGAGCCCCTGGTTTGAGCTGAGCTTGAATTAAGGAGGCGAGCAGGATGGAGGAGCCTGGGCAGGAAGAGGGAAGAGGGAAAAGGCGAGAATGAAAGCCTCTTTGGGAACAGCCCCAAAAAGCTGAACTTGAACATTGCCTAAGAATAGCCGGAACATTCTATTTCAGCCTTCAGCCCAGACCCGGCATAGACAGTTGGCATTTTCAGGGTTTGTTGAGTTTTCCGTCGGCTGTTCCAGGGAAATGATTCAGGTTTGGGGTAATGCCCCTGGTGCTCAAATGGCAGGTGCCGCGGCGAGACAGACTGTCACCGACCCTTTGAGCTGTTTCCGGCCGATGCCAGAGCTCCTTGGGGCGCTGCCTGTGCACCGGCTGCTGGAGTGGCTCAGGATCCACAGGGCTTGTCTTGGACTGGGGTCCCCCCCAGGGCCTGCCGGCTGCCGAATGGGAGCAAGTGAGGCAGGCAGGGGGCAAGTTGGAGGGCACATCTGTCTAAAGGGGGCAGCCGGCGCTCCAGTCCCTCTGTTCCCCTTTGCCTTCTGCCTCTCTAACCCCTTCCGTCTCCTTTGCTGGATCCTCACCTTCTAGACCTCTAAGCGTAGGTGGGCCCCGGGCCTCAGTCCTTGGCCCTTGACTCTGTCTAGACTTGCTCCTGGAGGGCTTGTTTACTCTGGCTTTTCTTATTTTATTAAAGAATATTCAGAAGTTGGGCAACCATCACCATCATCATTTTAGAAATATTTTCATCATCCCTCCCAAAAGGAACTCTGGACCCATTTAGCAGTCACTTCCCTTTTCCCTCCTCCCCTCCCCCAGCTCCTGGCAACCACCCACTTCCTGTCTCTACGGATTGCCTGTTCTGCACATTTCACATAAAGGGAAATCATCATATCTAACCTTTTGGGTCCAGTTTGTTTTACGTAGCACAGTATTTTCTAGGCTCATCCACGTTGGGGCATGGCTCACAATTTCATCCCTTTTTACAGCTGAATAATATTCCATTGTGTGGATAAACCATGATTTGTTTATCCATTCATCTGTGGACATTCGGCTTCGCACTTTCTGGTTATTACGAATGGTGCTATTATGTACATGCACCTACAGATTTTTGTGCGGACATTCCCATGGCTTTAAACTCCATCTCTGGGCCACTGACTTCCAGCATGCATCTCTCCCTTAGCCTCGGCGGGACTTTGCTTGGCATCTATGTCTAGCCGGGATCTCCTACCTAACATGTTGCAAACCAAATGCTGGCTCTCCCCTTGCCCGAGGCCTGTCTTCTCGCCCATCCTACTTCCTCACCCCCATCTCTGTAAATGGCTTCTCTTCTTTTTTCAAAAGTATGTTTTTATTGATTTTGTAGAGAGAGATTAAGGGAGAGGGGAGAGAGAGAGATAGAAACATTGATTGGCTGTTTCATGCATGTTCCCTACTGGGGATCAAGCCTGCAGCCTGGGCTTTGTGCCCTGACTGGGAGTCAAACCGATACTACTTGGGATGGTGCTCAACAACTGAGCCACACTGCCCGGGCTGGTCTCTCTTCTTTCTGGTTGCTCAGGCCAAGCCCGGGAGTTATTTCTGACCCACCCCATATCTAGTCCATTAGGCAGTCCTGTTGGCTCCCTCCCCACATACATAAAGTTTTCTGGGGTGCCCCCTAAAATCCTTTGGAGAGCTGTGATTAGCACACTGGCCTGCACCGAGCACTGAGGCCAGTACCTCCTTAGTGATGGGCTGCATCCATCTCCAAGGGCGCCATGCTGCTATGATCAAGTTTGGCCCCCAGGTGTTTGACAAGTTTTAAATCAAGTTGGCATTTGAAAATCAGGAGCTTTAACATGGAGGTCTTCAGTTCTGTATTCAGGAACAGTTGGCAGCAATAGGGTGACATTTCTACAGTCATCTAATGAGTGATTGGGAGGCACCTACTGCGTGCTAGGTGCCATTCTGGGCACTGGGGACGTTACTTAGCAGATCCCTTGTAGACTTCCTGATTACCTCCAAGGGAGAGCCACAGTTGGTGGTACAGTGTTCAGGGGTTTTGAAGCCATGAATTCATTCCCAAACTCTTTATTCAGCAACTAGTATGTGTCAGGCATTATACTAGGTGCTGGAGATACAAAGTGAGAAAAACTGCCCAAACTTCTACCTGTGTTCTGCTGTTCTGCTGGGGGAGGCAGACAGCAAACGAATAGGAAATGTATATGTTCGTGTAGGTGGAATGGGTGCTTTGGAGAGAAATGTATCAAGCTAAGAGTGATGGATTGAGAAGGGACTTTTGAGCAAAGACCCGAAAGAGATGAGGAAGGTTCCTTGGGGAAGAATCTTCCAGCCAGAGGGAACAGGCAGTGCAATGGCTCTGAGGTAGGAATGTGTCCGAGGAGCAGCAAGAGGCCAGAGATACGAGGTAGAAAGTGGGAGACTGAGGTTAGAGAGGTGATGGGGCCAGCTTATGCACGGCATTGTGGATCCTTGTAGGGTCTTTGTCTTCTCTGAGTGAGGGGGCTGCCATGGGGAGGTTCTGAGCAGAGGAGGGACAAAGTATGGCTTAGTTCCCACAGGACCCCTCTGGCTGTCTGTGGGCGGGGAGAGTGGAGGTGGGAGTCCAGAGGGGAGTCGACCTCAGTGATCCTGGGAGGAGATGGCTGGACTACATTGGTAGCCGTGGTGGGGGATGCATTTTATGAGAACTGCCTCTTCACATCAATAGCCCGTTTTCAATTAGGTAGTCGTTTTCCTATTATTTGCCAAGGTTTTCTGTATTATCCTGGATATTTGTGTCATCTCTTTGGTTCTCGTCTGACTCTGATGCTATGAAATGGGCCCTCCATCTGCCAGGGATCTGGCACTGTCACCGTCTTGCTGAGAAGGCACAGGAAGTCAGAGGTCTCTGCACTGTGGTCTTCCCTGCCCAAGCTCCCATCCTCCCCCAACCACAGTGCCCACCCTCCATCCTGCCTTTTGGGCCGTGAAGTGACACCTTAGCCTAAGGCTGTTCCAGCATCTCAGCCCCAATTCAGGTCCTTTCCTGTGTGGAGAGCAACAATAGCTCAAGGAACGGAAGCCTCCTCTTTCAGGGCGAGAGACCTGCTTTCCTCCTGTCAAAGCCACGCTTGTATATCCGGTCCTCCAAGTAGCCTTCCTGGATCTCTGTCCCTGGGAGTCCTGCCTGCATTCTGCTTTCTGCCACGATCGATTGGTGTGGCTCTAGCTCAACCTCTTAGCGTGTGACCAAGTGCAAATTGTTTAACCTCTCTGTGCCTCCATTGTGTCATCTGCAAAATGTGACATGTAGTTGCCTCCCAGGCTTGCTGCAAAGACAGTGCGTGGGAAAACTCACAAAAACATGCATATGACTAGGTAGATAGTCATGCTTGGTAAATGTTAGCTTCTCTAATATTATAGTGATTTATTTTTATTCCAGTTCCTGAACTTTAATTAGAGTAACTTCTTGAGAAGAGACTTAAGTTCTCTGTCTCTGAGTTTCCTCCTCTATCAGCTAGATAGTGCCTTGGTCATGGGTTATTGTGAAGATTAAATGAAATAATACATGCAAAGTGCTTCTAAGTGCTTAATAAGTATTGATATTAGCAATTTTTATTGTCTCAACGTTCATTTTGCCCAATAGTCATAGAAATATAGTAGTTTTTAAAATTAGCATTTTCATGACATATTTTGTTTTATCCTTTTACTATCAACCATTCTCTATCCTTAGGGTTTAGGTACTTCTTTTATAAACTACACAAAGTTAGAATTTAAAAATCTGTCAATCCTTATCTTCTAACTGGAGAGTTTAGCCCACTTACATTTATTTTACTTATTGATACATTTGAATTTATTTCTACCATTTTTTTTCTATTTTTGTTCTCTTCACCCTTTCTTGCTTTATTTTGCATAATTTTAGTTTTGTTTTTTGCTGTTTACTCTTTTTCTTTTTATTTCTTTTCATTTTACTTCTGTATTGGAATTTATAGCTACTGCCACCACCATCCTGTACAAGAAGTGAGTAGATTAGATAGAACTCAGTGGGATGGTGACTGTGGCCAACTGCAGAGCACCTGTCCTGTCTAAGGAGTGGCTGCCAGTCAGGCCAATTGTTAGTGGTAGGTGGAAAGTGCTTCTGCTTTGCTGAGAGAGGCTGGCAATAGCGATTGGCCTGCGGGGCCTGGTTTATGTCCTGGGCTTTGCTCTAGTCCTGCACTGCAGAGCCAGGAGACCGAGGCTCAGAAACGGGGGGGGGGACTTACCTAAGGTCACACATACTGTATGTCCTGGTTGAAGCCAGAACGTGGACTCCCAGTCCTGAGCCCTCAACCACTGTTTGCCCCTCCCTCTCTCAGTGGAAGGATGGCGTTTTTAAGACCCACGTGCATTATTTCGTTCCTCCACTTATTCATAATCTGCGGGGCCTCAGTTCTCCCAGCCTTGAAGCACGGGCTGAAATGCTTAAAATCAGAAATGTTTTTGCATGAAATTTCCATAGAGTTTGCAGGCCTGGAGGTTTTCTTTGCTGTGCTGGACAGCTTTTCACTTCTGGGTTTTCTTGGACTTCCAGATGTCTTTTTCTTCTTCTTCTTTTCTTTTTTTCTTTTAAGTGGTGAATCTTGCTGTCTGTCATCCTAGATGTGACCTGAGGGGACCCCAGAACTGCAAGCGCAGGAAAGTGTTGGGTAGAGATGACAGCTCCGCCTCCTGGGCTTGGACAGAGCCTGCAGCTGGCTGGAGTGTCTTCAGAAAGTGGGTGTCCTCTGTTGGTCCGGCCGCCGTGGGTGACACCCTCCACTCCCACGGGCCACCTTTTTCTCGTTGTGGAGAGGACAGCATGGCTTCCCAACTGCCTTGTCTCCTGGGCCTCCACCACGCCCACGTCAGAGCGAGTGCTAGATACTGCCACTTCTTCCAGTGACAGATCCAGCTTTGCTTTTACCCTGTGGTTTCGTGGATCTGTCTTCTTATGCTGGTCTGGCGTTCGAGGCCTCTTCCCAGGCTGTCCTCTGGTGGCCTCGCTATGGGCGGAGCCCACACCTCAGGTCCAAAGGGGCTGCCCCCACACACAGCCAGTGGCTCCCTTTTGGTAAAAGTGTGGTTGGAGGGGAGCGAGGGGGCATGAGGGACCTTTCAGAAACGCCGGGTTCCTGTACTCTGACATCCTCTCTTCTAGGAAGTGCTCACCTCAGGCCTGCTTGTGAAACCACACGGGCTCACAGGCGGATGTTGGGCAAGGCCATCAGCCTGGCTCCGGAGGGGCTGGCGCTGTCATTGTGCAGGGTGGCCCAGGGCAAACCCCTGCCCTCTTTCCTTCTCTGTCCTCGGTGAGTCTAGGTATTCCCCGGGGTCTGCCCCTGCTCAGATGTTTTGTGTTCAGAGAGCCTAGTTGTGGGGAGAGTCATGTCTAGGTCACATGACTAAAGAAACATGTTTGCTGGTATGGCTGGAGGAGTGATTCACTTGGGAAATTTTCCCTGATAGCTTCAGGCCTGGCTAGTCCCTTCCTCCTCAGTTCCTCTCTCATCACACTGACGAGACGGCGGAAGCCCTTGGATAAGACTGGCCTGACCTTGAGAATGTCCTTGCCTGTGCTTGTGGTGGGGGAAGTTCATGGGTTAAAGGTCTGCTCTGACTAGCCTCCTTACACCCTCCGCCATGTCCCTGTGAAGGCAAGGTGTGTTTTATTTTCACTTAGAGTTGACATTTAATGTGATTTTATGTCAGTTCCATGTATACAGGATAGTAGTTAGACATTTACGTAATTTACGAAGTGATCCCCCCGATAAGTCTACTCCCCATCTGACACCGTGCATAGTTATTACAGTGCTATTGACTACATTCACTATGACACATTTTGCATCCCTGTGACTATTTTGTGATTACCACCAGTTTGTACATGTTAATCCCTTCACCTTTCTCACTCAGCTCCCCAAGGCAAAGCATTATTGATACCCATTTTACAGATGAGAAAATGGCTGGGCCAGGGCCATATCCGCGACCACCTTTCTCTGCCCGGTCCTGTCCTGTCCTGTCCCTCTCTCTCCTCTCTCTCATTTATTCCATTCCAGCCACACCACCTTCTCACGGTTATTTGTTACCTGCCGCATGTGCTCCCACTTCAGACCCCTTGCATATGCTGTTCCCTCTACCAGGCACACTTTTCCCACAGACTTTTTTCAGGACTCTCTCCCTTGCTTCTCTGGTCTCTATTCACATGTCACCTCCTCACAGGGGTCTTCCTGACCCCCCTATTTGAGAGAACACCTTTTTTCCCTAAGACTCTCTAGCCCTCTTATTCTGATTTGTCTTCATAGTATTTATCACTGCCCGACAATGAATTATAAACTCGATTTTTCATTATTTTATCTGATCTTTTATAGAACATAATACCCACCAGGTGAAGAAGTTTTCTCAACAAATTTGTCCCAGATCTTAGAATACTGCCTGCTATGGAGGAGGTGCTCAGGGACATTTATTGAATGAATGAATGAATGAATGATGTTTCCCAGCCCCAGATCGTAAAGTTTTCATATAGCAGGCTGGGCGACCTGGAAGCCAGGTTTGATCCCCTCTGGGTTGATGTTTCTTATTCTTCTTAAAAAAAAAAAAAAAAAAAAAAAAAAAAAATATATATATATATATATATATATATATATATATATATATATATTATTGATTTTTTTACAGAGAGGAAGGTAGAGGGATAGAGAGCTAGAAACATCAATGAGAGAGAGAGACATCAATCAGCTGCCTCCTGCACACACCCCACTGGGTTGTGCCCGCAACCAAGGTACATGCCCTTGACCGGAATCGAACCTGGGACCTCTCAGTCCGAAGCCGACGCTCTATCCACTGAGCCAAACCGCTTTTGGCGATGTCTCTTATTCTTGCCCTCACTTTTTCCCTAGGAGCTCGCCAAGAGGACGCCCGGAAAGCACCCGGACCACACTGCGGTCCAGAGCGCCCTGCAGGCCATGAAGACCGTGTGCTCCAACATCAACGAGACCAAGAGGCAGATGGAGAAGCTGGAGGCGCTGGAGCAGCTGCAGTCTCACATCGAAGGCTGGGAGGTGGGTCTGGGGCAGGCGGGGCCGGGTTGCCAGGGGCACAGAGAGCGTGCAGCTGCAGCAACAGACTGGCCTGGCCACTCAATTCAGCCGGTAGCGTGTTTTGTTTAGCCTACATCATATTTGTAAAGAAGTGGTTTAATTATTTTTCAATTAAGTCCACATAAAAATGTACACTTCAGGTGTCCTTTGAAAAACGGTAACACTGGGTCCCCATTCTCCACAGTAGTAGCCACCAGAGCTTCCGATTTTCCTCAGTCTCCACTACGCCTCATTACTCCCCAATCACTCTCTTTCACAAGTTGCCTTACCTGCCTGGTGCCCATAGGCCTTAGATTTTTTTTTTGATATCAAGGTCAGGGGTCTACTCCAGGACAGGATTCTGGCTCTGATACTTCCTTGCTGGGTGTCTTTAGGTCAGTGTCTTAACTTCTCTGAACTTCATTTTCCTCATTGATACCTGGCACATAGTATAAGTCCTCAATCCATGGTAGTTATTGATGTTGCTATCATCATGATTATTAGGGGATGGCATTCTTGAGATCTTCTGACAGTGTGTAATTTATTTGTTTAAACCTCGACATCTTTCTTAGATTATTAGAGATTTCCTACAAATCCATAGAAGGAAATGGGAAAATGTGAGTAAATTAAAAAAAAAAAAATATCAGAGTAAATACAGCTGGAAGGGGAGATTAGGAGCAAAAAAAAAAAAAAAAAATCAAAGAGTTTGTGGACACAGATTATCCTCTGAATCATCTGCATTTGGTTTTCTGGCACTCGCTGTGTTTGGGATTTTCCGTTTCTTTTCCCTGTGTGAGGAAATCCTAAGTGTGACTCTATCGCTAAGGGGCTGAGGGTGTGGCTGCAGAGAGGAGTGGGTTCGGTGTTCAGTGAAGATGTGGGGTGGTGGGCCCCTTCCGTGTGGAGGGATTCCTTTGCTTCAGTTTCCTCATCTGGAGTAATGCTCGCCACGTCCCCCACCCTCCTTCCCCTCGGCCTTCCCGCCTGGCCGAGACTGGAGAACAAAGAACTCAGACCCCCTTGTTGCTCGGGTTTGGAATGTGATTGGCCAAGAGCAGATCCAGCTGCTTGACATTGGGAGGCAGGGGCGGATGGAGGCCACCCTTGTGCTATCTTGCAGCAAAGCACAGCCTCGGTCATATTTGGCTTTCTGTGGCAGCGAGGGCCAGGCTCCAGCTTCCCGGGTGCCGGAGGCAGGGCAGGGGCCTTTCTTGTTGTTGATGGTGGCAGGGCAGGATGGCTTTGCAGCGGACGGTGGAGGCAGCGGCTCCTGAGGGCTTGAGGTCAGATTGGCGTTTTCCTGGAGGGTCAGCTTAGTGGCTGTCCTGATTTGCCCTTTTCCCAGGAGGGTTGAGGCAGTGGCCGTGGAGGGGCCTTGTTCTCGGTTTGCTGGGAGCCCCGGCTGAAATGTCTATCCTTCTAGGCCCTCTTTGATCGAGGAAGCCCCCACTTCTTCCTGCCTAAAATACATAGCTGGGATTCTGTTTCCAACATCGCCTGATCATCAGGTGTGTTGGTCAGGACTCTCATTTCAGCCTTGTGATGTCAGAGCTCTGATTTGGTCTCTTTTTAAAAAATATATTTTATTGATTTTTTTTTTTTTTTTTTACAGAGAGGAAGAGAGAGAGGGATAGAGAGTTAGCTGCCGCTTGCATACCTCCTACTGGGGATGTGCCCGCAACCAAGGTACATGCCTTTGACCGGAATCGAACCTGGGACCCTTCAGTCCGCAGGCTGACGCTCTATCCACTGAGCCAAACCGGTTTCGGCTGATTTGGTCTCCTGTCATCCTGTTGGCCTTCTTCTCATGGTGCCAGGGTGGCAGCAGCTTCAGGCATCCTGTGCCCAGAGCAGGAGGAAGAAGGAGCCAGGGGCAGAGCCAGGGCAGTGAGAGGGACTCCTCTCTCGGGGAGGAAAACCTTTCTCCGAAGCCCCAGAGGAATTTCCCTCTCATCTTATTGGCCAGAAGTGGGTGACATGGCCACTTCCCACACATGTGCTCACATAGGGAGCGACTATTGTTGACATATTCGAGCGCCTGTCTCTTAGGACTTGGAGCTTCCTGGCAGCCAAAGTGAAAAGAACAGGGCATATAAGTTACTTAACATTTATCATCAAAAAAGGAAGATAGAGAACAGTTCTTCTGGGAGATAGATCATTTCCTGGAAACAGCTGGAAAAGAAATGTCTCACATGGGCCCCTGTGGAGAGGGTGTTGAGCAAGCGGTTTGGCAGCCGGAGCAGAAGTGATTTCCAGATGCCTTCTTCTGGTAAGGGCCCAGGGAAATAGGAACTAAGGGTTTTAGGGGACACCCCCCCCCCCCCCCGTTCCCAGAAAAATGTACAGTTTGAGAATGGCCCTCATTTTGATCACTCCACTAGGAAATAAAGCGACCCAGAATAAGAATTGCTGGCAATGACTGAGCCCCTGTTAATATTTCCAACATTAGAAGGGAGGTGGTGGTGTTACTTCCATTTTACAGATAAGGAAACTGAGGCACGGGGACTTGGTTTTGAAGCTCAGCACTAGAACCTGCCGAGTTCCTTGCCTCAGCAGGCTAGTTTGTCCTGCTCTCTTGGTGTTATTTTCCCCTCCTTGTCTAATTTTAGTGATAATATCTCTGAAGTTCTGCTGTCATTTTGTGGATAAAGTGAAGTATGGAATACTTTGGAAAATCTGAAAGGTTTTCTGTGCAGTAGGACGGTTTTTAAATAGAGCTTCATCCTCAAGGTGACTTGTGAAAATAATACATTTTAGCTAGAAAAAATAATGTGTAACAGCAAGGCTACTCGCCGTGGCTTCATGCCATCCGTAGTTACAACCTCAGGGGAGAGGACTAGTTAGGGTGTCGTTCACGGTGAGTGATAGCGATGGCCAGTCCTTATTTCTGATACTCTTCCTGACGGTTTCTGACCTTTCTGTTTGACCTGTTGCCAATCTGATGAGGTGGTTGTTGCCTCTCTCGGAACATGTCTGACAAGAACTTGCTTTGAGGGGAGGGGGAAAGTCTTTTCTGGGCCACGCTCTTGCTGTGTGCTTGGGCCTGCAGCGTTCGTTTGACATCTGATCCTCGGTTTCATGGGGCCTGATCCTTTGTAAGCCACTTGTCCTTTTTAGTCGTCAGGCTGGTTTAGTTCAAACCAGATAAGGTAATCCATAAATCCATTTTGCCGAGCAGGAGGAAACGGCCGTACGTGGCAATGCTGCAGAAGTGAGTGGATGCCCCGGCCCCCCTGTGCCTCCGCTTCCTCACCCGGAAAGTCTGGGTGGTGGCAGTACCCCTGGAGTCACCGGGGGGTTCGGGAGTGATGCACGCAGAGCACTCAGAACAGCGCCTTCTTCCCGGGCTCAGCGCACACGCTCAACAGGAGCAGCCCTGGCAGCAAAGCAGGGTTTCTTTCTCAGATGTTTTAGATGAACAAGCATCATGCAGCTTTGGCTGGAGCTCACACCCAGCGTGGGCTGACCCCAGGGGACACTCCAGATCTCCAGATCCAAGCCCCACAGACTGTCGCAATAAAAAGAAATGCATCAGAGAGAAACAGCGCACACGCCTCTCGCTGGCTCTGGGGGCTCTGGTTGAAGAGGGAACAGAGGAAGTAAAATGCCCATGAATAGAAGTTTTGATGTGTCCCTCCCACCCTGCCTCGGCTGCCTGTGCTACCGGGAACACGTGGCGTCTTCCCTTCTGAGACCCCTGCTCTTGGCCAATGACTGCACACAAACACCTTTCAGGCTTCCTTTGAAGAGGCAGCCCAAGGGAGCAGAGATAGTGGGTAGGGCAGAGAGGCCACCTGCCTGGGCCCAGGTCCCAGCTGGCTCACTCACCAGCTCTGTGACCTTGAACAAGTGGCATTCTGTGGGGGAGGTGGAATAATAAGTCAAGACATAAATAAATAAGGAGGAGGAAAGCATAGGTAATAAGTTCCCCAAAACAAAACTAGATGCTGTCTGACTGAGTGAGTCTTTTTAATCTCCCTGAGCCCCAAGTCCCATGTCTATGAATGGTCACCTCCGAATGCTCGTCCCAGCATTGTTAAGGCTCATTCGGCAGATGGGAGCCGGTGATCACATGGTATTGGTTTTCTGTCCGCTGATAGATTTGCGGTGCATTTAGATTTTGGAGTGAGAGAGGCGGTGATCGGTTGTGTCTGGGAGGGAAGAAGGTATCCCCACATGTTCTGGACTTGCCAGCTCACTCACTGTGCCCGTTGTCACTCTCCCAGGGGTCCAACCTCACAGACATCTGCACCCAGCTCCTCCTGCAGGGGACTTTGTTAAAAATCTCCGCGGGCAACATCCAGGAGAGGGCCTTCTTCCTGTTTGACAACCTCCTGGTCTATTGCAAGCGGAAATCCAGGTGAGCTGCTGGGGGCAGGCTGCCCAGGTGGGCCGGGCGGCTGGGATTGGGTTGAACCCTGACAGTTTCTCATGGTGACAGCATCCCTTTCTGCACCTCCTTTTTTCTCTTCTGAGTTGTGGGGCTTGTCCTAGATCAGCACTGTCCATAGAAATATAATGTTTGAGCCACATAGGTTATTGAACACTTAATGTGGTTTTTTGAAACACACATTACATGAAAGGAAACCAGTGAGATGAATTTAAATAAAAGTTTTTATGTATCCCATTACATCCCCGAATATTATCATTTCAACATAGTAAGTTTAAAAAAAGTACTACATAGATGTTTTGTATTCTTTTAAAAATTTCACACTGAGTCTTCAAAGTGTGGTATGTACAGGTTGGGGCAAAATTAGATTTACAGATGTGAGTACCTGAAACAATTTATTTTTGTGTTATTATTTATTATATTATTTTCTATACAAACAACTGTTAACCTACTTTTGGCCCATCTGTATGTTATACTTACTACACATCTCAATTTGTATTAGTCAAATTTAAATTTTTTTAAAATGGGTTTTTATTGATATTTAGAGAAAGAGGAAGAGGAGAGGGATAGAAATAGAAACATCAGTGAGAGAGAAACATGATCAATTGGCTGCTTCCTGCATGCCCTTTACTGGGGATTGAGCCCACAACCTGGTTATGTGTCCTGATGGGAATCGAACTGGTGACCTCTTGGCTCAACCACTGAGCGACACCAGCCAGGCTATACTAGCCACATTTTAAGTGTTCAGTAGCCACATGAGAACTGTGGCTTCCATATTGGACTGTGTAGGTTGAGACAATCATGGGAGTTTTGAAGTTGTTTGTGACACCAACATCCTGTGATTCTAAGATCCAAGACAGAGAGTTTGAGAGGAGAGGACTCTCCTGTTCTTAAGCTTTTCAAGGGAAAGGATAGTACCACTGTCATCTTTGTATCTTTCTCTGGAACTTCTTGCATTCTGTAGAGTCTAGGAGTGAATGCATGGGTGGATGAGTGGTAGATGCAGGTGTGAGTGATGGGATGTATGGGCAAATAGATGGATAGTTGGGGGTTTGGGAGATGAATGAATGGCGTATGAAGGGAGGCAGGGAGGGAGAGATTGGATGGATGTATGATTCGATTTATGAATAAATGAGTGAGTAGGTGAATGAGTAAGTGGTTGAATGGTTGGAGGTGCAGGAGGTGGTGGGATGGAAGGATGGGTAGAAGTTGGGGGAATGTATGGATGTTTCAGTAGACTGAGAAATGGATATGAAAACATGATGAGCTGGCAGAGGTATGTTTGGACCAATAGTGAGTTGGGGCCTTAATATATAGTTTGTTGAGTCAAAAGGCTGATGAATGGATGGGAGTGTGGGTAGGTGATGGAGGTTTGGTGGTTAGTGGATAGATGACCATTTAGATGTGTTGTTGATGGGTGGATGGATGGTAGTTACTATGGTGGTTGAAGTCTGGTATGGAAGATTAGATAATTGGATGACTGAGTGGATGATGGATAAATGGATGATTGGGAAGAGGGAAAATTAGACAGCTAGGTGGAGGCATGCGTGGATGGGTGGATGGATGGGTAGATAGTGGACTGAGAGATTCCTGCCAGCAGGTAGAGGACTGTCTCAGCGCCACTCTTTTTGAATTGTGCTGTCACTTTGTCTTAGGTGACTTCCTGGAGGCTTCACCTCTGTAGTGAAAGCTAAGGCTGAGGGTGGTTCAGACTCTGGGCCCTGCTGTCAGCAGTCCCTCCAGCTCCTTTCTGGTCTGGGCATGCCACTTACTGTCTGAGCCTCATTTTCCTTCTCTGTTTCTGCTGCCTCCTGAGGGGGTGGGCAGGAGCCTTTCCATGGGATGAATAATGGGCGTTCCATGCACATGTGTGGGCTTCTCTTTGTCTTCCTCTTCCAACCTGACCACTCTGAGCCTCAGTTTTCTCTCCTGTAAAATAGGGATGGTAAACCCCTTCCTACAGTGGTGTTTAGTTAAGAGCCCAGCTCAATAATTGAAACCCTGTTCAGTGATTTCTCTACATCTGTGACTTTGCCTCAGTTTTCTCTTCTGTAAAATAGGGTGAACAGCTATGCCATAGTCTTCGTGAAGAACGAATGTGTTAAGTGTGCCTGGCAAATAGAAAATGTACAAAATAAGGGGCAGCTGCTCTTACTGCTGCTGTTAACGTACCTCTGCACATGCTGAGTTCCTATTCAGTGCCTTCCCATAGCACCTGGTACATAGTAGGTGCTTCAACCACAGGCCCTTTCCCCTCGCCCTTTCCTCCCTATCCTGGGGTGTGGTCCTTCTCCGTAGAGGCCTTAGTTTCCCTCATTTACCATCTAGCGGCGGCTGGGTCAGCATGTTTTCTCATTTGATATTTCATACCTGTCCGCTGGGTTAGGTGTATTTGTGTCTGTTTCATGTCCTCCTGCCCCTTCATCCATGTCCCCATCTCCTTCCTCCTTGCTTCCTGCCTGTTCTCACGGGGGCCATCCTGAGAGCCATTCTTTGGCAGTGCCAAGGCCACTGCCAGCTTCCACCCCCGCCCTTCCCCGCTGCCTGGATCAGGAACTTTCCCCAGAAAGCACAATGTTTCTTCAGGCCTCTGACCTGCCCCCAGCTTTTTTTTTTTTTTTTTTTTTTTTTTAGATATATTTTATTAATTTTTTACAGAGAGGAAGAGAGAGAGAGTTAAAAACATCGATGAAAGAGAGACATCAATCAGCTGCCTCTTGCACACCCCCTACTGGAGATGTGCCTGCAACCAAGGTACATGTCCTTGACTGGAATCAAACCCTGGACCTTTCAGTCCGCAGGCTGACGCTCTATCCACTGAGCCAAACCGGTCTCGGCTGCCCTCAGCTTTGGCTGAGTTTGCTGAGTTACTTCAGCTACCCCAGTGCAGGCCCATCCTTCAGGGCGTGGCTGTACCTGTCTGAGCGAGAGCAGCTGGTCCTGCTCTTCGGACTCCACGTGGGCCTTCTCCGGCCGCCCTTTGGCCGCCACAGGCTCTTTGAAGGCCATTTCCTTCTCAGTTCTGCGAGTGAGCCGGGCTGGTGGAGGGAGAAGGCACATCTGTCTCCCGAGAGGACCTGGCAGGGGGCCAGATTCTGCCTCTGGATCGGGAGCCAGATGACTGGGCTCCGAGAGGTCCCAGAGGGACTGGGCCGTGGTGGACGGAACAACCAGCCCGACTGTGATGTGGTCACCGGAAATGCCTGGCGCAGCGAGGTGTCTGCCGACTGTTTTGTCTTTGCCTGGGTCACGCAGGGCACCACCCGTCCGGGACGGGGGTCAGGGAAGGTCTCTGACTCAGTGTTTCTGGTCTAATTCAAAAGTAGAGGCTCCTCGGATGTCAGAGTGGAAGAGAGTGTTTGAAAAGCCTACCCCCCATTCTTCGGAGGGAAACAGAGTCAGCAGAGCCAAGTCTCCTGTCTCAGCTGTCTGCTTAGCCTCTTAGAGAAGGACACAGAGGCCTGCCACTTACCACTGTGACCTTGAGTTATATCAGCTCTTTGTGCCTCTGGCCTTCAATGGGGGATAAAAGTCTCATAGGATTGTTTTTATTAAGTAAAATAAAACCTGTAAAGTGGATAGGATAGGCCCGGCACATGTCTGCAAACTAGAAGAAACGTAAATCTTTACCTTCACTTGGTGTCTCACGCACAGCTCACAAATTAAACCAAGATGCTTAATTTCATCACAGCTCTTGCTCCGTGCTCTCTCCTCCTTCCCAGTCAGGGGCAGCACCACTTACCCAGGAGCTCAGAATCTTAGGTGTCCTTGGTTCTGATCCACTGCATCCCCACACCCACTTCGTTGTAAGTCCTTTGCATTCTGGCCAGAACTTTGGTGTAATTCCCACAAAAATTCCAGGAGGGAGGGTGTGTGTGTGTGTGTGTGTGTGTGTGTGTAAATGATTGTAAATTTACATGGAAACACAAAAATGACAGTTGTGGAGAAGGGCAAAGCTGGAGGACATGTATCGCTGACACCAGGCTACTGCAGAGCTGTACTAATCCACACGTGGTCTCGGGCCCAGGCTGGGTGGCTCAGTTGGTTGAAGCGCTTTGTGAAAGTTAATTGAGCCATATACTACTTTGGGCGTTTTTTTTCTCTCTGCATGGGTATTACTCTAAGAAAATGTTCATAAAAATAGGTGTGTACACACACATACACACACGGGTATGTACAGATATGTGCACACAGACCATCTCCTATTCTGGTTCTCCCTGATTTCCACTGGCCCATCCCTAGTCCTTTTCCCACAGGCAACCAGAGGGAGTCATTTAAAAGTTAAATGAGATCATGTTACTCTGGTCGGACCTGCATGGCTCCCATCTCGGGCACACAGGAGAAGCCCACCTCACCACTGCCCACAGGATCCTGCGGGACCTGGTCCGTGTGGCCACTCTGACCCAGTTCCCCACATTTTTTCACCCCCCCCCCCCCCCAGCCCAGCTCTAGCCACACCGGCCTCCTCGCTGGTTCTTGAAACATGGCAGCCACAGCACTCCTCGCCGAGTCCTCTGGAATGTGTCTCCCCAGGCACCCCCAGGTTCCTCCCTCACCTTCCTGAGGCCTCCGGTCCAACGCCGCCTCTCCAGTGAGGCCTTCCTGACCCTCTTCCCCGCCCCCGTTAAAATCACAGCCTCACCCTCCCTTCCATCCGTTTGTTTTATTATTTTTTATAACCTTTATTATTTTAAAGCCTTAAGTGTTTTATGTTAGTTAAGAATACAAACATCACATTTGTTAAACGTTCTCTTCATATAGTGCCAAAGCATCTCACCTTCATCTCATCTTTCTGAAACACTCGACTTAATTTTCAGAGAGGGAACTCTCTCTCCACAGGCATGTGTCCTCAGCTTACGTAAAATTTAGTTTACTCACAGTGGCAGGTGCACATCTGGCAGATTGGCTTGGGAACCAACACAGCTGGCTCTCGGTGAGCATCGCCCACCTGGTGGAGACCGCAAAGTGGCCTTCAAGCTCGGAGGGCTCCGTCTCTGTTGTAGTTTAACCTCAACGCTCAGCACTTCTGGCACCATGAGAGTGTGACTGCTGAGCCTCTGTCGGTGCCCCTCCCGGGGTTGGAAGATGAGTTCTCAGAGACATTGCCTTTTCACTCCTGCAGCCCCAGCACCCAGCAGATTGCACCTGGCACCCAGTAGGTTAAGGTGACCAGACGTCCCGCTTTTGGCGGGACAGTCCCGATTTTTAACAATTTGTTCCGCATCCCGTGGCGTTTTAAAGAAGTCCAAAAGATTTAAAAGATTCTTTCCAAAAGTCGGGACTTTTTTAAAATGCCTCGGGACGCAGGACAAATTGTTAAAAATCAAGACTGTCCCGCCACAAGCGGTACGTCTGGTCACCTTACAGTAGGTGTTCTTTGGTGCTTGTTGAATGTGTGGGTGCATGGCTGCCCTCGGTTCCAACTTGGTATTCTCCCACAGAAAGTGCTGGTCAGATGTTTTTTGAGTGACTAGATGGGTGAGCCATAGAATTCACCTGAGTGAATGAATGAATGGTGAGTAGGTGGATGGATGGACTGCCTACTCTGAGCTCTCTTCTACCCTGGCCTTATTTCAGGAAGTTCCTGTTTGTTAGACTTTTTGAGAGCCTCGACCCATTTTCTAGCCAAGAAGAATGGGTTTCTATTGCTTCTTGTCAGTTTTTCATCGAAGTCTTCTCGCAGACGCTGGTGTTCTTTGGTGCTCGTTGAATGTGTGGGTGCATGGTGGGGTTTGGGGGATGTTGACTTCCCCCTGTCTTTCAGGGTCACCGGGAGCAAGAAATCCACCAAGAGGACCAAATCCATCAACGGCTCCCTCTACATCTTCAGGGGCCGAATCAACACGGAAGTCATGGAGGTGGAGAACGTGGAAGACGGGACAGGTAGGCCCCAACCCAAGCCCTGCCTGAGCCCAGTCCCTCCTGCTCCATGACCCACTCTCTGTTTCATTTGGTTTTTAAATGTTAATTTGAAATGGAACCTACCTACACAAGGTGCCTAAAACTCGTGCATGTGAAATAAATACCTGGGCAGTCACCATTCAAGTTAATAAGCAAACACTGTCTGCACCCCAGAAGCCCCCTTCCCCATCACAGTACTCCTTCCCCTCAGAAGTAAACACTTCCAAATGTTGTGATGATCATTCTCCTACTTAAAAAAAAAAATTTTTTTTACCTCCTAAGTATTACTCAATATTTTAATCATAATTTCTCAGTTTAAAAGTTTATTTAATACAGCCCAGGCTGGTGTGTACAGTGGTTAGAGCACCAGTCCACATATCTAAGGGTTTTGGGCTTGTCCTGTCAACTCACTCGCAAGCGTGTGGTCGGGAATGTTCAGAGTTGTGTGGCCGGGTCTGCTCACCCACCTTTCCCTCCTGCCCTTGCCTCCTGCCTTTGCCAGCGGATTACCACAGCAATGGCTACACGGTCACCAACGGCTGGAAGATCCACAACACGGCCAAGAACAAGTGGTTTGTCTGCATGGCCAAGACGGCGGAGGAGAAGCAGAAGTGGCTGGATGCCATCATCCGAGAGCGGGAGCAGCGGGAGAGTGAGTTCTCTGGGCTCTGGGGGGCTTCCCCGAGGCCAGTCACTTCTGCAGAGTGAGGGCTGGGCCTGGGGGAGGGGCATGGAGGTCAGGGCTACGAGAAGCAGGACTCGGAAGGGGCAGGGAGCTCTGGGACTGTGTTGCACCTTGGTGGCATCTCAGATCACCCGAGGTCATCTGCTTTAGCCCACTAGGTAGATGGTGAAACTGAGGCCCAAGGGAAGGGCCTTGCCCAAGGTCATGTCATTGATCATCCTTGGGTGCGTGGCATCCTTCACCCTGGAGGTCTGGTGGCAGAGATGCTCTCTGCAATGCCTCCCCTCCTCCGTGGCTCTATAACCTTCTCCTGGGGTTGTGTCAGAGATTCACCGAGTCTGCGTTGGGGAGGAGGGTCCTGGGGAGCTGCCTACGGCTGTGGCCATGAGTCTCTGGGCCCAGGCACCTCTGAGGCAGCTCCCACAGGAAATGTGGGGCTGGGTGTGCTAGCTGGGTGAGGGCGGGGTGGGTAGTGGTAGACTGTTGTGCAGTCACTACCGGGCTTGCAAAAGCGAGACCTGGTGTGTTTGGGGCAAGTTACTTCAGCTGCTGGACCTCTGAGGTCGCCTGAGACGTGGGGATGAAAGTTCCTGCCGGGCAGTTTGACACAGGATCCTAAAGTCTTTCCTGACCTCCCACACTTGCTACAGACATCTCACACTTACCATGCCTCATCAGAATCCTTCATCTCCATCACATCTTCTGCCCAGACCTGCCCCTCCCATCAGCTTCCCTATCTCAGTAAGTGGCCCCTCCGATTCAACTCGTGGTGTCATCTTTGATTTCCTCTTGCTCCCCAAATTCATTAGGTCCAATCCTTTTAATTCTGCTTTTCACATATATCCCAGATTTATCCTAGTCTCTCCTATCCCTACAAAGCACAAATCACTGTCACCTCTCAAGAATATAGGCCCAACGTGACTAGATCCATTGTTTTTATTTTATTTTTTCATAAAGAAGCTAGACATCTGAATTTTAAGGTGTTATTTCTTGATTTGAAATATTGCATCAGCATTTATTAAAATGGCATCAGGCTAAATAAGCTACTAAAGTTGGCCCCGGGTTGTGACATCTGAAACTGATCAGGGCTGGGCGTGTGGTCAGGACTGGGACAGAGTTCATGGGTGTGGCCTGGCCTGGGTGTGGCCAGGATCTCTGTGGTCAGAATCGAAGGTTGTGGTTAGTGCAGAGCATAGGTGATCGCGAGTGGGGTGTGGCTTGAGAGGGCCTTGGTTATTAGAAACCCGAACCCTGACCTTTCAGGGGCGGGGTTCGTTGCTGTGGTCAGCAGTATGGATCTGTAGCAAAACTTTCTGGCTCTTACTTCTGCTTCTACCACTTCTAGTTAATCTTGTACAGAGAACTTAATTTCTCTGGGCCTCAGTTTCTTCATCTGTGAAATAGGGATAATGGTCCTTGCTTGAAGGATTCCTGAGGACCAAGTGGCATATAGTAGGTGCTTATAGTGTTTCCTGTGATTGTTTGTCATTCCTGTCATTGTCAGGAGCAGACAGGGTCCAAGTAGAAAATTCGGGGTGGGGGTGGGGGGCAGTGATCTGGGTCTGGGTCCTGTGTATATTGTATTTTCTAGAGAGATGGCCAAATAGCCCTATCTGGCTGGAAGGAAGATCTCAGCAGGCTTTCCAATAACCTCTAAATTTGAAAACCTATCCTCAGGTTGAAGGCTTGAATAAGCTCAACTGCTACTTGCTCTGGGATTTTTTTTTTTTTGTCTGGGCCTCAGTTTTGCCATCTGCAAAATGGTTTTTTTTTTTTAGCTATCCTCTCCTACTGAGTTCTTTCGAGGAGCTTAGGACGGAGACCACAATGCAGTGAGTGCTCTATAGATGGCCACTGGCTGTGGCAGTGGTCGGGGACAGCTGGGGATAGCTTTCAGGAGCTGCAGGCCAGCCCCTCCGCGCCTCAGTGCTGGTGCTGTCCCTGGTGCTGACCGTGCCTCCTCTGCAGGCCTGAAGCTGGGCATGGAGCGGGATGCCTATGTCATGATTGCAGAGAAGGGGGAGAAGCTTTACCACATGATGATGAATAAGAAGGTGAACCTGATCAAGGACCGTCGGAGAAAGCTGAGCACCGTCCCCAAGTGCTTCCTTGGCAAGTGAGTGGCGACCTTGGCCTCTGCTGGGTCCCTGAGTCTCAGCTGAGGCTGGAGATGGGCAGGCGACTGCACCCATCTGGTTCTTCCCAATCCTGCCCCTCCCCACAGGAGCCCTCCTGGGCAGACCTACTAAAGCACCCTGAATCCTTGTGCTTTGGAGGTCAAGAAGGATAGTGGGCCCCCATATCAGGTCTTTCCAGTATTTTTAACCATAACTCACTGCAAAACAAGTTTCCAGTTATGACCTGGCACACACATCCATGTAATATATGAATGAAGCTGAAAAGTCACAAAACTTCCTGTGTTCGCTATACTCTGAGACCATCTGCTCTGCATTTCTGTTCTATTTCTTTCTATCCTGTGTTGTCCTATCCTACCTCATCCTGTCCTACCCTTTCTGTTCTATTGAAGTCATTTCAAAAATACTCCTGAGTGAGACCTAAGAAATTGTTTCACAAACTAGTAGTGGGTTGCCCACCGTGGGTTGAAAAGTGCTGTTCTAGGAAAGAGAGGCCACGATAGTTGTTTCAAGCACAGAGGTATTTGACACAGGGAATGGATTACGAAGGTGGTGGAAAGTCTGGGAGAGCAAACGTAAGCTCTGTCTCAGTCTGCTGGGGCTGCCATGACAAAACGCCACAGACCGGGCAGCGTAAACAACAGATTTATTTTCTCACAGCGCTGGAGGCTGGAAGTCCAAGAACAAGTGTCCACAGGTTGGGATCTGGGGAGGTTCCCTTTCCGAGTTACATGTGAGAGAGGAGGAGGGGGAGGGTCTGTAAGCTTTTCATGCTTAGGGCCTCTCATTTCTCTGTTTGGGAAATACATTATTTACTACTAATAAAACATTTTACCCCTGCCCACATTTTATAATCAAGCAGCAAAGGGGTCAGAACACAGGTGTGACCAGATTGGATCTTTTGTTTGAATTTTTATTACGTTTTATTTATTTATTTATTTATTTATTTTTTTATTGTTGACACTATTACAGATGTCCCCTTTTTCCCCACCTTTGCCCACCTCCATCCAGGCCCTCCTCTCCTGCCCCCGGCCTTCACCACACGGTTGCCTGTGTCTGTGAGTTGCACAGTATGGTCTTTGGCTAATCTCTTCGCCTTCTGTCACCCACTCTCCCCGACCTCCCTCGCCTGGATGGAGATGTTGACATGTTAGCTGGGTATAAAATCTTTTTTTAAAAACATATTTTATTGATTTTGTACAGAGAGGAAGGGAGAGAGATAGAGAGCTAGAAACATCGATGAGAGAGAGTCATCAATCAGCTGCCTCTTGCACACCCCCCACCGGGGATATGCCCGCAACCAAGGTACATGCCCTTGACCGGAATCGAACCCGGGTCCCTTCAGTCCCCAAGCCGATGCTCTATCCATTGAGCCAAACCGGTTTCGGCTGGGTATAAAATCTTGACCCCGGAAGAAAAGTCTGGGTTGGAGACCTGCGTGCAGGGGGTGTGGGCTCTCCATGGTCTTTGGAGCCACAGAGACTGAAGGAAATCGGAAGAGGAGGTGGAGAGGCCGGGACTGGGGTTGGGGGCCTGATAGCCTTTGGAGGAAGGACCAGCAGAGGAGTCAGGGACGGGGTAGGCAGAGAGGTGAGAGGTGGGAGGCACTCAAGCGAGTGTGGTGCTCGAGAGCCAGGTGAACAAAGATGCGGAGACAGTGGGAAACAAGCTCAGGTTGGACGTGGCAGGTTGAAATGCCTGGTGGACATTCAGTATTGATGCTGGATGGGCTGTCAGAGACCAGGTGAGGTGCTGGGTATGGTCATGGGCCAAGGCTTGTGTTTGGCAGGGCAGCAGGCAGGAGATTGGGGGGGGGGGGTTTGGGCCCCTGTGGGGTGATCAGGATGCCCTGGGTTTGGGCTGCCCTTTGGACCCCAAGGGTCAGCCCACTCCCCTTTCCCAAACTAAGCTCCCTGAGAGAGAGGAGATGGGGTGCCAGACCTGCAGGCTGTGGGAAGTGGGGAAGGGACAGCCTGGCTGGCCTCCACCAGTTAATCTCTAATCCCTGGGCAGAAAGGATGTTTTTCTCTCCAGAGGGGCCTTCCTCCCACCTCATCCCCCAGGGTCAGAGGACTCCCCACCTCCTCCGGACCCCTCCGAGAGCACAATCCACCGGATGGAATAACCTGTCTGATTAGAGCTTCAGCGGAGTGTTCTGTCTTCTCAGGAAGGATTAAGGAAATTTCTTTTACTGCCCATTGGAAACGGGGCCAGAATTGAAGCTCGTTGTGTAATCACTGGGGCCTACGGACCTGTTGTCCCGCAGGAGACTGCTCTGTAAAACTCTTCTCCCGGATGGCTGCGCTGTGCACCGAGCCCGGGGCTGTGACCTCCTCTTTCCCTGTGGGCTCCACTCCCCCACCTTCTTCAGGAGCTCCCTGGCCGCTCTGGTGGAAGGAGCCAGCAGCCACAGGGGCACATTATTGAGCCTTTCGCTGCTCCAGGAGCTGGCATGTGGCCATGCCTTTAACCCTCATACTACACCGTGAGGCAGGTGACTGCCATCATCCCCATTTTAAGGATGGGGAAACTGAGGCACAGAGAGGGAGAAGGCCCTGCCCAAGGTCACAGGTGGGGAACTGGGATGTGAATCCAGAACTTGGACCCACAGCATCCTGCTGCTTGCTGCATTGATCCATTTTTATCTCTATTCAGCACATTTCATTTTTACTTCATAGTTACTTTCTCTCCATTTGTCTCTACCACTAGACAGGGAACTCCACGAATACAGAAAGTGTCTGATTTATCTTTATAACCTTCAGGGGTTGGGCTTTGTGTCAGACTTGGACTCAAGTTCTGGAGCTCCCACTTCAGGACTTAGGGCAAGTTTCTTAACTTCTCTGAGTCCAGTAGATGATCGATGAATGAGTGGGAATAAAGTATGCCTAATAAGATTGTTGGAGAAGACAGTGAGAAAATGCAAGTGACATGCTGAGCACAGTGCTGGCAAGAGTGATAGAAATGAGTATTGGGCTTAAGGAGTAGCCTGTTTTTATTTTATTGTTTCTTTATTGATTAAGGTATTACATGTGTCCTTACTCCCCCCCCCCCCCATGTCTGTGTCCATTGGTTAGGCTTATATGCATGCATACAAGTCCTTTGGCTGATTTCTCCCCCTTACCCCCACCCTCCCTTCCCACTGAGGTTTGATGGTCTAATGGATGCAAGAATGGCCTGTTTTTGCCAAACTCAAGAGACAGACCTCACAGATATCACATGACAGAAACCAAGGAGTGAAATCTGTATGTTACTTTGGAAGCATCATGGGAGGATCATGGCATTTGTCCTCTGGGATCCCCAGATGAGTTGGAGAGACAGAATCTATTCATTCATTCATTCATTCATTCATTCATGAGTGTTTACTGACTATGTGCCAGCTGTGAGCAGGACAAACGAGATCTCTCACCTCCTGGACATAACCAGCCCATCGGGGAGTCAGCAAATAGACAATAGACAAACACAAATACAAATAAAGAAGGGAATTTCAGAGAGGTGAAGATGCTGTAAAGAAGTAAGTAGGTTGGTCTCAGGAGGCAAGAAATGGGGTGGTATTTCAACAGTGAGGTCAGGAAGAGACTCTGCGGGGAGGTGACCTTTTAACCAAGGACTAAATAACAAGCGAGAGCCAGCCGTGAACATATCGGGGAGGGAACGGCAGGTACAGAAGCTCCAAGGTGGAATGGCCTTGACTAAGTAATTGAGCAACAGTAAGGAGGTTGGTGTGGCTGAAGGGAGTGAGTGGGAGACAGTGACCCAGGGGTTGACGGGCCAGGTCAGGCAGGGAAGGGGTAAGAGGTTCAGCCTTTATTCTCAGGGCTCTGAAAAGCCATTGAAAAGAGTATAAGCGGCAGAGAACGATGAGGGTGGACCTCCATGCAGGCCCTGAATGAGGACACGGTCAGAGCTGTTGGAGCCCAGGGGACAAGGTGTATTAGTCTGTCTGGCAGGACAGTCAGGGAAGGCTTCCTGGAAGAAGAAGGCCTTTGGCTTTCCCTGTGACAGAGGTCAGATGTCCTTCCATTATTCCCGTCTGGCAGAAGGGAAGTTCTCAGGGGGAAGAGGTCTTGCTGTCTCGTCCACCTGTGTGCACAGGTGCTGGGTGTGAGCATGCAGTGGCTGGTCAATAACGATTTGTCGAGCGTGGCTGCAGGTACCTTCAGGAAGCCTCTTAGGCCGTGGGGTTTACTATAACTCCCGCAGTCCCTACCCTCGAGGAGCTCAAGGCCATGGGAGAGACGGGCACGAGATTACTGAACTGGGTGGTGAGGGGCACCTCGGGCTTCTGCTGGGGCACTTTCCTAGAAGAGACATAGCTGTGCCTCCCCTGTGGCCAGCACTGAGCGTGGCTCCTAGGAGGCGGAACACATGTTTACCAGGTGAAAGGTTCTGGGGACCAGGACGGAAGGAGGGATGAAGGCGGGACACACAATAACTTCCATCCAGTCCCCCATTCCCTGAGCTTCAAACTTGCCACCAACTAGACTCGCCTTCTCTCTGTGTCCCCCGACCGCTGCACTGAACTGTGTCCCCCGACCGCTGCACTGAACTGTGTCCTTCCGGAAGATGGGATCTCGCTGCTTTTTGCAGCTCCCCACAGCTGGCATGCTGCTGCTGCTTTCCCAATCATAACTCTGTGTATGCTGATCCCTCGTTCTAGAACACCCTTCCCTGCACCTGGTGCTGGTAAATGGTGCCCTCCTGACCCAGCACAGCTCGCAGATGTGTTTTTCTTTAGGCCACATGGTGCTTCCAGAAGAACCTGGACTTGATATCTACATTTACCGATTGGGAGATTTCACAGGAAATGCGGGATTTCCGGCTTTTCTTGAAAAGTCTTAGCCTTCCCATGCAGTTGTGGTCAGACTCTGAGAAGGGGCTCCCGCCTCCAGCAGTGCATTTTATCTCGTTTTGCGCACTGGGTCCCAGCTTAAGCTTTCGTGTGATTAGAAAGTTTACCTGTTAAATCCAAAAAGCCCCTGAGTGAGCCACTGGCCAGAGGGGCCCCGTGAAAGCCCGGACAGGGGCAGCGGCTTGCCCAAATGTGCCCAGCAAGCGGTGAAACCTCCTTTGTCCTCTAAAAAGGAGCAAGTCTCCGCTTAGAGCAGAAACGTAGTCACAGTTGCTGGCCTCTGGTTTGTCTTCTGTCCTAGCATCTGCTGTGGGGTACTTCCTGTCCCACCCCCCCCAGTCCTGGCCACAGGGCTGGGGTCAGTGCCAAAGGCGGCCTCCGGTGGGACAGCGAGTGGGCAGCCGGACGCTGAGCCCCCAGCTTCCGAGAGTGGGCACTCAACATCTGTTCACTTCTCTTAGTGGGCATGTCTCTCCCTGCCTCTGAGTTCTGGGACTTAGAGAATGGAACTGGGGTGGGCAGGACCCTGAACAGTCTCTTCCCCACCTGGGGGCCTGTTCCACCCATAGATCCATTTCTATGCCCCCCGCCTGGGTCTGCACACGGGGCGCTCTGAATGCCTCAGCACACGCCACTACCTACACACCACTGCAGGTCTTTGCTCAGCAAACCCTGGAAAGCTAAAAATAGCCCTGCCCCCCTCTGGCCCTGTAATTGGAGGCGGGACAGCTGGTTTCGATAAGCAGGAGAGCTCTGCGCTCTGGCCAGCTGCCACCTGCTTTCATTGAACACAGATTGCGAGACGGAAACAGCTCGTTCCCGGCTCTCCCCTTTCCTGCTGACTTCCAGTGGGTTGAGCTCTGAGTGCACACTGCCAAGAGCCGGGAGCTGGGGTCTGACTGAGCCTCTGCCCCACGGGGTAGTCACATTGGATTTGCCAGCTTTCCTGTGGCCGAGGAGCACTGCTTTCTCCCTGAGTCCTCCTCCTGGCCCCAGAACACTCCTCCTTACTCCATGGCTCACTCCTTCATCTGTTCAATAAATAATTATTCAGCACCCCCCCTCCTGTGCTTTTTTGACCCTCTGCTGGGTTCAGGGGGTGGGGCCATGCATAAGAGGGCATGGAGATTACATTCTGGTTGGGGGAGATGGCTGATAAACACACACATAAATCTGCAAATAGCACAACTTCAGACAGTCACAGCATTCAAAAGGAAGCAAAACCAAGAGACGGGATGGACTGTGTAGGGTTAAGGGATGGCTCTGGATGAGGTGGGCAGGGAGGGCTTCTCTGAGGAGTTGATATTTGAGCTGAGACCTGAATGACGAAAGGGAGGGCTGAGAAGAGTGTTTCCAGGAAGAGGGAACAGCAAATGCAGAGGCCCCGAGGCAGGCAGAAGCCTGGCATTTTTTAAAGAAGGAGGGCATGGCTAAAGCATAATAAGTGAGAGACACAGGGGACGGGTCAGTGAGGACGGGGCATTTCTGCAGGGCCTTGATTGCATGTGGGCAGACTTTTATTCTTCTTCTGAGAGCAATGGGGAAGCCCACTGGAGGATTTAAAGTAGGAGGCTGACATGATTTGATCACTGTTAATTCTCCTGACTCTCCAGTTACCTTTCTGGGTCGTATTTCTTCCTGCTTGTTTGATTTTCATTCCTCCTGTTCATCCATCCATCCATCTAGCCATCTGTCATCCATGCCTCACCCATCTACCTAGCTATCTCTCTACTCATCACCTACCCACCTGCTCATGTTTCCTTCTACCCACCTGCTCACCAGTCTTTTCAGCCGTCTGTTAATCATTTGCCTGTGAAGTCATCCATGTATCCATTCACTTTCCATTCATTTGCCTGTCCACTCACGTGTCCATCTATCCATCCTCCCGTCCTCTCACTCTCCCATTTACCTATCCACTCAGCCATCCATCCATCCAGCCAGCCTGAGGCAGGGCCGGGGGTCTCTGCCATTGGTCATGGGAGAATCACAAGGCCTCAGCACAACCCCCAGGGCTGGGGCCCCCTAAGCTTTGCTTCCCTGAGGGAAGTTTGGCTGTCCTTCCCAGGAGCGGGTGAGGCCACGCCTGCTTAGTGCTGGTCCCTGAGGGCCAGGGCTGGGGAAGGCCTCTCAAACTCACCTTCTGTTCCTGGCAGTGAGTTTGTTGCCTGGCTCCTGGAAATTGGTGAAATCAGCAAAACTGAAGAAGGAGTCAACTTGGGCCAAGCCTTGTTGGAGAATGGTATTATCCACCATGGTGAGTGGGGGCGGGGCCTGGTGGGCCAAGGGGTAGGAATAGGTCAGACCCCTGCAGTGCTGTTTCCACGGACTCAGAGGCTATTTCTATACTTCTCTGCAGCCACCCTGTACCCTGGCACGGTGGGGTCCCGGGAATGTGGGTGCCCTTATAAAACTGCTTGCCCCCTCCTAGGGTAGCAGCAATGTGGGGGCACCTCAAAAAGGTGGGGGCAGAGGAGTAAACCTTTCTATCGGCTTAAGTTCGTTGAGTGCCTGTCTGGGACCAGGCGCTGTCCACACAGCGGTGAACGGGCCAAGTGTCCAGCTGTGGGGAGAAGACGGTAGACAAGATACATACAAATAAGTGTACACAGGTGGTGGCAAGGGTAGGGAGGGAGAGAAACCAGGGCATGGGGTTCACCATGAATAGGCGAGGTGGGAAGGCCTCACTGAGAAGGGGAGGATGGCGCTAGCACCGGAGAGAGGGAGGGAGCAGGTGGGCTTTGGGGTTCCAGGCAGAGAGAACAGCCAGTGCAAAGTCCTGGGACAGAAGGCCAAGTGGTTGTTGGGGGAACAAAAGGGATGCTAGGATGGCTTCTGCGGAGTGGGCAGGGGGAGTGTTTGATGACGTCAGAGAGCACTGGGCCAAGGGGAGTGCTCAGGGGGACGAGGTCCAGGGACGAATAGGGGCTTGCCGAGCCTTTGGCTTCACTCTGAGTGACATGTGAAGAAGCGACTGCTGAGTTTTGAGTGGAGGAAAGACCCGCCCAGACTCAGACTTCAGCAGGATCCCTTTGGCTGCCATGCGGAGAGTGGACTGTGTGCCATGGGCAGCAGCAGGGCGCCCAGTGCAGAGGCAGCTGTGATATCCCGGGAGGGAGAGGGAGGTGGCTTGGACCTAGTGGGAGTGCAGAGTCAGATTCGGAATGTTTTGAAGGGAGAGCCTACCAGGTTTGCTAATGGATCCAAAGTGGGGCGTGAGAGAGAGAGACACACGAGGGGATGCTCAAGGCCGTGGTGTAGAGATGGTCCATAAATCCTGACAGTGTGGTCTCAGACCCAGCACACTTGGTCCCCACACAAGCTGTGGTGATCTAGCTCCAAGGAGATGCTGGGCCCGTTGGGCCCCAGCACAGGGTGGATCCGGGGATGTCTGGGCCTCTCATGGCCCCAAGTCTCAGCAAGGCCCAGACGTAGCATGGGCAGGAGGCTCGGGGAAGTCTTGTTTGGCACGGAGGCTGGCCAAGTGGAGGGCGATGATGGTGGGCTTGGGGCCGAGGGGGCCTGCTCTGTTTCACTGCCCCCCCCCCCCCCCGGGTCCCTCTAGTCTCCGACAAGCACCAGTTCAAGAACGAGCAGGTGATGTACCGCTTCCGCTACGACGACGGCACGTACAAGGCCCGGAGTGAGCTGGAGGACATCATGTCCAAGGTAGGGACCCCGTCACCCTGACCCGCCCTCCTGACCCCTCCGTCAGCACAGAGCAGGCCCCAGCGGCCTCTTCTGCCCCCCCTCTCTCCCCACACACACCTGTTCTTTCCGGGGGGGCCTGGATTTGGAGCCCCTGAAGGATGTGGTCTGATCCCAGACTTCCCCCTTTTTTCTTCCAGGGTGTAAGGCTTTACTGCCGTCTCCACAGCCTCTATACCCCTGTGATCAAGTAAGTGACTCTCTCCAAACATCAGTTTCACCTTCTCCGGTCACTGCGCTGAGCCCCAGCCTTCTCCATCCGCTGGGACCAATATTGGCACCTACCCCGTAGGCTTGGGACTGGGGTGGAGTGAGTTTTTTTGGGGAACAGTGCAGCATGGTGGTGCGTTTGAATCTTAGCCTGCCAGGTACCACCTGTGTGACCTTGGGCATAGTTACTCTTTCCTCTGTGGAATGGGGTCATAATAGGATCCACCGCAGGGCCTTTGCACTCGCTGTCCCTCTTCCCTTATGTGCATGCCTATTTGCTTCCTCACTTCCTTCAAGTGTCTTAAAGGGCCTTCCTGACCACCTTCCTAACAAAGCGTCACTGTTGGCATGCACTGCGCTCCTTACCTCACTTTGGTGTTCTTCTTGAACTTGTCAGGATGACGTATGTCCTATTGTCAGTATGTCGGTTGACATGTTTATTTGTAGACTGTTCTTTTCTCCCCACTGAATTGTAAACTCACCTAGGGTGGAGAATGTGTTCATTCCTGTGTCCCAAGACCCTTGGCGCCTGCAGTAGTGCTGTCCAGTAGACCTTTCCCCACTGACAGAAATGCTCTGTGCCTGTGCTGTCCAGTCCGGTAGCCTCTGGCCCCTTGTGGCTCTCAAGCCCCTGAGCTGGAGGAATGTGATTTTTAAGTTTGATTTAATGTTAATTGATTGAAATTGGAGGGTGCTGGCCTGGGGTAAAGTAGCACGTAGTGAATGTTTGTCGAGTAGTAAATGCGGAAAGGTCATGCATCTTTTTGGCCTCTGTTTCTGCATCTGTGAAATGGGCATAAGAATAGCTCACGCCTCTTGGGGTGTCATGAGGACTCAATCTGAGTGGTGCATGGCACCGAGTGAGCGCTGTAGAAATACCAGCCAGTAGGTGGTTCTCTTTACATGAGGCTATGGTTGTGGATGGAGGGTCAGAGAGGTTGACCCAGTTCTCTCTCATGTCCAGAGTCCCCTGTCCCCTGTCCTGACAGCTCTATGAGCTCTCAGGGAAGCAGAGAGGGCGGGCCCTTCATGACAGTTGCTGGCCTCGACCTTTGGCCTCATTGGAGGTCAGGTCTTGGGAACCAATTTCATCTCCAGACCTGCCTCCGCCTGCTCAGCCCCTCCCCTGCTCGTCTCCTGCAAGTCCCCTGCTCAGCCCCTCCCTTGCTCCCTCTCCTATCACCCAGCCCGCTGGGCGCCCCAGCTCCCCGAAACTGAGAAAAATTCCCCAGCTGGCCCTCACCGGCCTCGGCCTGGGCCGGCCACAGAAAGGCTGAGAGTTAGTACAAATGGTTGCAATGTCTGCGGAACCCTTTGTCTCAAGACTCAGCAGGAGTTCAGAGGCCACGGGTTGGAGCATTTACCTCGGAAAGAATCAGGACTGTCCCAGGCCCGGCTCTCTGCTCAGACCTGATTCCCGACCCTGGCCGTCGGAGAGTGTTCCTCATCACTCAGAGGAAACCAGCTTTCTGTAGTCATGGTGCTGTTGACCGTGGGGCTGGGCAATTCTTTATTTGAGAGCCGTTTCCATCTGCTAGATGCCAGGAACCCCTCCGCCTCTCCCCCGGTCATAATGGCCAAATGTGTCTCCAGACACGGCCTGGTGTTTCTGGGGGGCAAAGTCGCCCCTGGAGAGAGGAGACGGAGAGCCATTTACTCCTGCCCCCTCACGCTGTGAGTGAGAAGGGGGTCTCGCCCTAAGAGTGAGGTGTGGAATCCTGGCCCAGTGCTGTCCCCAGCCCCCCGCCCCCCACTCCCAGGCCTAGAGAGCCTGGCACCCTTGGACCCAGAGTACTAGGGCAGGAAAAGGGCGTCTGCCCCCACCTCGGCTCCCCATGCGCTCAGGATGCTCTCCCTCCTCCCCACAGAGACCGGGATTACCACCTGAAGACGTACAAGTCCGTGCTGCCCGGGAGCAAGCTGGTGGACTGGCTGCTGGCTCAGGTGAGGACCCGTGACCACCATGGCGCTCTGCCAGGGACGGAGAGGGTAACGGGACGTAGACCTTCGAGGACTTTGTTTTTAAAACTTTTTTTCACTTGAGGTAAAATACACATCACACTCGCCATCCTGCCCGGTCAGTGGTTGTAGGTGCATTCACACCGCTGTGCAGCCTCTCCCGAGCTATCCTCATCCTGCAGAACCAGAACTCTGACCCCGTCAAACACCCGCCCCTACCCCTCCCGCCCGGCCCCTGGCAGCCACCCTCTACTTTCTCTCTCTGAATTTGACTGCGAGAAGCACCCTGTGTACTAGCGTGTGGAGTCATACAGCAGTTGTCTTCCTGTGTCTGGCTTATTTCACTCGGCATTACGTCTCAGGGTTCATCCATGCTGCTGCATGTGCCAGCATTTGCTTTCTCTTTAAGACTGAACAACATTCCATGGCACAGACACACCACGTTCTGTCAATCCACCAGCCGGTGGACGCTTGGGTTGCTGCCACCTTAAGGCTTTCAGTTTTAAAACTGGGACCGCCCTGGGCCAATTGGGACAAGATGGTCTCATCCTGGCCCCACTCTGGAGCCTCCATGCGGAACTTGCCAAGTTACCGCTTTCACGTACGTTCCCAGGGGGCAGGGGCTGGGCGAGGCTTGGCAAGTCTATGCAGCAGTTTTGCTGCAATTTCCCAGAGGTGTGTTTGTTCCACGGACACTCCTGTCTGCTGTCTCTTGTCCTTTATGGCTCCCGCTCACAGGGCACTTGCTCTGTGCCAGGCATTGCCTGGGCTCTGAGCATGATCTCACTGCGCCCTCCAACCTGTTTACAGCTGGGAGAACTGGGCCCAGAAGGGCTATGTGCCTGGTCTCCGGCTCACAGCCTCGTAGCAGCAAAGCTGCGGGGGCTCGGGCAGGCCTGTCTCACCCACCTGTGCCTTAGTTCTGCAAACATTTCGGGGAGCCCGCAAGAATGTTCATTCGTAATCTGTAAAAAGAGCGCATCAGCTCCAAAGATGAGGAGAAATCAAAGTGGATGTGTGTTTAAACATTTCCAGCTTTCTGTCAGCCTGCATTTCGCATCCATGAAAACCCCTTTCCATCCAGAAACACTGTGCTGGCTTAATTTTTCTCATGTCGCACACACATTCCTGATGGCTGCCTAAAAATCACAGCAGATCTGCAAAGTAGTTGTTTCTTGGCGTCAAATACCTTCAGAAGCAAGTTTAGAAGATCCCTTTAAAATATGATATGAGCCACAAAAACACATTTAATGTAGGACGTGGGTGCATTTTAATCTGCTTGCGCTGATGTAGGACCCAGGGTCTGGGATGTCTGGATTTGATGTCAGATTTGCCCATTTGGGGACCACAGAACATCTAACCACTGTACTACACCATCCCTAGGGTCCCAGGAAACCAGCCCAGAGCATGTTTCACTTACAGCCAGGCTGACTTGGGTTCAAGTCTTACCTCGGCCACTTCCTAGTTGAGTGATCTTGGACAAAAGCTACTTAACTTCTCTGTGCCTCAGTTTCTACACCTGTAAAACGAAGCTAAAAAGCCTTCCCAGTCTCCTTAGGGTGATTTTGAGGATTCAGTGAGTGGATCAGAGGGCCCCTGGCTCCAGAGTTCATTGTCTTCACCCCTCTGCTCCGTTGTCTTGGGCTGTGCTACCTGCGCTCCAGGGCACCCCAGACTGTGGTCATCAACTGGAGGGCAGGGGTCAGTGGACTGGAGCAGGACAGAGCTGGGACAGGCCGGGAGCCCGGGGTGGGAGGGCACAGGTCTGCCGGCTCCTGTGCTGGCTCAGCAGAAATGTGCCCGAGTGCCCTCCTCACAGACCCCCACCACCCGGCAGATGGCATGTGCTGACCGAGGCAGAGTTTTCAGTACAGCGAGCCCGGGCCAGGGCGGTAGCAGGCAAAGGGCCAGGCTGGCTGCTCCAGGCAGTGGCTGAGGAAACCGGAGAGCCAGGGGCAGGACAGGAGCCATGGCTGCAGCCCTGGGTACCTGACCTCCTGGAGCTCCGTTTCCCTACGTGTAACATAGTGTTTGGGTCCAGCTCCGAGAGGACCCCATTCTCACAGCGTAACCTCAATTCTTCACTTACCAGATGGGGTTAGTAAGAGTGATTGCTTCCGGGTTACCATCAGGACCAAGGGAGCCCGCCGGCATGGCTCAGGGGTCGAGCATCGCCCTCTGAACCAGGAGGTCCCAGTTCGATTCCCAGTCAGGGCGCCCGCCTGGGTTGTGGGCTGGATCCCCTGTAGGGGATGTGCAGGAGGCAGCTGATCCCATGATTCACATCATCGATGTTTCTGTCCCTCTCTGTCTTCCTCTCTCTGAAATCATAAAAACATATTAAAAGAGAGACTGTGCTGTGCCCGGCGCGCGGTCGGGAGTGAGAGGCATCCTTGGGCCTTATGACGGGTATTGGAATTCGTGGGCAAAGGGGCCCCCTGAGGCCCTCTGTAAGCCCCCCCCCTCCCCCCTCCCCCCCGTGTTCTCTCTCCAACCCTGCTGTGCCTCGGCTCCGTCACTCTGAGGTATTCCTCCCTCCTGAGGAATAACCGAGCAAGAGTCACTGACATGTATCATGTGCTCGCTCCAGGCCAGGCACTAGGCCAGAAGTCCCCCGGGGAATTGTCCTTTAGTCCTCACAAGGCTCTGAGAGTGGGCAGGATGATGGCTCCCGTTTCAGAGACACGGAAACCAAGGCAGACAGAGGTGGGTTCAGGGTCAGGGCCCCAAATGGGCTTTCCATTCTTTCATCCAGTTCATTCCTTGGACATTTCTCGTGGCCTGCTAACTGCTCGATGCTGGGCTTCAGGGCGGGCATGTGGGGTAAACGTGGCAGGCACTGCTGCTGCCCACGGGAGCTGACATTCTGGTGGGAGATGCCTTAAACCACATTTGTTTATTAGGAGACTAGAGGCCCCGTGCACAAAATTCGTGCAGGGTTAGGCCTTCCTTCCCTTGGATGCAGGGACCACCTTCCCTCTGGCCCCCGGGACCGGGATTCCCTCCTCTGGCCACCGGCAGGCACCCAGGACCAGGGCTTCCCTCGGGGCCCCAGCTTCGTCTGGAAGGATGTCCGGCCTAATTAGCATATTACGTTTTTATTATATTAGTATAGATTGTGGCAGGCAGGGAGAGGAGCCCGGGGCAGGGAGCATGGGGCTGATCCTCCCTGAAGGATCCCTGAAGGGACAGAGCATTTCAGGCTGTGACAGGCGCAGCACAGATGTGATGAAGGGGAGGAGAGCGGAACGGCTGAGTATTTGTCCAGAGGATGTGTGGTGGAGGGGGCAGGGGACTACTTGAGAGGAGGTGGGGGAAGGCCTGCCCTGAGGAGGTGACATAGGTACTGAGACCTGAAAAGCCAGGCAGGCATTTGAGATGGGGGGAAAGAGTGCAAAGGCCTGAGGTGGGGCCACGTGAATGTGTGGAAGGAGCAGCATGGAGGCCGGTGTGGCCGCCGCTCCCAGCTTTGGGGGTGAGGGGGCCGGTCGGGGAGAGGATGGAGGAGTGTGGTGTGTGCGCCTGTTCCTTCCTCCGGGAAGGGAAATGGTGACTTGTGGTTTCCCCACAGCCGATGGGGCGTGGGGTAGAGGCTCACTTTTCGGGTGATGGGTGCAGCCAGGATCAATGGCATTTCCCTGTTAACCCGAGGATCCCACAGCTGTTCTCACGTAGGAGCCTCCCTGAGGGTTACCCCAGGACCCTGCGGAGAGCAGGGGAGCAGGGAGGGGCTGGGCAGCCAGACTGAGAGCCTCAGAAGGCCAGTGAGCTCCAGGCGGCCGCCCAGGCCCCCAGGCTGCGAGCTGGGCCCCGGCTGTGCCTCCCGGGCTGGCCCCTCACAGCTGGGGGTGGCTGCTCTGGGTTCCGCCTCTCTCACGGATGGCGGCCTCCCTCCCGTAGCAGCACTCGGAGCTTGCCAGCCCTGCAGCCACGGGCCCGGGTCCCACAGGAGAGATCCGTCTTCCTCCAGGCAGCTGGGCCAGCCCGCGCAGCAGTACCCCGAGGCCAGCGGCTCCCCCAGGCCCTGTGCTCTGCGTCCGAGCCCCGGTCCCGGCAGACTGAGCTCTGCTGCTCTGGCCCTCCCTTCTCCTGTAGCCGGGAACTCCCCTCCTGGCCCCTCCGATGCTCAGGGAGGCTGGGACAGTTCAGGCCTCTGGCGCGTCTGTGTCTGGCGAGGGCCTCTCGGGAAGCCTCACTTTGGGAGTTATTTTATTTTTTTGGTTTTTGTTCATCCTTCTTTAAAAAAAAAAATTAAATTTGTTGGTGTGATATTGGTTGATACCATCATATAGATTTCAGGAGGGGGTTTCTATGTTGCAAGAGCTGTATGTTGCACGGTGTGCTCACCACCCCGGGCGTTGTGTCGATGAGGGTTGTCTGAACATAGTTGAAGCTCATTGATTTAGTTGCAAGCTCCTGTGTGACTTGGTCCCTGTGGACAACACCTTTAGCCAACACATATTTATTGAGCACCTACTATATGCCCGGCCCTTGGGATTCAGCAGGCAACACAGCCCCTCGGGTGCCAGTCCACCTAACACCGCCCCCCCTCACCCGCCTCTTGTTCTATTCCAGGGCGATTGCCAGACGCGGGAGGAAGCAGTGGCGCTCGGCGTGGGCCTGTGCAACAATGGCTTCATGCACCACGGTAATCACCCCTTCCCCTCCGCCCGCCTCCGTCTGTCCTGGCCCCCGGCCCCTGCTGTGTTTCACAGGAGGGAAATGGAGGCCCAGAGACAGCATGGCTGGGACCAGGCGGTGGTCAGAGGCGGGGGACCCTGGAAGGCCTTTTGGCTGTTCCTTTCTGGCTTCCGCTTTGTGCTGTAACTCAGAGGTCAGCAAACTCTATGCAAAGGGCCAGACAGGACATGTAGTTCAGGCGTCTCAGGCCGCACAGCCCCTGTCACAGCTCAGCTCAGCATTGCAGCCTAAAGGACGCCAGGCGATGTGTAAGCAAACGGGCGCAGCTGGGTGCCCGGGAACCTTCGCTGTGGCCGCAGGCTTCCCTCTTGGCATCCTCAGCAGGTCTGGACCTTGGTCATGAGATGCATATCCTTGGCCTGTGGATGGGTTTCCCAGCCTTTTCTGGTTGATTTGTTAAGAGTGTTTTTTTATTTTATTTTTTACATATTCTAGATAGTTATTCCTTATCTTGTCAGCTTTTAGACAGTACAGTGCCTTTTGGAGTACAGTGCCTTTTGGAGAAGGGAATTTCTTGTCCCTCCTGCAGCGGGAGAGAGAGGTATGGCACTCTCAGGAAAGGTCACCCGGCCCCTCCCCTGCCTTGTAGCCTGCAGCCCTGCTTTCAGGCCTGACTCCGCTGACTCCCAATAAGCCCAGGTCCCTCTCTGGGCCTCAGTTTCCCCATCTTTCTGCTGGAGGCCTTGCTGTCCCCTCTCCTCTGAGCTCAGCAGGCCCATGGCTCTGGGATTGGCATCCACTCCCCACTTGCCCGTTTCCCCAGCTGCGAGCGAGGGCAGGTCGGGCCCAGTCCGGGCGGCCTCAGCCATTCCCGTGCACTGGCCCCGTCTCATCAAAACCCCTCATTCCCGGAAGCCGCTCTGTTCCCCATAGGGCTCTCTGACAGCTCCGTCCCTCCTGCCAATCAGCTGGGCAGAACCTCTCATTTGTGGGTGAGGGTAATTAGGGGTCCACCCCAGCTACTATTCTGGGAAGGCTGCTGGCTGAGGACATTCGTGTGTGTGCGTGTGTGTGTGTGTGTGTGTGTGTGGGGGGGGGGAGTGTGTGTGGGGGAGGTGGGGTAGGGAGTGACTCCCAGGCAATGCCTACGCTCGCAACGCCCCTCAGGGAGAGAAATTGCAGGGTGCGGCCCCTGCTCCCCTGTCCCCTGCCACGAACTCAAAAACAGGCTAAAATAGGAAAGAGCCAAATCCTAGGTTTGTGGCTGCTGCAAAGTGCAGGTTGGGGTGCAGAGCAGAGGGTGAGGTGGGGCCTGCCTGGCGCCTTGAGGCATCTGAACTGAGCTCAGGGGACCCTGAGTTGTCCTCAGGGAGGGACCCGAGAGTCTGGTGGTCCAGCTCTCACTTCAGGCACATGCGGGGAAACTGAGGCTCGCCCTGAATCCTCACAGCCACGTCGGGAAGTTGGTGCTGTTACTACCCCCGTACGAGAGGAAATGGAGGCTCAGCGAGGCCAAAGGGAGATGAAGTTGGGAAGGGGCTGAGCCGGGATTTGAACCTGGACCTGGGCCCCTCTCACAAGGCAGGCCAGCCACCTCCACTGAAAGATGGCCGTGGTGATACCTCACCTTGCTGAGCTCCTGCACTCGGAGTTTAGCTGTGTCCCCAAGCATTTCATCAGACACACAACGTCATGCTGCTGCTTCTTCCCACATGTTTACAGTGAGGGGAAGCCAGCCAGCCCCCTGGGGCCTGGCTCCCGAGCTCTGGGGAGAGCAGTAATTTGTGTGTCTGCTCTCTCTAGAGGTAAGAGGGGTGGCCTGAGAAGGAAGCTCACAAACAGCCAGACATCCGGGAAAGGGAGGAGGAGGAAGGGAAGGCCGCCTGCTGCTTCTCTTCACTTGCCACACTGGCGAGCAGCCCCTGTCTTCAGGGGTGGCGGGGACGTGGAGAAGCGAAGGCAGGGGTTTTCCTTCTCTCAGGGGCCTGCCTTCCTGCAGCAGCCTTGACCGGCCCGAGCTCTGATGCACCCCCTTCATGTGCTTTGTCCCTGCCTCCCTCCAGCAGGCGAGGCTGGGCTGCGTGGTGAACAGGACGAGCTCTGAGACCTCGGTCAGTATAGGCAGCTTTCCTGGCCTTCGTCTCCCCGAATGTCGTAGGGGTGCAGCAAAGCCTTCCTGCCTGAGGAGTAAGGGAACCTGAGCCGCCATCCATGGGGAGCCTGGCACGAGGAGGTGCTTAGCTGAACTGTAATTCACTGGGACCAGCTCGCCTACTGGTGGTTCCTGGTTGTTTTTATTCGTTTTCCTGGCTTGTCTTAGAACAGAGGCCAGAAGCTTTTTCCTGCAAAGGCCCAGCTAGTCAGTGCTTTAGGCTTTGTGGGCCACGCAGACTCTTGCCATGATTCACCTCGGTTGTCGGGACACAAAAGCAGCCCCAGACGCTGCGTGGGTAAAGGGGCGTGGCTGTGTTCCAAGGACACTGGGTCTGTGGGAGGAGGCCGTGGGCTGGATCTGGCCCGCAGGGTCCGAGATGGGCGGTCCCCGGTCCGAAGGGTCTCCCCGGGGCCTCTTCCTGGTCATTCCTGAAGGGGCGCTCCTGCTCACGTAGTTGATGCGCTTTTGGGCTCACCCTTCTGTTATTGTCCCATTCATAGCCTTTGCCCTACATCTGTGAGTTTCCCAGCCTCTTCTGGTTGACTTGTTGGCGTTTCCTGAATATTCCGGATAGTTATTCCTTGTTGGCTTTAGACATGGCGGAGCTTTTTGCATCTGCTGTCTGCCTGTGGCCTTCTTGTTGAAAGGAAGTTATAGGGCTTTTTGGAAGGTTTGAACCTGTATCCCCTTTCCACCCTCGGACAAAGATATTCTCCTGCATTTTGTTAGGTGAGTTTTAGTTTTCCTGTTCATATGTAGGTCTTCAATCCATCAGGAGTTTCTTGTGGTATAAGTGTGAGTAGGGATTCCATTTTATTCCCCCCGCCCCACCCCAAATGGGTTGCCTGCACCATCTGGAATTCTTCACGTGATCATCATCACATCTAAGTTCCCGTAAACACACGGTCCTCTTCTGTGATTTCCGTTCTCTCCCACGGGTTCTTCCTCTGTTTCTGCGGTAGTTCCACACTGTCTGGTTCCTGTGGCTTTGCAGTATGTCGTTATAGCAGGTGGGGCAAGTTCCGATTTTTCAAGGGATGCCAGAAAGCCAGACTTTCATGTGAAAGATCCTAATGTGCTAGTGTTGGCACGTGATCCCGTTGAATAAAACACGGTGCCGGCCAAACCAAGCTTATCCCGGGGCTGCTTCCGACCTTCCCGTGGGCGCCTGACCACGTGCCTGTGTGTCTGTGGGTTCGCAGTGCTGGAGAAGAGCGAGTTCAAGGATGAGTCGCAGTACTTCCGCTTCCACGCCGACGAGGAGATGGAGGGGACCAGCAGCAAGAACAAGCAGCTTCGCAACGACTTCAAACTGGTGGAGAACATTCTGGCCAAGCGCCTGCTGGTAGGAGCAGAGCTGAGCTGCTGCGTCTCCCTTCCCAGACCCTCCTTCCGACAGGGCTTCACCTGTGGCTGGAAGACCTTCAGATGTGGGCTCAGCCTGGAGCACCAAGAGCATGGGTGATTCTAGGTGGCGGCTGGCAACGCTGCCAGGACGCCCGCTCACCACTGGCCAGGACTGCCTTCCCATCTCCCGTTGTCCACCCTGCATCCTCGCATTTGCAGAGAGGATGGCCTCCTGAGATGACTCACCCTGCAGAACCAAAGCCTTAGGTTTTCTGGGCTGGCACCCTGTCCGTCCAGTTGCTGTCCATGTCCTTGCATAAATAAGGTAGAACATTTATTTGAAAACCCTAACACGTTAGAGTGTTGGCAGCCTGTTCCGATAGTTTGCCTGCCAAGCCCACTAGGTCCTGTTGCTCTGTCTACTGCGAGCAGCAGCCTTCACTCAGTGCCTGCCCTCCCTCCGTCTTCCTCCCCGTGTCTCTCGAGCCATCAGGAGACAGCTCAGGAGGTTAGATCTCTTGCCGCAGCCAGAGTTGGGGCCAAATTCTGAATAATATGAAGACAGCCCCATTAACTTCTCTCCTGCAGCACTTCTCGGGTAGCTGGACACCTTTAGATTTAGTTTGTTCATTACGCCAGTACATTTAAAAAAAAATGCTTTTATTGATTTCAGAGAGAGGGAGAGGGAGAGGGAGAGAGAGATAGAAACATCATTGATGAGAGAGAATTATTGATCTGCTGCCTCCTGCATGCTCCTCAATGGGAATCAAGCCGGTAACCTGGACCTGTGCTCTGATTATGAATTGAACCGTGACCTCCTGGTTCATAGGTTGATGCTCAACCGCTGAGCTACACTGGCCGGGCTAGACCATTGCATTTTAATCAAGCACCTGCAGCATGCCAGCAGGTGGAGAGACAGGGGTGCATGGCTGAGAGACTGCCCTTAGGTTGGGAGGAGGAAGGAGACAGGCGATGAAAAGTAAACAAATACGAAATCAGCACCAGATCGAAGTACGAACTAGGCGGTGTGTCTTCACAGATAGGTGTTGAGCACCTACTGTGTGTTGTGGGTGCTGTTTATTCTGTTGCTGTACTCCGCACCCCCATGTAGATCTGAGGCCTGAGGAGCCTGTAGGATCGTAGGATCATAGGAGCCGTGTGGGGCCAAGGCAGGGCTGGCTCCAGGATTCCCTCCCGACTCCACCACCTCACCGGGTCTCTCCGACTCCGCACCCACAGATCCTGCCCCAGGAGGAAGACTACGGCTTCGACATCGAGGAGAGGAACAAGGCTGTGGTGGTGAAGTCGGTCCAGAGGGGCTCACTGGCCGAGGTGAGGCCTCTCGGAGGGGCTGTGTGGGTAGGAGAGTGAGGCGTCTCTCTACACATCCCTTGAGGCAGGCAGCAAACCCTGGAATGTCCCTCCTCGCTCACTCGCTCATTGTCCGCGTGGGGAAACTGAGTTCAGAGTTCGAGTCATCTTGTCGGCCTTCTCCTGGAGCTAGGACAGCCCCTCTGTGTGTGCGACTGGCTCCCTCTGCTGGTCAGATGGGGAGGTGCAAGGAAGAGTTTGTGAATCAGCTGTTACAAGGAAAAAAAAAAAACTACGTATTTTCCGGCGTATAAGATGACGTTTGAAACGGAAAAAAAGTCAACCGAAAATCGGGGACAAAAGACCAAAACTGCACAAAAATTACCTGCATATCTTGACGGCAAAGTAGGTCTTTTCTTTAAAGTGGGGGGTAGTCTTATACAGCGAATATAGGCCTAAACCTATGTTCCAACTGTAAAATTAGGGGGTCGTCTTATACGCCGGAAAATACGGTAACCCTCATGGCCTGCATAAGACGTCATGGTCTACAAGGAGGAAGAAGAGTGAGTCCGTGGCAGGCCAAACCTTCAGCCCCAGGTCCTCGCAGCTGCTCCTTGGGGTGTGCGGCTGGGTAGGCGGAGGCACTGTCATGTTGTCCAGGCACCTGCTTGCGTCCCTGCAGTGATTAGGAATGCGTTTGGCTGCAAGTAGCCACCTGCCCGCCCCACAGTGGCTGGAGCCATAGGACTTGATCTAAGTCAGTGGTCAGCAAACGGCAGCTCGCGAGCCACATGTGGCTCGTGAGGTGCGATTTGCCCCTGTTGACTAATGAGTTTGCCGACCACTGATGTAAGTGGTCAGAAGGAGGTGGTTGCGAGACTTGGTTCAGGGTCAACATTTCTGACTTTGGCTGGCCAAGCCCTCCTGGTCACAGGGGGCTGCCCCTGTCCTCATACGGCAGGGTGGGAAGCAGCAGTTTCTCCCTGGAGGGAAAACGTCTTTTCCGCTAGTGCCTCCTGCTGGCTTTCCTTCATAGCACCTTGGCCAGAGCCAGTCTCACCAGCCTGCAGAGCGGAGGGACTGCTTACCACACGGGGGGACTGGTGGCCCTGGGGGACTGGTGGCCCTGATCATGCTTAGTCCCTGGGGCTGGGGCTGTGAGAACAGGAAACTAGCAACCTGGTGTGCGTGTCTCCCCGCCAAGATGGCCGGCCTGCAGGTGGGGAGGAAGATCTATTCCATCAACGAGGACCTGGTGTTCCTGCGGCCCTTCGCAGAGGTGGAGTCCATCCTCAACCAGTCCTTCTGCTCCCGCCGCCCCGTGCGCCTCCTGGTGGCCACCAAGGCCAAAGAGTGAGTGTCCCCAGGGGCCAGGGCCCCCCCCCCCGACCTTCCTCGCAGGCCAAGGAGGTGCCCGAGTGCTGGGGACGGTGGGGGCCGCGCCTCCCTGGACCCCTGAGGGTGGGGCTCATCCTGCGGGTACACGGCCCGAGGCTGCTGCCTTCAGTCATTCGGTGGGTGTTGATCGTGCGCCCGCTGTGCCTAGCGAGGGCTTCAGGCTCTGGGGATCCAGCCACGTCTGGATGGGTACATCTACCGCTCATAGATCTCAGTCTGGGTGGAGGGTAGAGCAGGAGAGACCGACACAAACAGGGGAGAAGTGAGAGGCATACTGAGCCAGCTGATAGTGAGTGTGGGCTGATCCATATATAAAGCTGGGAAAGAAGGTGGGCGGTGTGGAGGGATGGTGGTTAGGGTGCCACTGAGCACTGAGGTGAAGCCCTGAAGGAGGTAAGGAGGCAGTCAGGGGACTTGTTGGGGGAAGAGGGCTCCGGGAAGAGAAAACAGCCCATGCGAAGGCCCGGGAGGAGCCTGGCTGGTGTGTTTGAGGAACAGTGAGGAAGCTGATGTGCTGGAGCAGAGCGAGCGAGAGGGAGGGAGGGATGAGGTCGGCCAGACAATGGGGCCTGGTGTCCATAGTAATGGCCATGGAGCCACTTGGAGGCTCAGAGAAAAGGCGAGAGGCATGATCTGATGTGGGTTCTGGCGGAGTCCCGCTGGCTGCAGGTGAAGACCAGATGGTGGGGGGCAGAGGTGGAAGCGGGGAGCCGTGGTGAGGAGGCTGCTGGACCAGCCTGCGTGGCAGCAGGGGTGCGGTGGGAAGTGGTTGGATACCAGATATAGGTGCAGGGAGAAGAAGCGTTTTCTATTTTAAAAATTGTGCACTTGGTTTCCACGTCTCCCTTCTATTTAAGGCAGATGCTCCCCGGTTTTCTGTTGACAGGCGGGAGGGAAAGTTTTAATAGGATCGTTTCGGAGTAGAAAGGCAAGCCAACTTAGGGAAAATGATTGATTGGATGGCTGGAATGTGGAAGGGGCAGAAATCACCAAGTGGAATGAGCCCGTCTTAAGTCTGGCAACACCTGCGCTTTCTGTGGCTGGTGGGCATGGGAGGGATGGCCCTGGAGGGGGCATGCCCTGGGGGAAGCAGGCAGCCCACTGCACAGTCCTGAGCAGGGGCCACGTGCTTAACTCTGGTGTCCCCCCTGCAGAACGGCCAAGCCCCGGGCTCTCAAACCGTGTTCTCTAAAGGACACGTGTGGGCTTTTGTCTAGAATCAGCGCCACGCTGTGTGGACCACGTCTCACCCTTCCACCCGTGATCGCTGTCTAAAATGTCACGGGCAGAGGTGTTGCTCTGGCCGCCCAGAGGCCTCCTCCCTCCAGGAGGGAGGGAGAAGGGAGAGCGTGACCCGGGGTTTGTGTGTGGGGGCTGCAGCTCTCTGGCCGCTGTGCTCCAGATGAACTGGAGGCGCTGGTGGGGCGGGCTTCGGTTGGGCGAAGTGAGGTTTCTCTGTATATCTGGGAGCTGGAACGCCTGGCACGGCGAGTGTTTTGGGCTGGATTTCCCAGAAGTCCCAGAGGCAGGGGCTCCTCAGGGTGGCCCGCTGGGCTGTGAGATGCTGCTCTCCCTTACGGCTGCTTCTGCCTGCCGCAGGATCGTCAAAGTCCCGGACCATCCGGAGGCTTTGTGCTTCCAGATCCGAGGAGCTGCCCCGTCCTACGTCTATGCTGTCGGGAAAGGTGAGTGGGAGTCTGACAGACAGAGGGGAGCTCGGGAGACCCCATCTGTGTGTGTGTGAGGGGAGTGCAGAGTCTCCAAGCCACTACCACCAGGCCTGTGCGCACAGCGCACCCGTCGGCGCTTACTTTCTTTGCATGAGGCCAAGGCTTGCCAATGCGAACACCTATGGCGGTCAGGCAGTTACAAAGGAGTACCTGAGAGGAGGACGAGAGGGAGGGGTGAGGACTGTGGCAAGGTGGAAAATACCCACTTACTCTACAGGAGCCCCGTCTTCCTCGGCTCAAGCTCATTGGCAGGCAGGAGCTTACCAGAAGTCACAGAGCTGGTTAGTGGCAGAGCCAGGGTTTGGACCCAAGCCCCTGGGGTCCAGGCCTGTGCTCGTCAGCCATCACAGCATGTAGGCCCGATATTGTTTCATGTACAGACAAAGTGTGGCAATTTCACTTGCATTTACAGAGCCTTCCTACGAACCACACAGCACCCTGGGGTCCGAGGCCTGCAGTTTGGGAATTGTGGGATAGCTGAGAAAACATGCACGTGGGGTCCTATACACCCGGGCTTGACCCTGGCTTCTCCTAGCGGTGTGGCCTTGAGAGAATTCCTTTGCCTCTCTGAGCCTCGGTAGTCCTGTCTGCAAAATAGGGTGGTCCTGGCCCCACTATCACACAGGTTGTTGCGGGATTTTAAAGGAGACGAAGTTTTAGAGCGAAGCCCCTTGCTATTTCTCCGAGTCTCAATTTCTATTTCAGCAGAACGGGAACGCCAGCCCCTGCCCCGCCTTCTGCAGTGGATCAGAGAGAGGCCTCAGGGTGGGAGGGGTGGAGGTGCAGTGTTCGGGGGTGAGTGGAGGACAGACTTCATCTGGATTCTTGCCTGCACGGCTCAGGCCCTCGGCCTGGCTTTCAGCCTCAAGCATTCCTGTGTCCTTCAGGGTCCGAGGCTGCGGCCGCGGGGCTCTGCGCTGGCCAGTGTATCCTGAAGGTCAATGGCAACAACGTGATGAACGATAGCGCCCCAGAGGTCCTGGAGCACTTCCAGGCGTTCCGGACCCGCCGGGAAGAGGCCCTGGTGAGCCGCCCAAGGGGGTCAGGGGAGCCCTGCTCGGTGAGGGGGCGGGGCTGAGAGCCCCCTTTCTCTGGAAAAAAGTCTGACGGCGCCATGGTGTTTGGGGTCAGGTAGGGCTGGTGGGACTGAGCTGAGGTGAGGCCCTCTGCCCCCTCTGCCTCCCTAGATTGGAGGAGCTGGGCTGTACCACCTCACGGCCTCAGTTTTCGCAGCTGTGAATGGGTGCGATGAGACCCTCTTTTCTTTTTCTTTTTAAATATATTTCATTGGTTTTTTACAGAGAGAAAAGGAGAGCGAGAGAGAGAGCTAGAAACATCGATGAGAGAGAATCATCCATCAGCTGCCTCCTGCACACCTCCTACTGGGGATGTGCCTGCAACCAATGTACATGCCCTGGACCGGAATCGAACCTGGGGCCTTTCAGTCCGCAGGCTGTTGCTCTATCCACTGAGCCAAACTGATTTCGGCAAGACCCTCTTTTCTTACTACCAAGGCATGTTGGGCAAAGGCTTATGTTGATGGTGAAAATGGATGTTATGCTTGGGTTAGGGGCTGGGGTTCTGTGGAAGGTGGTGCTTATTTATCGGGTTATCTGAGTGTTTATTGAGCACCTGCTGTGTGCCTGGCCCTTTCCTAGGCTCCGGGGCCACAGGAGAAACACCCATGGATCCGCAGTGCATTTTCAAAGGCTCCCCCTCCCCTGGCATCTGTGCGGAGTATAGACTATAGAGAGTGAGGGCTGAAGGTGCCTGGAAGTCCCTCAGGAAGGTCCCAGGGTGAAGCCTTGGGGCCTCTCCAGAGGAGGTGTCACCGCCAGGCTTTGCCCGTCCCCTCCTCCCCGGCTCTCAGCGCCAAGGCTGCCCCCTTTGCTCTGCTCCCTCACAGGGTCTGTACCAGTGGATCTACCACACACACGAGGATGCTCAGGAGGCCCGAGCCAGCCAGGAGACCCCAGGCGAGGACCCCGGTGATGAAGGGGCCCGGGAGGAAGACCAGCCCGACTCAGGTAACGGGACCCGTGGGCAGTGAGACAGAGACTCCCCTCGGGGAGCCGGGTCCCCTTCAGTGTCCTCCCTCCCTTGTGAGCCCATCTGGGTCCATCCGTTCTGGGTTCGTGTCTGATCACTGCTCTGGCAAAGCACCACCACCCCGGTGGCTTCACACAGCACACATTCATCCTCCTGCAGTTCCGACACCGGAGTCTGAGAGGAGGCTCGCGGGGCTAGAGTCGAGGTGTCAGCAGGGTTGCATTCTCTTTGCAACTCGAGGGGAGCACTGATTTACCTGCCGGTTCCAGCTTCTAGAAGCTGCCCGTGTTCCCTGAGCCATGGCCCTCTTCTGACACATGCGGAGCCAGCAATGCTGGCCCGAGTCCTTCTGTCCTTGCCACCTCTCTAACCCCGCCTCCTCTGCTTCCATCTTCCCCACGTGAGAGCCCTTGTGATTACACTGGTGGACCTGACTCATCCAGGGTCACCTCATTGTAAAGCCGTCTGCTGGGAACCTTAATTCCACCTGCAACCGTCTTTTCCCCTTGTCACGTGAGAGCGTTTAGTCCAGGGATGAAGATGGAGCTGTCTTCGGGGCCATTATTCTGCCTACTACGGGCTCCCACATTTATCTCCCTGGTGCAGCCTCAACCCTGAACTCCAGGCCTGTCTTACTGCCTCCTCCCCCGCCCCCTCTGGTATCTAACAGGCACCGCGGACTCCGCCTGGTCAAAATGGACACTCCTGAGCTTCCCCCGAGAGTCCTATCTTCATCCTTCAGATCCTTAGGCCCTAGATCTTGGAGTCCCCTCAGCTGTTCTCTTTCTTCTGTGTCCCAAACCTTAATTCCAGAAGCGCACTCTGTTGCCTCTGTGTTCCTCATGCATCTCACCTCCTCCATTGCTGCCTGGTCCAAGGTGGCTTGGACCAGGCAGCAATGGAGGAGGTGACGATTGTGGTAGCCTGCTCACTGTCTTCCCTGTCTCACCTCACCTCTCCTCTTTAAAAACAAACAAACAAACAAACAAACAAAAACAAAAAACAAAAAACCAGAACAAAACATTCCAATGATTCCCACCCTGACTCAGGGCAAAGACCGAGTCCTTATCATGGTCTTCAGCCTCACCTCCCATCACTTTCCTATTTGCCCCCTCTATTTCATCCACTCCACCACCAAATGTACTCCTACCCCAGGACCTTTGCACTTGCGGTTCCCTCTGCCTGGAATGTTCTCTTTCTGAGTACTTCTTATCCCACTCACCTCTCTTCTCAGCTGTTACCTCCTCAGGGTGCCCTTCTGTTCCAGAGTCTCCTTATTCTATTCTGTTTTTCTTTACTGCATGTATTGGTTGGCTGTATATCATGTAGTGCCTTCTTTGTTTTCTAGATATGCCACTCCCTAGCTGTGTGGCCTTTGAGGAGTCAGGTAGCCCCCTCAGGGCCCATGTTAACTGGGACTGAGCTGCATAACATTAACTCAGGAAACAGAAAAGTCTGGGTAGGGTCATGTAAGCTTCAGATCTGGCTCGATCCAGGGCTTTATGGAGTCTCATAAGGAGTCTCTTTCTCTCTAGTTTTCAGCTCTGCTCCCTCGGCGTTGCTTTTCCTTTCACCTGCTGTATTATGCATGTGGTGGCTCTGGCAGCTTGGAATCCAGTTGAAAAGAGAATGTCTCCAGCTCTTTGTAGATCAAAAAAAAAAAAAAAAAAAAAAAAAAGTCCCAGACTTGACTCTCATTGGCCCAGCTTGGGTCACATGCTCATTTGTGAGCCAATCACTGTGAATAGAGGAAATCTTCAGCTTGTGCCTTTGGTGAATGATGCAAATGAGACAGGGTGGGGGTGGGGGGATCTCTTCTAAGCCACATAGACTGGAAATAGGGCACACGGGTTGATTTCTAGCGGGACAATGCAGGACGAGGTGTGAAGAGTAGTAGGCTGGCAAAATCAAACAGAGCTGCAGCACAGACTTCAGGGCCCCATCTGTCTGACGGGAGCTGTCCGAGGTGTAGGGCCAGGGGGCTGGCTGGCTGTGGGGTGGAGCCCCCTCTTCGGGGCTGACGGTCCTTTCGGCTTCCAGCCTTCCCTCTGCTGTCCATGGGGGCCCAGCTGAGCCTGCAGGAGGACAGCCCCGTGGTGAGCCTGAACGTGGACAACGTGCACCTGGAGCACGGCGTGGTGTACGAGTACGTGAGCACCGCGGGCATCAAGTGCCACGTGCTGGAGAAGATCGTGGAGCCCCGCGGCTGCTTCGGCCTCACCGCCAAGGTCTCGTTGGGCACTGCCCTGGGGGTGGGGCAGCCTGATTCCCATTTCCTCCGAGTTAGCCTGGAGCCCTGAATTCTAGTCTCTGCCCCAGGGCATGGGATCCAGGAGAGTGACTTAACCTCTTTAGCCTCAGTTCTCACATCTGCAAAATGGGCCAGTAATAGACCTGACTTCCTGGGGGTGCTGTGAGGCATACAGGAATCTCTGTAGATAAACTGCTAATGGCCCTGCTTGGGGCAGAGTGTGTGCTCAGGAGTTCATGTTCCTGCAGATCCTTGAGGCCTTTGCTGCCGATGACAGTGTGTTCGTGCAGAACTGTGGGCGGCTCATGGCCCTGAGCAACAACATCAGGACCATGTCCCATTTCGAGTTTCGTCACATCTGCGACATCAAGCTGGAGAGCATTGGCCAGAGAATTGCCTGCTATCAGGAGGTACCTTTACCCTCAGCCTGGGGCATTTTGGCTATAAATGTTAAAACCCACCACTACTTAGCTTAGACAAATGGGAGGACTCATTGGCTTATATTTCTGAAAAGTCCAGAGGCAGGCTTCAGGCATGGTTGTATCCAGGTGCTCAAGCAGATATCACTATAAGACCATGGCCTCTCTCCTTCTCTTGACTTTATTTTTCCACATTGGCTTCGCTGCCAGGCAGGCCTTTCTCATGTGGTGACAAGATGGTCCCCAATAGCTATAACCTAAGCAACCCCAGTAGAAAAGGGATTGAGAGCTTCTATTGGAATGGCGTGGGTATCATGCCTAGCTCTGTATCAAGCATGGGGAGGCAGCCTTCCCTGAACCTCATGGACAGTGGGTTAGGGAGAGATGGCTTTAACTCATGTGTGCAGCCAAAATGGAGGAAACGAAGGTGAGTAGGTACTCAGAGGATCCAGATTTCTCCAGACTTACCCTGAAATCTGGATCCAGTGAAAGGCAGTGTAGGGGGATCCACTTGTCCATTGGGGCTGTTCGTTTTGTCCAGTCTGGCATGTCTGGCCCAGACCAGAATAAAGTGGGAACTGTGGGGAGACCAGAATTCCCAGGGTCCTGCAGCACGACCTCATGCCCTCCACCTCTGTCAGTTTGCAGCCCAGCTGAAGAGCAGGATCAGCCCACCCTTCAAACAAGCACCCCTGGAGCCCCACTCGCTGTGTGGCCTGGACTTCTGCCCCACCAACTGCCACATCAACGTCATGGAGGTGTCCTACCCCAAGACCACGCCCTCCATCGGCCGGTCCTTCAGCATCCGCTTTGGTCGCAAGCCCTCCCTCATTGGCCTCGACCCAGAGCAAGGTAACTGCATGTGTCCGTTAGAAATGGCGTTTGGATCTCACACGACAGACACTTAAACAGAAACATGTCTGGAGGTCAGCGGTCCAGGGCTGGAATGGTGGCTTCACAGTCATCAAGGATCTAGGCTCCGATCTTCCTACACCACCATCTCTATGGTGCAGAGGTGGCTTTCATCCTGAAGGATGCCTCGTGGTATAGAATGGCTGCTGGAGTATCAGCCATCACGTCTGCATTCCAGGCAGGAAAAGATCACAGTAGTTAAAGGCCTATTAGCACTAAACCACAACTTTTGTCTTGAAGTAATCTAGTGGATTAAAATAATAGTATTTAAAAGGGGAAATTCTCATATTTATTGGAATCCTAGAAATGGCTTATATACCTCTCGCCAGGGGCGTTGTGGGTGTCAGGGCACGGTTTCTAAGTGAGCTCTCCCTTTATCCATGCAGGCCACCTGAACCCTATGTCCTACACCCAGCACTGCATCACCACCATGGCTGCCCCCTCCTGGAAGTGCCTGCCCGCTATTGATGGGGACCCTCAATGCCAAAGTCCCCGTGACAGCGGCTTTGGACCAGCCAATGGGGCCCTGGGCCCAGAGGACCGGGGTCTGAGCTTTCTCCTCAAGCAGGAGGATCGGGAGATCCAGGACGCCTACCTGCAGCTCTTCACCAAACTGGATGTAGCCCTGAAGGAGATGAAACAGTATGTCACCCAGATCAACAGGTGAGCCCTGACCCCAAGAAGGAATTGAGGGTGTGTGTGTGTGTGTGTGTGTGTGTGTGTGTGTGTATGTGTGTGAGAGAGAGAGAGAGAGAGAGAGAGAAAGTGTGTGTGTGTGTGTGTGTGTGTGTGTGTGTGTGTGTGTGTGTGAGAGAGAGAGAGAGAGAGAGAGAGAGAGAGAGAGTGTGTGTGTGTGTGTAGTCAGGATGCTTTGTAGTGGGGGCTGTCCTGTACATCAGGCAATTTATCAGCCTCCCTAGCTGCCAGGAGCATCTCTGTTCCCCAGTGTGATAAGCATTGCTAAATACCCCCTCGGGGGGTGGGGGCAGAATCACTCCTGATTGAGAGCCACTGCTCTAATGAAATGAGGGATGCAGGCGGCAATCATTAAGAGAGACTGAAGCTATTTGGAAAAGGTTTAGGGGTCTTTGTAACTTTAACAGAAAGAGAGACAGTGTCCCTTTTGGTGTAATGTAACGGCGCACACACACAGCACCACCTCCAGAGTGTTCTTGCCAACTGAAATCGCACTGTTCTCTAATCACAGCTCTAGGTCTTACTTCGCAACTGTAGGATGTGGAGGACAGAGGATGGTGGCATGGCACCCCGGGGACACAACTGGCCAAATCCAGAGGGAGGGTGATTCTAGGTGGAAATAGCTGATGGGGGTTGTGGGGGGGGGGGAGAGGGGCAAGTGGGAGTGGGGGTAGGGAGTAGATCTAGGGAGGAGATGGAGGATCTGTTAGAGAAGAGACATATCAACCAAATGCAGTGTCTGGCTAGGGTTCTGTTTCTAACACACCATGTGTGAAAAGACCCTTTTGAGACAACCAGGGCTGTTTGTACATGGACTGGGTACTAGATGGTGTGAAGGAATGATTGGTTTTGTTAGGTACGGTAACGGCAGTCTGGTGAGGTTCAAAACAGGGTTTCTCAGCCTTGACGTTATGGACACCATCTGCAGTGTGGTGTGCAGTTAAGATAGTTAGCAGCATCCCTGGCCTCTACTCATCGGATGCAGTAGCTCCCCCCACCCCTATCCCGCTTCAGTTGTGACAACTAACCAATGTCTCTGGACATTGGCCAGTCTTTGCCCCTCAGGAAATATGCTAAGTTGCTCACTGTTTCCTCTGGGAGGTGCAGAATCACCCTTAGTTGAGAACCATTGCTTTAGAAGACAGTCCTTATGTGCGAGACACATGGGGAAGGGTTTATAGGGGAAATTTATGATATCTTAGCTAGGTTTTAAATACTCCAGAGCAACAGGATAGATTGAGGAAACAGAGATGAACCCGAGTTGCCATTGTTGAAGCTGGCTAGGAGTACCTGCCGTTCTTCATACTGTTCCCTCTACTTTCTTGTTTAATGGAAATTGTCTGTGATGAAAGAAAAAATAATGTAGGGTCTTGATCCAGGAGAGTCTGGGTTTGAATCCCGGCCCTGCTATGTATTAGCTGTGTGACCTTGGACGAGTCTCTTGATTTCTCTGAGCCTCAATGTCCTCATCTGTAAAACGGAGCTGATCATAATACTGACCTTATTGAGATGTAATAGGATTAAAAAAATAATTTGGACATTTTGTCTTATATTTTATTGATTTTTTTACAGAGAGGAAGGGAGAGAGAGGGATAGTTAGAAATACTGATGAGAGAGAAACACCGATCAGCTGTCTCTTGCACACCCCCTACTGGGGATGTGCCCGAAACCAGAGTACATGCCCTTGACTGGAATCGAACCCGGGACCTCTCAGTCCGCAGGCAGATGCTCTATCCACTGAGCCAAACCGGTTTCGGCTGTAATAGGATTTTATCAGCCAGTGTTTATTGCTCACAGACAAGGCACTAGATGCTCTTCTAAGCACTTTATATATTTTAACTCCCTTAATTTTCATACCAGCCTGAGACACAGATGCTGATATAACTCCATTGTACAGGTGAGGAAACTAAATCTCAGAGAGGCTAAATAATTTGCTGTGGGTCACTAAGCTAGCAAGGGGCAGCGTTGAGATTTGAATCTGGGGTCGGCCTGTTTTAAAAACCTATGCACTTGACTGTTAATGAAACTCTGTGCCATGGTAGACAAACTATGGCCTGTGGGCCAAATCCAGCCTACTGCCTGGCTTTCTTAAAATAAAGTCTTATCGATATTAGAACACAACCATGCTATTCATCCCCATATTGTCTTTCACACGAATGAGGCAAAGTGGAATAGTTTTAATGGAGGTTGGATGGCCTACAACGCCGAAAGGAGGTGCTCTCGGAGCCTCTGCAGCAAGTTTCCCAGTCTTGTTCTATGCCCTCAAACCTTGAATAGCTTGGCCATGAAGTAGAGAACTGCTGTTTCTCATGCCCCCTACAGGAGGGACGGTGTAAGTGCTTCCACGGAGTTGCTGGTGGGATTTCCAGGGATGGGACACCCAGCATTGGATGGCTTCCTCTGTTAGGGCCAGAGGTGAGGCCTGAGGTCAGGACCTTGCCTAGAGCCTCCAGGAAGGCCATTGAAACCACCAGCATGTGCCTTTGAGTTCAAAGACTTTGCTCCCACAGGCTGCTGTCCACCATCACGGAGCCCACCTCGGAGGGGTCCTGCCACCCGCCCTTGGCTGAGGAGACCTCGTCCTCCCCACTGGTCAACGAAGAGAGCGAGATGGACAGGACCGACCACGGGGGCATCAAGAAAGTGTGTTTCAAGGTGTCTGAGGAGGATCAGGAGGACTCCGGTCATGACACCATGAGCTACCGTGACTCCTACAGGTGGGGGCCGCTGTGGGCGTCATGTGGGGTTTGACATGGGTGGCCGGTGGGACGGCTGAGGCCACGGGCCTGTGGGAAAGTCAGAATTAGAGGGACTCTCCAGGAAGCAGCGGGGTGGGGCACTGTTGCTAAGCCCTATGGCTCTGGGGGTTGTCTAAGCCCCCAAGGCTAATGTTCAGGCTCTACCCCCTGTGGGCACCACCCGTCCACTCTGCTTCGGTGCCACTCTGCGCACGCTCGTGGAATGAGAAAGAGTCGAGATCTGTGGTGTGTCTTAAAACTTACATGGTTTCTGCAACCAACACTTTATTTTTACTTGATCCAAGGAGGAAGGCAGTTTTCCCCCCTCCTAACTCTGAGAGGGTCTGAGTTGCTTTTTCTTTTTACTGGTTGAGTTAATTATAACAAGATCAGGGAAGTCCTAATTAGTGGGTTAAATGGACTAAAAATTCAATTTCCTGTAATAAACCATGCAGTGGGTACGTGGAAGTCCTTACCACAAATAAACAAGTGCTGGGCGTTCCAGGGAGAGTTTCTATAACATTTGATCGTGTGGGCAGAGCAGAACCTTGGAGGGCGCGTCAGTTGTTTTGGGCAAAATACAGAACCGCTGGAATTTGACATGAACGACCTTCGCCCCAGTCTCCCAACATTCCTGTCTTTCAGTCTTCCCAGGGGTCTGGCTGGCCGAGTTTCTGTATAAGCAGATGTTCCCACCGCCTTGTGTCCATAGCCCAGGGTTTCTCCTTCTCTCTGCGTTTCCACGCTTACATTTGTGGGTCTTCTGATGTTTCCTTTACCTTTTGAAAAGGCGAAGGGAAGAATTTCAGGGTTGTGGTTTTTGATTTCCATACCTTTCGCATTCCTGGGACACAAGCTGAGAGAACACGGTCCTGTCCTCGTGAGGTTCCCAGCCAGGCTGGGGAGACGGACACGGAACCGTGTGGTCGAGGGTGGCATGTGCACACGTGTCCAGGAGCCAGGCTTCTCCCACGAGGGGAGTGACAGAAGTTTACTCCCAAATAAAAGCAAAAAAACCTCTCCTCTTGTTATTCCTGCGTGTCTGTGCCGGGGCCTAGCAATGTTTCTCCACCATCAGAAGGTCCTTCGGGACCACCTTCGCTGTCTTCCTCTGGTGAGCGGCCGGCAGCTCCCTTTCTGACCAGCTGTCTTCCGAGGAGCTAGGGATTTGTCCGTCCTCCAGAAAGGGGGTTCTGGGCGCTGGGACCAGAGGGTGCGAGCCGAGGTGACGCCTGTCTTCCTGTCCGCCCCTCCGCAGCGAGTGTAACAGTAACCGGGACTCCGTCCTGTCCTACACCAGCGTGAGAAGCAACAGCTCCTACCTGGGCAGCGACGAGATGGGGTCTGGTGAGTCAGCGGCTCCTGCTCCAGGGCCGGGGGTCCCCCTGTGAGACTTGGTTTGGTTTACTTCTACTTGATTACACTTTCCTCCGTGTTATTTTACCCGATGCTTTTTAGTCACTCGTTCAGCACCTTTTACCAAGCCCCCCCGTGTTGCGCTGGGGTCACAGCCACGAGCAAAACAAAAGATCCTGGCCCTCATAGAGCTGACGTTCTCCACGAATGTCACGGACACGGGACACGTGAAAACATACATGATGCAATGAGAGATTGTGATGAGTTGCTCCGACATCACTAAAATATGGCGACTTGATGGTTTCCATAAAAAGGACATGTGCTCAAACCAAAAATTCAGACGACATAGGAAAGTTCAAAAGAAGTACGTGACAGTCGCCGAAACCGGTTTGGCTCAGTGGATAGAGCGTCGGCCTGTGGACTGAAAGGTCCCAGGTTTGATTCCAGTCAAGGGCATGTACCTTGGTTGCGGGCACATTCCCAGGAGGGGGTGTGCAAGAGGCAGCTGATCAATGTTCTCTCTCATTGATGTTTCTAACTCTCTATCCCTCTCTCTTCCTCTCTGTAAAAAAAAAAAAAAAAAAAAAAAATCAATAAAATATATTAAAAACAAACAAACAAACAAAAAGAAGTACACGACAGTAAGTCAGAACCCCTAGGAGTGACCAGCTATCACATGGGGAGACCATTGGTGAACACAGTTCTGCACACATGGACAGACAGACAGACAGACATAATACTCCAAGAATTAGATCATGCTGTACCTACAGCTTTTTCTGAAAGACTGAAATTGGCTTTGATTTTAGTTGTATTGATTTCCGCGTTTAAAAAGTTTATTTTGTGAATAGGCCATAAATCCACTTGCTTCATAACTGAAAAAGCACGAGAGGGCGGGTGATGACAAGCCTCCCTCCCACCTTGCGACCCATCCTCCTGGTCCCCCACCCCACAGCTGCGTTATATGACCTTCCAGGGATAGTCTGGGCATAAAAATTTAATTTCAATTTGACAGAAGAAAGAGAAGCACAAGGAACATTGACGATATTGCTGAACTTTAGATAAATATTTCATCGCATAAGATATTTGGCTATAAAAACTCTCCCTGGGGCGGTTTGAGAAGGAGCTTCCATGTGGCGGCTGACTGAACTGAAACAGCTGGGGGGTAGGTCGGAGACGTGGGGTCCAGTTCCTTCTCTCAGGCTCGCAGCCTCCTCATTTGCAGAGCCTCGGAAATAAAAGCAACGGCTTACAGTTGTGTAATGCTCTCGTTCCTGTTGCCCATGTTGAAGATTATGAAACGGAGGCTCAGAGAGGTCAAGAAAATTGCCTGGTGTCACACAACCAGGATCCGGATCCGTCAGGCTCCAAATCCACTGTGGGGCTTGGAGCTCTGCAGCCGCGGAGCCTTCGTGGGAAGGAGGCTGGGATGGGTCGGAAATGGCTTGTTGATGGCTGTGGCTTCTTCCTTCTGCCAGGGGACGAGCTGCCCTGTGACATGCGGATTCCATCAGACAAGCAGGACAAGCTTCACGGCTGCCTGGAGCATCTCTTCAACCAGGTAGGACCTTTGTCCCTACCCCTGGCTGGACCTCGGGTTTCTCCCGTCGCCCGTGGTGAGAACCCATAAGCCAGAACCCGGGTTAGGCGCTGGGAATCAAGGGTCCTCGCAACCTGGAGGCCACAGGAGCCACCCTAACCTCGAGCCTCCTGCCGCCAGGTGGACTCCATCCATGCACTCCTCAAGGGGCCAGTCATGAGCAGGGCTTTCGAAGAGACCAAGCATTTCCCTATGGACCACTGCTTGCAAGGTGAGCACAGGGCCGCCCCTCCGCAGGGCTGGGAGTGACATCCAGCATCTAACAAGATGGCAAGGATGGGGAATGTGTGCCGACGGGGGTGGGGATGGGGCAGGATACGGGCTCACACTCTCGGCCTTGACCCTCTCCTGTCCAGTGGCTTATGCTTCATCCAGGGGTCAGCAAGTTTAGCCCACGGGCCAAATCCAGCCCATATCCTGGTTCTATATAGACTTGACCTGAGAATGATCTTTTCATTTGCAAAGGAGAAAAGAATGCAGTGATGGATTTGTGATGTCTGCCCTGGATTGGTATCAGTGGTGAGGAGTTACACCTCATCTAGTGGGAAGGTGTGCTGAGATTGATGAGTGCTGTCTGCCATGGGTGTGGTACTATGAATCAGTAGCACACTTACCATGTTTTTGCCCTCCGTGGACCAGATAATACCCGAGTCCAGCCGGCATCCTTGATCTTGGATTCTGAGCCTTGAAATCTGGTGATGGGACATAGGCCTTTGTGCCACCGTTCTCCAAAGCTGCCTCTGTCCCTTTCCCGCCCTCATACCACTCTCCTGCCCCAGAGTTCAAACAGAAAGAAGAGGGTACAATTCGTGGCCGGAGCTTGATCCAGATCAGCATCCAGGAGGACCCCTGGAACCTCCCCAACTCCATCAAGACCCTCGTGGACAACATTCAGAAATACGTGGAAGGTCGGTTGGGCAGGGAGGGGTAACGTGGCAGTTTTGTGGCTATTGATTCTTAATGTGGAATGAGGAAGGACCAGGAGTGGGGCCATCTCCATGTCCAGGGGGACTCATGCCTCTTCCTCAGCTGAGTGTCCTGCCCTGGGCAGAGCCCTGGGACTGTGTATAGTCACATGATTAAGGAACAGCTGACTTAGGGTGCTGGCGGTTCCTTGCAGAGAGAGGAGGCTGAGAAGGCTGCACTTACTCCTTCTTTTTAGGAAATTGTAGATTGAATTCAGTTCCTTTTATTATCAAGGACACAGGCTGGGGGTTCCCCGATCAGACTTGGGCCCACAGGTGGGCTTTGATGATATAGCACACACAAAAAAAGTGAATCGGTTGCCAGTGTTCCATTATCTGAGATGTCACATAACAATCTAGATTTCAGGCTACTCCTGACCAGTCGGGGGATCTGCCGCTAATCAGGCCTGCAGTCCCACAGTCACACTTGGGTGATGAGCGGCAGCTGCCGCCTTAGATGGGAGAGGGGTGACTTCCAGTTCACACAGTCCTCATCACTGCCTGCTTCCTGGTGTCTGCCTCACACCACTGCCTGCCTGACCCTTGGCAGCGTTTGAGTCCGGGACTCCTGGCTTAGAAGGACTCTAGACCAGGAGACATTTGACCAGGACAGCAGGAGGGCAAAGCTTCAGAGCCAGCCCCCGGAACAGCGCCTCTGAGTTGGCCTTTCAGATTTTTCTTTTAAACCTTTTCTGGGTCTAAGAGCCTTTTTTTTTTTTTTTTTTTTTTTTTTTAAAGGAAAGAGACCAGGATGTTAGGCCTGTGTTCAGAAGGTCTGAGCTTTGTCTACACGGGTTCAGGGCTGTGGCTGAGTAGAATGTGCATACGTACTTGTGTGCTTGCATGAACATGTATGCATATAAGCGTGTGTCCACACATGCATGTACAAGGTGTAGGCTGGGGTCTCTGGCCTGGGAGTTGGAAGGGACTGGTTTCAGTCTCTGTTTGGTGGGCATATGTAAACAGTTGGGGTACAGCTAGCAGTTGTGGTTCCCTCCCCTGGAAACTGAGGGTTTCTGGAACTCACCCAACATTCCATCAGAGCAGCGTGACTGTGCCTATCCAGAGCGTCCCTGCGCAGGGCGTGGAGCATGGGCTGCAGGGAGGACCCAGTTCTGCTCCAATCTGTGCTGACTCCTCTCGGCTCATTCTTTTCTCTGCTTCTCCTTCCAGATGGGAAGAATCAGCTGTTGCTGGCCTTGCTGAAATGCACAGGTGAGGGCTTTGCAGCAGCAACTCTGTGATGGGCACACGGAGGTGTATCCAGGAGAGGGCGTCCTGGCTGGCAGTGGTGCTCCTGACAGCATCCCTGGGAGGCCTGGTCTGCCGGCGAGGTTTATGTTCCCCTGGTCATCAGGGCCTGGACCTGGGGGAGGGAGTGACTTCGTGGCTCTTGTACCTACAACTACTTAGGCCTCATTTGCTTCCTCCTCTTGAGTCCAGGGTCAAGTCTCAGGGCCCTGGAGCCAGGAGCCCTGTGTCTTGCCACCTCTCAGGCCTGAGGACAGGAGAGAGAGGACCGATGACTAGGGAGGGTCTTTGTCAGTCGAGTCCTCAGCCCCGCGTGGGACTTCCACCCGGCAGACAGTGGGGAGGAGGAAAGGGCAGATGGTGGGCTCGGGAAAGCTGAGAGGTGTTCTCCCTCCCTTCTTTCCAGAAATTCTCTGTCAAGTGGCAGCTAAAATAAGATTAGGTCAAAATTGGTGTCTGGAAATCAGTTGGCTAGAGCCAGTCATTGAAAATAATTCCCTCAGGAGGATCGGGCCCTGGATGAATGATTGCCTGAAATTAGCCCGTTCTGCAAACCACGTCAGGACAGGGGCGAGGAAGGGGTAGCCAGGAAGAGGCTTCTCAAAAACAGAGAAAATGGTACCCAGCATTTCTGAAAGCCCGGAGCTTGGCAGAAATGCTTGGCGCCATTGCTGTCCAGCCAGCCAAGGTGGAGCAATCCCCTGACCAACGGAGAAACAGCTGAGTAAGGTTTTTGGGAAAGCCTTAGGCAAAATCGCAAGGCAGATGGATCAATGAGAGAGTTGAGATTTTCAGTAATTTGGCTTGCTTTTGGAGAATTGATTCTTGTGGGGTTGGCTTTTGGTGGCCGGGATTGATTTTGAGCAAGCTGGCCCCGGATGGCTGGCCTGCTGGGGCTGGTGGCTGGTTCTGGGCCTGGGCTCTGGGGTGTGGGGCAGGAGCCCCTGCCCAGCGAGCCCGTCTCTGCTCTCCAGACACCGAGCTGCAGCTGCGGAGGGACACCATCTTCTGCCAGGCCCTGGTGGCCGCCGTGTGCACCTTCTCCGAGCAGCTCCTGGCGGCGCTCAGCTACCGCTACAACAACAACGGCGAGTACGAGGAGAGCAGCCGGGACGCCAGCCGCAAGTGGTTGGAGCAGGTGGCAGCCACCGGTGTCCTCCTGCACTGCCAGTCCCTGCTGTCGCCAGCCACCGTGGTGAGTGAGGGGCCGGGGGAGGAGTGCCCTGGGAGCCTGGGCAGGAGAGCTCCTGCTTACTCAGGCTCTTGTCCCTCCTGGTTCATTTAGCCGCTGTTCATGAGCACCTACTATTGCCACCCTTATGGGCACCGGGGATCAGCTGAGGGCCATGCACAGGGTTGTACTCAAGGCTCTTAACTCCTAGTGGGGAAAGATAGACATAAATGAGTAAAATAAGTGGTTGTAGACCCGTGGTTCTCAGCCAGGGCAGTTTTCCTCCCAGGGGACACATGGCCGTATCTGGAGGCATTTCAGGTTGTCACAGTGAGGGGAGACTCGTGTCAAGCGTGTCGAGGCCAGGAACGCCGCTGAACATCCTGCAACGCACAGGATGGCCTCCACTCCCCTGAGAATTCTCTGGCCCTAAACGCCAGTGGTGTCACCCTTGAGAAACCCTGGTGTGTAGTGATACGGGCTCCTCAGACATTGTGATACAAGCTAAGGAGAAAAATTAAGCAGGGGAGGGGACAGGAAAAGATGGGGCGACAGCCATTGGACGTTTCGATAAGGTAGCCAGGGAGGGCCTCCCTAAGACGGTGACAGCTGACCAGGAACTAAAAGGGGAGAGGGAGTGAGCCACGAGGATCTTGGGAAAAGTCTCTCAAGCAGAGAGCCTAGCAGAGGCAGAGGCCCTGAGGCAGTGTTTGAGACATTGCAGGCTGGGTCTATGGATAGAGCAGAAGGAGCTGAGGCAGGAGGAGCGAATCTTCAGAACGGACAGGGTCAGACTGTGTGGGGACTTACAGGACGTTGGCTGGTGCTCTGAGTGGGTGTGAGCCATGGCAAGGTTTTGAGCAGAGGCGGGATGGGGTCTGATGGTGACACTGAAGGAACCACTTACGCTTCTTGGTGGGGAGGACCGTGAGGGAAAGCACAGCAGCGGGGCGGCCAGTGAATAGGCGTTTGTAATGATCCAGGTGAGATTGATTCCTCGGTGCAGGCAGACTCTCACTTCATCTCGCACTACCTCCGAGGCAGGGTTTTCACTCCCCCCATTTTAAGGATGAGAACACCGAGACCCAGGCAGCCAGATTTGAACTCCGAGGATCTAACTCTACGCCCTCTAGCCCCTGGGTGGCCCTGCTTTCTCTGCATCTCCTCCTTATCTCTGATCCCACTGTCCTGTCACTCAGGGCTCAGAAGCAAGTCCAGTTTCTCTGCGGGCCCCCAGGAGGCAGCACCAAGGACTCATCATTTAAGGGTGCTGGGGCCCAGAGCCGACGTCCCCCAGAAATGAAGTCTGCAGCAGTTCTCTGTGCTGTTCGGGCCTGCACCCCAGGTTCCCAGTCCGGAGCTCCCCAAGGAGCTCCCCAATCGCTACCGCCCTGAGCTTTCTAGACATTTCTCCAGGCTGAGCTGAAAGCCACCACTGCTGGCTGCTGGGAAAGCATGGTCTAGGTGCGCCCTCTGCTGGCCGATTGTGCACACAGATCGCTTACACCTGGTTCCTGGAAAGGGCCACTGGGGTCTGGAAAGGCTGCCAGGAAACACTCTCTCAGATAAAGGACCCTGGGCCCAGTGCACTAATTCACCAGTCACCACCGTGTGCCAGGCTCTGAGCTGGGCACAGGATGTCAGAAGCTCACGTTCTAGTTGGGGGAAGCAGCTTGGCAAGAAGGAAGGAAGAGGGAGGCGACATGGACAGGAGGTAGTTACACAGAAGACTTAGAAGGTGGTTACGTTTCTTTGGATTGAAATGGTCAGAGATGTCTTCTCTGAGGAGGTGATGTTTGAGCTGAGACCTGAGTACCAAGGCAGCCCGCTAGGTACACGGTCCGAGGAAGAGTGTGCTGGGCAGAGGGAACAGCATGTGCAAAGGTCCCACACAGAGGCCGGGGATCAGGGGAGGGGAGCAGGCCGGGGGGATCAGGGTCTGATGTCAGCAGGGCCTAGGACTCCATTCTGGAAGCAGAGGGAGCGTTCAGAGGCTTTGAGCAGTTGTCACAGGGCAACCCCAGGAGCCTGACTAGGCCTGGTGACCCCTAGGCTGCCCCGCTCCCTCTGCACCTTGGGTTTTATCCTGGCTGCCCCGTGTTCGGGGGAAGGCTGGCATAGGGGGACCTGTGAAAAGGCTGGTGTGGTCCTCCTGGGGAGACAGGTCTGTGTTGGGGCGGTGAGGAGGGTTGAGGGAAGTGCTGGATATGGGGTATGTTTTGAAGGTCAGCCAACCTATCAGGACTTGGGGATGGGCAGTGTACTAGTATAGGGTGAGCAGATAGAGAAATCAAGAGATCCTTGAGGTCACAGTGTAGGGCTTGGTCTGCTGAGCGGATGCTGGTTCTCTTTGCTGAGGGGCCCACGGCAGGGGGCTGAGGAGGAAAAGAAGGACTTTTGGGGATGTGTTACATCTGAGATGGCTGAGATGCGTTGCTGGGAGGGTCTGGGCAAGAGCAGAGTTGGGTTCTAGCCTTGGGAGGTTCAGGACAAGGGAACTCGGTGTCACGTCCAGCCCCGCAGAGCCCAGCGGAGCCTCGTGCCTGGCAGGCCCACAGCTGGTGTTGAGTCACAGCGCCCTGGCCTGGGGCTGGGTGGCACCTGACGCCCCTCCCCTGTCTCCCCCGCAGAGGGAGGAGCGCACCATGCTGGAGGACCTCTGGGTGACCCTGTCGGAGCTGGACACCGTCTCCTTCTCCTTCAAGCAGCTGGATGAGAACTACGTGGCCAGTGAGTGACTCCCCCGCCCCCCGCATGGGAGTCAGGAGCTGCTCCGGGGACCACCCTGCCACCAGGCCAGCGGCCCAAGGTGGACCTGGGACCCGGTTCTTTCAAACCTCCCGCTCTCAGCGAACATGGAAAAAGAGGCTCTTTTTTTTTTTTTTTTTTTTTTTTTTTTTTTTATATATATATAAACCCGGTTGTCTCCAAAAGCTCTTAAGAGGGAACAGCAACCAGTACCCAGTTCTTACTTCACCCAGTTACTGGGGTGAAGACTTATTAATATTTTCTAAGAATTTATAGCGCAGTTAAGCGCCTCCCTCCCTCCTTCTTTCCCTCCCTCCTTCTACCTGCCCACCATTCATCCACCCATTCATTCATCCATCTACCCATTCATCCCTCTACTTATCCATCCCCATTCACCTATCTATCCACCACCCACCTACCAGCCCATTCATCCACTCATTCCTAAGTACAAGCACAGAGTGTGTGTTAGGCACAGTTTTCAATTCAGGGGCCACCGTGGAGAAATATGGGCCTGGCTCCTGCCCTCTGGTCTCATTCCCAGCTGTTGTATTCAGAGATATCGATCCCCACCCCAGCCTCAGCCCTGTCCGGCCGGACTCACTGTGTGGGGTGGACCCTGGGCATTGGGGCTCTAGAAAAGCTTTCCAGGTGACTGAGGTGCAGCCAGGATGGAGGACCCCTAGGCTGGGGACTGTTGCCACTTTCTTAGGAGTGTGGTCCCTGGAGTGCAGCCAGCGGGACCTCGTTAGAAAGGCGAATTCTCAGGCCCCGGCCCCAACCGGCACCAGAAACTCCCGAAGCAGAGCCCAGAGGCCGGTGTTGAAGGGCTGGGCGGGGTTGAAGCGCATTCATTTGCGAACCACTGCTCTAGATCAATGATTCTCCGCTTTTTAAAATTACCACCTCCGTAAGGCGTCCGTGTAGTTTTTTTTCCCTAATTGCTGCAACCCCATTACATTTTAAGACCACGGATATACTATATGCCCGTTTAGGTACTCTGTATGTGCTTTATTCATAAAAAGAGTATTCTTCTTTTGGCCATCGCCTCAAGAACCAATTTTCACCTCCTTAGGGATGACATCACCCTGTTGAGAATGTGTGAGAATCTAGAGGGACCATAGCTTTTGTTTCAGGTGCCAATTGGAATTGATGGTCAGTTCTATCGATAGGCAACCCTTGGGCTTAGGGAGAACTAATGATTGATGAGTTATGTCTGCCATAGGTGCCCGATGGGGTGTCGGTGATTGATTAATGATGTCTGCCATGTTAACACCATGCCTACCATAAGCTGTACCCTATGAGTGTAAATAAATGCAGGTCCTGGTTGAGGGTAGCGTTTGGCAGGTAGAGGCCTGAGGCACCAGGTGAGGAGTACAGGAAACATTCCTGAGGCTCTGAAGACAAACACTGACAACTCCCCAGATGGGCAAAACCAGTGTCAGGTCTGAGAACTGAGCAGTGGAAACTGGAACCTGTTGAAAGAAGAGAAAAGGGAGGTCAGAGGCTGCTCTTCTGAGTATGGGTGGACTGGGCTATCTGAGGCTACCCCGAGAGGAGGGGAGGGCAGGGAGGTCTGAGGGCAGACAGGGAGACCCAGAACACCACCCTGCAGGTAGGAGGCACGGGGTTCTGAAGCCACCCCTCTGGGGAGAATAGGGAGATGCCAGTATGCCATTGGGTATCTGAAGGAAGGTCTGAAGCTGCCCTAACTACGGTGGGCAGGCTCCCCTGGGCCTGGGTGGTCACCTGCCCTGACCCACCATGTCCTCCCACAGACACCAATGTCTTCTACCACATTGAGGGCAGCCGGCAGGCGCTGAAGGTCATCTTCTACCTCGACAGCTACCACTTCTCCAAGCTGCCCTCCCGCCTGGAGAGCGGGGGCAGCCTGAGGCTGCACACCGTGCTCTTCACGAAAGGTGAGCAGTGGGGTGCCGAGTGGGGCCCCCAGGGGACACCCAAGGCTCAGAGCGCACCGGGACCCCACCACCTGCCCTCCCTCTTCTTCCTTCACAGCCTTGGAGAACCCAGAGGGGCCTCCCCCTCCGGGCAGCCAGATGGCGGAAGACTTGCAACAGGAGATCAACACCCAGTCCCTGGAGAAGGTTCAGCAGTATTACCGCAAACTCAGGTGTCTGCCCGGGGCACCTGCTGGGGACAGGAAACTAGACACTGCTGCGGGAACTGGGTATTAGAATGTAGGGCATCAGACAGCCCCCAGCATGGGCGTGGGCAAAGTGCCTTTTCCTGAGCACCTACTGTGTGCCAGGCCCTCTGCCTACCATGCTCATCAGGTTCTCACAACAGTCCCGGTCAGTCATTCTCAACCACTTTATAGACGAGGCAACGGAAGCCCAGAGTGGGGACCCGGCTTGCCCACAGCCACAGAGATAGATGGTGGCTGACCTGAGCTTGGACCTGGGTCTGTGTGGCTTCCAAGAAGGTCCTTGCGACCTAGAGGAGCGCCTGTTTCATTTCATGTGGGGTGGGAGCTGGATGGGATGGTTGAGCCTGTGAGTGAGGGGTGTGGCCCCAGGGCCTTGGCCTGGCTCCGAGGAGACCCCCAGAAGGAAGTGGAGGGAGCAGGGGCCACATTCTCAGAGGAAGCCTCACACCCAGGGAGGCAGCTTCCTCTACCACCACCCGCACCCCAGCCCTTCCTTCCCCTCACCTTCTCCCTCCGTGGAGAGGAGGCTGAAGGTCAGCAAACACGTTTCAGGGGCTGGGTAAGGGCTTCACTGTTTTGGGGTTTGGCTTTACTGTTTGGAAAGGGAAGCTGATGCTTTCAGGGAAAACACCCAGTTTTGTTATTAAAAGTGGCATCTCTTCAGATTGATCGATGCCATCAATCTGCTCCATGCTGCTGCTGAATATTTAAAATATCACGTCTCTGATCCTTCCTTTATTCCTTCCTTTGTTCCGCACACGTGGGCCGGGCTCTGTTCTGGGTGTGGCTCGGGAGTCAGCAGGGGCCCATAAAGCCTCTTCTTCGTGGAGCATAGATTCTAGAGCAGCAGTTGTCTGGCGCATCCCCTGTTTTGTCGATAAAGTTTTATTAGCACACACGCAGGCTCATTTACATATGGATGTCTTCAGCTTATCTTGTGCTACAGTCCTGCTTCCGAGGGGGTGATGGTAACAAGCCAGTGAAGAGAGTGATGTCACGTGTTAAGTGGTGAGAGTTTTCAGGGGACAGATACACAAGACAAGGGGTGAGAGAGAGAGGGGCGTCAGGTGTTGACCAGCTGATCAGGATGGGCCATCAGGGAGAGAGAGGTGGCATTTGAGGGGTGCCTGGCAGGCCCCTTGTGCTCCCCGCCTCAGGCTGTTGCAGGAACGGGTGACTGTGGGCGTGGAGAACTGTGCAAGGTGCTCTCAGTGGCTTCTTCCTGAGCGTTGTGGGCGGGCAGAGGGGCTGTGGCGGCAGTGGGTGGGGGCTGCATGGATGGGGCATGGCGACCCCCCAGCAAGCCCATATCTGTCTCTCCCAGGGCATTTTACCTGGAGCGGTCGAACCTGCCCACAGATGCCAGCACCACGGCGGTGAAGATAGACCAGGTGCGTCCCCTGCGGAGCTGCGTGGGCAGGGCTCGGCGGCTTTCCGAGGGCCTGTCACCCACGGCCCGGCCTCAGGCAGGCCTCAGGCTTGACAGCGGCTCAGGGGGTACTGGCCTCAGGATTGTGAGGCTGGGCGTCCCGGGACTGGGCTGGCTGAGACAGCTGGGAGAGGGCACTTCCTTCAGGCTTAGCCGTGGGCTCACCTGGGCACGTGAAGAGAATGAGATTGGAAGGTTAGGCCTGAAATACACCGTGAGCACAGAAGGCCAGCTTGTGGGGCAGTGGGGAGCCACAGATGGTCCCTGAGCAGGGCCGGGGGAGGTTAATGGGGCTGTAACCCCCAGGGAGGGGAGCCGGGAGGATGCTGCACTAGCTGAGCCGGACTGGAGGGAGTGGATGGGGCGGGAGGCCGAGTGGGGGCCTCCTCAGACCGTCCAGATGGATGGGTGTGTGCACCTTACAGCTGATTCGTCCCATCAACGCCCTGGATGAGCTCTGTCGTCTCATGAAGTCCTTGGTCCACCCCAAACCTGGTGCCGCCGGGAGCCTGGGTGCCAGCCTCATCCCCATCTCCTCTGAGCTCTGCTACCGCCTGGGGGCTTGCCAGATTGCCATGTGTGGCACAGGCATGCAGAGGTGAGCTCGGAGCTGGCCCTGGGAGGGTCAGAGAGCAAAGGTTGGGAGTGGGGAGGTGCTGTGTGGCACCGGCGTGTCAGAGGGGTGCAGAGGGAAGCAGTTAAATGCTGGTTTTGTGTGGTGTGCAGGAGGGGGGGTCCTCTAATTATCTGGGGGTGGGGGCAGTGCTCAGCCCTGAGGCAAGGGCTTTCCTGGGGAGAGGAGGACGTGAGACCTGGGCCTGCTGGGCTGTGCTGGGTGATGGTCGGATGGTGGCTATTCCTGGCGTGTGCGCTCAGAGGCCTCACACGGTGGGCTGGAAGTTCCCGTCTCACGTGTCGCCCCCCTGCCACTCCCCGCAGGAGCACCCTGAGTGTCTCGCTGGAGCAGGCGGCCATCCTGGCTCGGAGCCACGGGCTGCTCCCCAAGTGCATCATGCAGGCTACGGACATCATGCGGAAGCAGGTGAGGTGGGCCTGCGGCTGCAGGGCGCCCTGGCCGGGCACCTCGGGCTGGGAGCAGGCTGAGGGGGCTGTCGGGGGCTGGGCCGTCATCAGCCTCCCCTGTGGCCCTACACCCCAGCTGACAGGGGCCCAGGACTTCTCCTCTGGGCCTGCTCCCCATCTTTCCGCACTGCACCCACGCCCATGCTTGCTCACATGTCCTGAACTTGAACTCCCGTGCAGAGGCTGGTCCCAGCCTCACAGTTCTTTCTTCCCAGGGCCCCAGGGTGGAGATTCTGGCCAAAAACCTGCGGGTCAAGGATCAGATGCCCCAGGGCGCACCTCGGTGAGTGGCTGTCTCCCCCTCCCTTCCCCTCCCCTCCCCTCCCGCTTCACCTCTCACTTATGGGGGCCCCACTTTGGGAAGCGACAAGCAAGCTCTGTTTCTTACTCCCCAGAGGAGCACCTACTGTGTCTGGGAAGATGACACAAGGGCCCCAACATGAGCCATGGGCAAGGATTTGTTGGGATTCCCTCCACCCCCCCACCTCCGTCCTTGCTCTGCCTCCTTGCTGCCCTCAGGCCCTCAGTCCATCGGCTGCTTCCTGTCTTCAGGTTGCCATCATCTCTCCATGTTGAATCCAGCCAGGCTTGTGGTGCCCTGTGCTGGCTCTTTCCCAGTAGTAGCTCCTATCCTTCCCATCTTCTCTCTCCATCCCCTCTGCCCAGTTTGCTATCAGCACTGCTCACAATTTTTAAGTCACTTTGTTTTGAAACAGCTTGACTCACAGGAAGTGACAAAAGTAGTGGAGAGGGTACCCTGCACTCAGCTCTCCCATGGGACATCGACGAAGCCAGGAAACGGGCTGGTGGCCGGGCAGCTCCCACACAGACCTTGTGGTTTTCACCCTCCCTTCCTCTGAGGGCTTTTGTCTGTTCACTCACCCCACCCCAGGCACTGTTGCAATCTCTTTTCCTACACGTACTAACTCAAACCCGAACTCTGTGGACAAGATACTGTTATGATGCCCAGTTGGCAGCTGAGGCACAGAGAGGTTGAGTACCTTGCCTGAGGTCACACAGCTTGTAAACGGCAGAGCTGAGGTTCTGAACCCAGGCCGTCCAGGCCCGGGGGCCAGCCTCCTAACACCTGGGCCGTTTTGCTTTGCTGTCTGGTCCTTGTCACCGCAGCCGTTCTCCCCGCGGCCGATCTGCCTCTTGTGCTTGGAAGCCACTGGTGGCTCCTTCTTACCTGGCGGTGAGACGTTCAGAAGGCAGCTTTCTGTGTCCTGCAGGGAGAGGCCCCAAGATTATATTAAGCAAAAAAATAAAATAAATAAATAAAGGGCTAGACACAGAGAGGAAGGGAGAGGAAGAGAGAGTTAGAAACATCCATGAGAGAGAAACATCGATCAGCTGCCTCCTGCGCACCTCCTACTGGGGAGGATGTGCCTGCAACCAAGCTCCCACACAGACCTTGCGGGTCCCTTGACCGGAATCGAACCTGGGACCCTTCAGTCCGCAGGCCTACGTTCTATCTGCTGAGCCAAACCGGTTTTGGCGACTCTGCGTTTTTTGTTTGTTTTTGTTTTTGTTTTTTTTTTAAACATCCACTGGGGGTTTTGTTTTCTATGCATGGACTGCCTGTTCATGTAAAGATGGAAGCCACATGAATAATAGTCCCAGCCCGCCCCGGCCCCTCCTCATCCTCTTTCCCTCCCCCGCCAGGCTGTACCGCCTCTGCCAGCCGCCCGTGGACGGAGACCTCTGAAGGCCCGGACGCTCGTGCTTGGCTGGGATTCGGGAGGACACGGCGGGTCCTGCTGGCCCGCGCCTGAGCCTGTCGGAGGCCCCTGCTCCTGCTCCCTCCGGACCCGCCAGCCTTCTCCGTCGCCGCCTGCCAGGACCGGCCCGGCCCGGCCCCCGCTCTCGGACGAGCGAGCTGATAGGCCTGGGCCCGCGTGTTTCCACACTTCTGCCGGAAACCCCGGAGCGGAGGGGGCCGCCGGGCCCCAGGCCCCGGGACCGGGAGAAGTCCCGGGCACCGCCGTGGGAGGCCCCGGCCTCGGCTCCTCGGGATGGCTCAACCTGCACTTTGAAACCCTGGCTTCCTTCTAAGTCCACATTCCAGGCGGCGCGTGTCTCCCCCTCCTCGCCTTGGCTTCCAGCTCACCCCGCACTAACCTGCTCCGCGGACTCGGGAAGCGGGCCTCTGCCGGGAAGACTGGGACCGGGCAGCGTCCGTCACCACGAGGGGACACTCGAAAGCCGCACCAGCTTCCGGCAGCACCGCCCTGGGGACTGGGGCCGCCAGCCCTGGGTGCGAGATCTGCCCTGGCTTTATTTATGTGGCGTGACATCTCTATGGTTTACTTTAGACCCCCCCCCCCCCCCCAGCCCCCGTGTGATTATGTATTTGACATTTTAAATTTCAAAGAAAGGTGTATTTTTGTCTAACGGGACCATCACAAGGTAGCATCGACAGCTTTCCCCAGTACTAAAAAGGAAAAGAAAAACTAAATTATTGAAAATTCAAACACATTGCATCTTTTTCAATATTAGGATGTCGCTTACAGGTATGAACCTATTGGTCCCCCCCGGCCCCCCCCCCCCCCTCCTTTCCCCCGTTAGCTGGCCAGTATTAGAACGAATTTTACTTTCCTCTCTTGGAATGATTGGCTCCAAGGGTTCGAGCGGCAGCTGGGCCAGGTCTGGGGACTGGAGGGGCCTGAACCACCCACCTGAGATGCTGTCCCACGCGGGTGTGTCCTGCAGGTCAGAAGGTCGCAGGAGACCCTGGCTGGTGGCTTCTGTAACTTATTTTGTCGATGGTCGCTCAGAGCAGGGAGCTGGGGGACAGGAAGATAGCCTCCCTGCCTTCTGGGCGCCACGTCCCATCCGGGGCCCCTCTCCGCGGTGCATCCCCGGAGCTCCTGTCCATGAGCAGGGGGATGTCACCCTTGGCTGGTGGTGAGAGCGGGTGTGGGTTTCCCGAAGCCCCTCCCGCCTCCCCGAACATCGGACCCGGGAGCTCCGGGGGTCCCCTCCTGAGCGGAGGCAGGCTTGTGGCTGGGCACTGGTGATGTGATACAAACGAGGACCTGCCCTGCTTGGCGGGAAACGGAGAGGGTCCCTGCGGGCAAGGCCTCGTGCACTGGTTTACTTTAAAATGTACAGATCCTTCCTCATTAAATTCATGATAGATTTTTTATTATTATTAAAAGTCAATTTATAATACAGAGATCTTGATCTGTGGTTCCTTTGGGGCCGCGACCCTGGTGGCGTGGGGGTGGTGTGGCCAGCCTCACGTTGGAATGAGCCGAGGCCTCCAAGACCCGTGTGTGTGTGGGGGTGTCCTTGAGCCAGTGACCCCTCGTCAGCCTCAGATGCCATCCCTCCGAGCCTCAGTTTCTTCCTGCAAATTGAGGGCAGTATATATTTCCCTTGCAGAGGAGTGGTGAGACCACCGAGGTCTCACTGCAGGTCTGCACCTCCGGTGGGCTGTATGCTGTATTTCACCTTTATTTTGGGCTCTGTCCTCCCCTTTCACAGCGATGCTGGAGGATTGTGTCTATCTGCCCCGGTAACCCCCACCTCCTTCTGGGTGTCCTGCAGTTTCTGGTCTTAGGTGAACCCAGGGATCAGGGTAGGTCCATCCTCTGCCCCAGCCTGCAATTCCATTTGGATCTGGGATCTGGGATTGGGGCTGCCAGTGGAATGGTAGTCCAAATACTCAACACGTGGTCAGGCTGGTTCCCAGCCAATCAGAATTCACGCTGGCTGCAAGCAGACCAATCAGAACACACGCTGGAGCAGACACTGCATACCTGAGCCTGTTGTCTAGGCCCCAGGCTGTGAGCTGGTTCTCACCTGCTGGGCCCCGGCCATCTTTTGGAAGCTCCCTGGGTCTGTCTGCCCAGCCGGGGTCATCTCACTCCCTGGTGGGATTTGACCTGCGGACTTGCTAGGCTGCCCTATGCCTGACTCCCTCTCTCTCGGTCCCTTTCCACCACCTCCTTGCCACATTCCTTCCTTTTACCTCTTCCCTTCTTTTCTCTCCCTCCCTCCTTATCACACATTGGGAAGCACTGACATCTCTGAAAGACTCCCTCCTCTTAAAGGCACCCACACGGTTATGGCCACCTTTGAGACCCTTCTGAGCCATGATGCCCACACTAGTTATACCCACCCTGTTCCCTGGTACACGTAAGACTAAAAAGAACCCATTCTCTTTTAATCTCTTTTCCTTCCAAACTAACCTTTCCCAGAGTGCATGTTCTCAAGGCCCAGAATGGTCTCTTCCAGAAAGAGAGAGAGAGAGAGAGAGAGAGAGAGAGCGCGAGCGCCTTGTGTCTTTCAAATGGCAGGTTTCAAAGACTCAATATTTAATCAGCGAGAGTGAATCCTGGTGGGGTTTCAGCACAGTGACAGACGGATTATTTGGAATTATCTGAGGTCAGTTTTGGATCCAGAAACATCACTCTAAGGGGAGGGCTGTCACCTCCATCGATATTTGATGCCTACCCTGGGCAGACACTTTTATAGGAAGCAGTAACTTCCCCAGTGCAGTACAAGGAGGAAGTGCGTTCTGCTCCAGGGATGGGCAGGGCAGCTTTGGTGTGCAGCTGGGAAGTGGGGTCTGTGTGGCCTTGAACAAGTCACATCTCTTCTCAGACACAGAGCTGCTTCTGCAAAGTGAGGGTAAAAGCCTTTCTCTCCAGCGGGCCTTTGTCACAGTTACAACATGGAGCATGAGCTGGGAGGGCATTTTACCGGAGGCAAGAGGTGTCAAACTGGCGGGCCGGGGGCTGAAATGCAGGCATCGATGGCTGTGTGTTTTATTTTCCCGATAGGGTGTCTTTATAATTTTGAATCAGACGTTCACATTTAAGAACCAGCAGATTTCACTTTCAAATTCATATTTTTGTTTTTCCTTGAGAATTCAGAAGCTCTGGTTGCACTGGCCCCTATTCCCACCTGGCACGTGTCAACTGGAGCTGAGAGGTGCCAGGGCTTCTGGGCAAGGTGCCAGCTCTCCAGTTCCCCACAGCGTCACCTACCCAGCGTGCCCCTGTACCGACCCGCCTGACTCTGGGTGGCCCTCCCCAGGCAAGTATGGCCAAAGCTGGCCTTGGGACTGTCCAGATCCTCAGCTCTAGAGTCCCCCTGATGATGTCGGCTGAGGAGTTGCTGTGCTGACCAATGGGACATCAAGAGGCGGGCAAAACCCTGCTGTTGATAAGTCTCTCAGTTGGACCTCTGGTTCTCTGCTCTCCCAGGACCACAGCTGGGCCCAGTGTCTGAATCTATCTGATCCTCAGCTTCTTCCACTGTCCAGTAGCCAGAGCTTGCACCTCTAACCACATCAATCTGCCTGGGAAGTGAGGGCTTGGACTAAGACTTTGGAATCAGACCCTCTCCTGCACCAGAACTGCCAGGATTCTGTACTTGCTGAGTGGCCATTCCTTGGCAAGTCCCGTCTCTCTAGTAGCCTCAGTTTCCTTTTCTGAGAAAAGGAGATGATGACACCCACCTGTCTGCGATGCTAGGGACCCACAGTCTCTGGGGCCCACCATTTAGCTTCCGGGGATAAATGTGGTGCCCAGCAGGTGGCGCCAGAGATTGTGTAGTGTTCAGAGGTTGAGGTTACCTGGACCCAGGTCCTGCCTACCCAAGCACTGGCTCCCAGGTGCCCACATTTGGGACAAAGGCAGCCTGGAGGTAGGGGCTGAGATTGTCTTGATGATGGGCCCTGGCACCTGCCCTTCTAGGCTGGGCTAGGCCTGAGTCAGAGTGCATATTTTTTCTATTTTTTTTTTTTCATTTTTCTTTATTCCTCTTTCTTGATTATTTTTGTCTTTTCCCCTTCCATTTTCTTTCATTCCTATTTGTTTGATCCCATAACGTATGTCTGTGAGTGAGGATCTATTTTTTATATTCTTTCCTTTTTACTTTTATGCTTTCACTTCTCTTTCATTCTTCTTCCCTTGCAGTTGGATTTATGAGAAAGATGTAAAAAAAAACAAAAATAAAAAACCTCTTGCAAAGTGATGTGCTTGAGGGAGGTGACCAGCTACCCACAACTGGTACTAATGTGCACAGACCCACCAAGACCTGCAGGGAAACACTGACACCAGGTGGCGCTGTGCACCAGGAAGTCCTGCCTGGCCTCCGAGAACAACTGGGGAGCATTGTAAGTCTCTGTGGCTTTGGGGCTTTTGGGAGAGGTTCATCAGAAATTACGACCGATTGCTGCCCCTCTCTGGGTACTAGTACCCTGGAGGGTGAGGGGAGGTCAGGAGAGAGCTGCAGGGATGCTCCCGACCAAGCAGCAGGGTCCTCTGACATGCTGTGGGGACCCCCCTTCCCCTGACCCTCCCCCCAGGGCCCTGCCCTTCACTATGCCACAGTTCCCCCACCTATAACAAGAGGCATAAAATTCAGTTCCTCAAAAAGCACTCCTCATCCTCTGGCCAGCTTGACCTCTACCAGACTTGCCTGAGGACCAATAGTAACGTTCAGAATCAATGTTGTTGAGCTTAGTTTGCTCGTGGTGTAAAAGGCCTTATGTCATGTGATCCTCTGACCAGCTAAGGGCCCATTACAGAGGAGGAAACGTACAGATACCGTAGGTTAAGTGACCTACCCACAGCCAGAGAGCTCAGAAACCCTGGTCCCTTATGCAGTTCCAGAGCTGTGGTAGCAACATTGCGTTTAGAAAGGGGGAAGGAAGCACAGTGGCCTCTGGATTTTGGGGGCTCTGCCCAGGTG